TTATAATTATTTTATTTTTACTATAAAATTAATATATTATTTAATTATATTTTATTTATTCTTTTAATTAAAAATTAATTATTAAAATAATAATTAAATAAAAAATAAAAAATTAAATTAATTTTTAAAAAATTATTTATTATATATATTAAAAATTATTTTTCGGATAATATAAAAGTTTAAAGTTTATACCGTATTATATTTTTATATTATTTCTTTTTTTTTTAAAAAAAAAAATTTACTTTTTATTAAATTAAAAAATACTTTTATAATAACTTAAATTTATTATTATTAAATTAAATAATAATTTATTTTATATAAATATATAAATGCGTTTTTCCCATTAAACCGCATTTATTTCGATTTTACAATTATATATTATTAATATAAAAGTTTATTATTTTTATTATTATATCGTATTTTATTTTTTTACTTTTTTTTTAAATTATATATATTTATATATAAAATAAATTAAATTTTATTTATTAATAATTATTATTATATTATTAAATAATATTTTTAATATTTTTAAAATTTAAATAATAAAAAAGTTTTAAATAAATATATATATAAATTTATTTTTTTTATATTTATAACTTTTTATAAAATAATAAAATTATTTATATAATAATAAAATATATATTTTAAATAAAAAACTTTTATTTATATTTAATATAACATTTTAAAATAAATTTTAAATATATAATTTTATTTTATAAAAAATAAAAATATTTATATATTAAAATTAATTATATTATTAATTAAAAATAATATTAATTATATAATATAAAATAATATATTTTAAATAATTTAAAATTATTTTTTATATTTAACTTTTAATAATTTAAATAAAAAAACGAAAATTATAATTTAAAATATATATAATTTAAATTAAAATTAACTTAAATATAATTAAAAATATAAATTTTAATAAAAATAATATTAATCGTATAATATACTTATTATTACCCATATAATAAAACGGGGTACGTACCTGTTATTACGCGTAATTATTTACATTTTTTTTAAAACCTTTTTTAATAACTTTATAAACATTAATCCGATTTTTTTAAAAAAAAACATTATTAATTATATAAAAAATTTAATAAATATATAATTTAAATTACACGTAATTTAATTATAAATTAATTAAAATATTATAAAAGTAAAGATTTATATATATAAAATAACTTTTTTATTAATATTTATTAATTTATTTTAACTTATTATATAAAAATAACCATATTTTTATTAAATAAATGAATAAAAATCGGGTTTTTTTTTATAATATTAAGTATTTAATTATTTAAATATTAAGACTTTTTCGAAATTTATCCATGTTTTATTCGTAAAATTATTAAAATTTAAAAATATTAAAATTATAAAAAATAAAAGTTATTAAAAAAAGTTTTATAATAATTATTATAATTAAAATTTATACTTTTAACCGCATCCGGGTTAATATTAATTTAAATGACGTATATTTTAAACCATGATTTTATTAATTTTTTTATTTAAATTATAATATAAATTATATATAAATTAAATTAAAATTTATAAAATTATTAAAAGTTAAATATAAAAAATAATTTTAAATTACTTGGGATTATACCTCGTATATTATATGGGTAATAATAAATATATTATATAATTAATATTATTCTTTAATAATAATAATTATTTTAAATTTATTTTTAATTATTTTTATATTTTATAATTTAAATATTTTATAATTTTAATAATTTTATTAATATAATTTAAATAAATTTTAAAAAAATTATAATATTTAATTAATTAAATATTTAATATTATAAATTAAAATTTAAATTTTTATATATTTATTTTATAAATATATAATTATATTTATAAATATATTAATAAAAATTAATTAAAATTATTAAAAATATTATTTTATATATATAAATAAAAATATTTTAAATATTTTAATTAATTTAAAATTAAATTATAAGTAACATTAATCGTGTAATATGCTTATTATTACCCGTGTAATAAAACGGGGTATATACTTTATTTTTTTTTATTTCTTTTACGTTTATTTTAATAATGTTATAAATTTTAATCCGATTTATATATAATTTATACTATAATTTAAATAAGAAAATAAGAAAAATTACGGTTTAATGTGCACGTGATTTAGCTTTAAATTAGCTAAAATATTTAAAAAGTAAGTATTTATATATATAAAATGACTTTTTTATTAATACTTATTAATTTATTTTAATTTATTATATAAAAACAGTTATATTTTTACAAAATAATTAAGTAAAAATCTAGGGTTTGTTTTATAATTTTAACCATTTAATTATTTAAATAATAAGACTTTTTTAAAATTTATTTAAGTTATATTAATAAGGTTATTAAAGATAATAAATATAAAGATTATAAAAAATAAAGATTGTTAAAAATAATTATTATGATTAAAATTTATATTTTTAATCGTATTTAAATTAATATTAATCCGAATTACGTGTATTTAAGTTTATATTTTTATTAATTTCTTTATTTAAATTATAATATAAATTATATATAAATTAAATTAAAAATTGTAAAATTATTTAAAAAAAAGTGTAAAAAGTAATTTAAAATTATCCGAGATTATACCTCGTATATTACACGGGTAATAATAAGTATATTACACGATTAATGTTATTTTAAATTATTTATAAATAAAATTAAAATTTTTATTATTTTTATATATAATTAATTATATTTTTTCGAAAAAAATTAAAATAATATTTATAAAATTATTAAAATATATATAAAAAAAATAATAAGTAATTTTAAATATATATTTTTTAAATATTTTATATATTACGTATTTAATAATAAATATATTATATAATTAATATTACTTTTAATTAATTAAAAGTTAATTATATTATTTATAATATTTTTAATTAAATTTATATTAAAATATATTATTATAAAATTAATTTATATTATATATTATTATAATAATATAAATAATATTATTAATATTTTTTATAAAATTATTTTTAAAACATTATTATTTAAATTATATTTTAATTAATATTTAAATTATAATACGTATTTTTACGATTATATAATTCGACTTTACATTTATTTAATTAATTAAATTTTTTAAAGTTATTTTATTATAAAATACGTATTTTAAATATACCGTTATATACATTTATTTATATATTAATTTTAATATATTAATCTTTTAATTTAAATAATTTTATAAATTTATATTTACGTTTTTTAAAACATATATTATTAAATAACTTATAAAATAATAAAAATAATAATTTCGGTCGTATTATAATAATTATTTTATTTAATTTTTTATATAAAAATTAAATTATTTATAATATAAAACTTTAATTATATAATATAATTCGTGTTATTATATACTTTTAATTATAAGATATTTATTAATATATATAAAATTAATTAAAATAATTATTTTAATATAATTAAAACCATTATTTTTATTATTTTATAAATTATTTAATAATTATAAATAATTAATAAAATACTTTAATAATTAATAAATGTAATTAATAAAAAACCTTTAATTTTTACGAGATTAAAAACCCGTTTTATATAAATAAATTAAATATAATAATTTAATTTACTTTTAATAATATATATTTTAAATTTTAAAATCTTAAATTTATAAAATTATTTAAATTAAAAAATAAATAAATATATATAAATATATATATACGATTATAAATTAAAATAATATAAATTAATTAATTTAAAAATATAAAATAATTATATAATTTTATTAAAAATTAAAATATAACTTAAATATTAATTAAAATATAACTTAAATAATAATATTTTATTTTAATTATTATTATTTTTATTTTTATTATAATTTAATTTTTTATTTTTAAAAATTTTTATACGTAAATATATATTTTAAATTTATTTAATTTTTTATTAAATAAATATTTTTTTAATATTTATTTAAAATTAATATAATAATTATAAATAGTTTTTTATAATAATTAAAAATTAAATATATTTTATTATTAATTTTTTTTAATTTTTTAAAAATGTTTTTAAATTATTTATTTTATTTAAAATTAAATTAAAAGTAAATTAAATTATTATATTTAATTTATTTATAATGTTTTATTTAATTTATTTATATAAAATAAGTTTTTAATTTTTATAAAATTAAAAGTTTTTTATTAATTATATTTATTAATTATTAAAGTATTTTATTTTAATTATTTATATAAATATTACTTTTTTAAATATAAATTTTTTTTATTTATTTAATTAAACTTTACATAAACCTTTTATATTAAATCCACCGACGTAAATTAATTTAAATCTAGCTTTTCGCCGTTTAACATAAAAAGTAACCCCGTTAAATTACACAATAACCTTAAGTTTACAACCAGGCCAGGCAATTGATTTAATTAATTAAATCCCGTAAAGTGGCCGCCTTGCCTCGCCGCGCGGAGGTTACGGGCGCTTAGCACGTACTTCGCACGTACCTCGCACCTGTAACCCCTACGCAGCTCGGCGGGCGGCCATATAAGCCATATAACAAACCCCCTAACCACACCACATCCCAAGATTAGGTCCACGGTTCAAATCCTTAACCTCGCATCCCCTCGCATCCTATCCTTTCTTTTACGCATTACTACACAAACAAAAGCGTAATACACTTTTGCCTACTTCATAAGCAGGTTAAGCTCCGCGGTTCGGCTTCGCCGAACCGCTCCGTTAACCCCTTATTAACTATGGCTTAAATAGTTCAATCTCCATTACATAAACAACTTTCGTCAAAATCTCGAAAATGTACCCAATCAAATCTTAACAAAAACCCACTTCATTACAAGATACACCCAATCAACACATACAAAACTAACAAAGGCACTTCCATTTCCAATAATTTTTATTTTCCTATTTGGTTTAATTGGGAAAGAAAAGCAGACCCAACTCCCATAGAAAAAAAAAAAAAAAATACAACACAATAACCCTTCGTAAACTCAGGGCAAATGGATCGTCCACTGAGTAAAAACAGTCGGATACGCATGGACCTCGTCTCCGAACGACCCGTCGATATGGACCTCCCCGATCTCGCCGCTAGTAGTCATATCGTAGGAGACTCGTGCGCGCTGCGGCCCGCGGGTGAAATGGGAGATCTTCCCATCTTGGATGTCCGCATACAGCGCCGAGGTCGAGATATCTAGGTCGACACGGTACACCCCATTGTGGAGATTCTCTGGTCGGGGCCGGGCGCCCCGGAGATATTGTAGGCCAGCTGCGCGGAAATGCGACCCATCCGTGAAGATGCTGGCGAAGCCCGTATCTCTTGCCGGATCTGTGCTCGGGGTGAGGGTGAAGCTGGCGCGGTGGGTCTTGCTCTGGAGGCCTGAGATGATCAACGGGCCGAAGTTGGATGGAAGCTGTACGGATATGTTAACATAGTTCTGTTGGTATACTGGGGCCATGCTGAATTTGTTAAAGCGGAGGCAAAACTTACATCGCTAGATGACACCGTTTGGGTGAGTACTGGGGATAAATCTGTTAGTGGGTTGGGTGTAAAGTGTATAGATATTTGCAGTGTATAGAGACTTACACTGCAGGATTCGGTCATACTTTGAGTTGACGGTGTTCATCGCGTCGTCAATGAGATACACGTCAGTGCGAAACTGGGCCGTGGTCTTTTGAGAATCCAGCACCAGAGGACTGTCTTCCAGGGCCCAGTACTTATATGCCCATGCCATGTTACGCATCTGGATCGCCACCGAGGTCTGCATAGAAAGATAAGAGTCGTAGAACTTAGCTTCGGCTGCAGCATATTGCGCCGCTTCCCCAGTATACTTGCCGACTAGATCTTGGAGTTCATGGATATCCTCGTTACATGTGATTACTGCCATCTCTGCCTGAACGTATTCCTGTCCTGCCTTGGCGGCCTGAGCCTCCACCTGAGCCAGCGCTTTCCCGTTAATGCTATACTTTTGCAGAGCCGTCCGATAACCTGTAGCCCCTCCGATGGCATGGGCGATCGCAAAGTCCAGCTGGGCGACAGACTCAAGGGTCCAGGTATCCCATGTGGTCAACGTGATGATCAGCTTCGCGTCGGCGTCGCCTTGGCTAGTTCCGGAGATGTCGTCCACGGGCGGAATCACCGCACTCGGATCGGTTTCGCATTCCTTGACCGCCGCGACGATCAGCATCATGGAAAAGTACAAGGTTCTCACTGGACCCATGCACTCTGTGAGTTGTTGCAAAATATCCGAGGAGATCTTCCGATCCTCTTGCGCCGTTGTCTGCTCTGCTGATCTGACCTGGTCTATGACCCCTTTTGCGGTATTGATCGCTTGTGCTATATCGTCAACGGAGAAAGTCGTAGAGATACGGTACAGCTGCACGCCAAATTCTAAGGCCCAGCAGCGGCCGACGCTTTAGCGAAGAGAGACGGAATGGCGCGCATATTAGCCATTGAAGGGGTTGAAGACTCACGGATGATCCCACCCAGAATGCCAAACACGCCTTTGAACATGGCTTGTTCCTCTCAGGCTAAAAGGCCCTCTTGAAACGCTTCTCGGGCGGAGTCCAACTCGCCCTGACTCGCGGTGACCCGATCCAGACAGTTGTCTCGAGTGGCACAGGCATCGGAGTATTTGGCGGAGGCAGAATTCCGGGCCTGTTCGCGCAGGGCTTGTCGATTGATGGCCTGCTGGAGCATGGGCTGCCAGGCAGCCTTCTGATCTTCGACATTGCTTTTCTGATCCTGAAATCGCTCGTACTGCGTCTCGAACGCTTCCAGGGCATCGATGGAATCTTCCACGGTTTGCCGGTACTGGCTGATGGTCAAGGCGGGGGCATATGTGGTGTCAAGGCCGGTCATGGCCTGGGCGGCCAATTGCTGGCCCAGAGAGACGGCCTGCGCATTGAGGGCCGGGTAAAGAGTGGGATGGGCCGTTGCGGTAGCCACGTGCGCACATAAGGATATAGCAATGGATGGCTTCTGCCAGAATAGCGCTTGCGCGACCCGTAACTGCGTCGCTAGTGTGGCCTGGAAAATCTCATCCGGGCTGTCGAAGTACTGCTGATAGTACGCGACACTGATACTGTCCGTCTCGACAGTGACCACCGCCCCGATGTGATTCGTCTCCGGTCCTAGCTTCAAGCGGACACTTTGCGACGGATCGGGGCTCTGTATAGTCACGGGCTGGTCTAGGATAGAGGCGTAGATACGGATCACACAGCTCGTGCGGGAGGCAGGGTGGACCTTCAGGGTCACGGGCGCATCGGCAGTCAGGACCCGCGCAGCGAGTACGAACATACTGTCCGCCGTAGGCGAAAGGATCGTTTCTGGAGAGTCAAAGGCAAGAACATCGGTGTAGATGTACATCACGTTGTAGACCAGGGAGTCGACGAGTTGGGTAGAGGTGAGATACACTGCTCGCCTATAGCCAGTGTACTATAGTCCATGCGGTATCTCGCTCATCAGCACGGTCGACCACACCTGATAGTACGTATGTCAAGACCTACCGTTTCTTTGTCTCCAGCATCCTCTTTCACAGGCACGGCACCAACCGCGGTTGAGAGTGCATACTGATCCTGCCACTCCGCCGGGCAAGTCGGCTGGGGCTCGTACGGTGTGGACATGATTACGTCGATTGCCAGACGAGATTGGATACCCGCATGTGTGAAGCAGGGCAAGCTACCATGCTTTATACGGACGGGGTTATCTGGGCAGCCGACGAGGGGGCCATGGGTCTCTGACTACCTAATATACGGACATACAGGCCGCATGATGTTCTTGAGATACATACACCGCTCGATAGCCAGGCCAACGCACTCGTACACCTTTCCAAGACGGCACATTAGACATATGGACGGGGATGCGTAGATACTGTGTAGCATCTTCCGTCGGGGAAAGTCTGACGCCCATCACCATCTCAACCCAATTTGAGACTACTACCGCCCATCATGAGTGAAACCGAAGTTAGCAAGCGCCTACAGTCCTCCCTGGACAGTAAGAAAGGGAGGTTCAATGAGGTACTTGGAAACCGTGGCTCACCCGCCAATACTGAAGAGAGACTTACAGCTTCACATTAGATCACCGCCCTGTCACAGAAGGCCATCAACAATGCCATGTCCGATCTGTTGAAAAAGCATACGGAGCTAACTGAAGTCAAGGCTGAATTCGAGGGAATCGGCACTCTGGATGCAACACTGAAGAGCAGCCAGCTTTCCCTGAATGTTACCGGGCAGGAGAATCTAGCATCAATGTACTAATGTACTATTGTACCTTCGAGTCTGGAACGGTCAATTTCGCCATTGGGTCTGTCTGAACATCTTCAAGTTAAGCAGTTTTTATCGCTTGGCTAACAATGTACCGGTTGCTTGTCAATAGGGATAAGGACTTCAAAGTCAACGATTGGACCACGGCTTGGACTTGCACTCTCGACAAGGAAGATATTGATCCAACCTCCGAAGAGTTCGAGCAAGTTTCCAACCAGATCAGTCAGCCTGGGGACTTCTCAATCAACTCCATATTCTTCGCTTTCACTAGTACGTACGGCGGCGGAGTTGTTCACGCTGTCTGTGGGAGAACATTGATAGGCTGATCAGTGACAACCTTGCTTTTATCTTCAGACGATCATATCATCAACTTTGAGTCAGCGACCATGCCCTTGGTGCCTTTGCCAGCTTGATGAGTGTTCTTTTCTGACACTATTTCTCTAGCCGGTATCACAGCTCCTTCAACGGAGCGGACGTGACCGACGACGAAAAGACCTATCTGAGTTTGATTCTGGGTAAGTGGTACGTAGGTGCGGATAGTAAGTGGCAGCACCGCCAGAAACGCACTCTGGCCTATGCGTTACATACGGCTAAGCCCGAGACCGTGAACAAGGAGGCGCCATCTTTCCCCCCAACGTCTCTGAAGCTGCAAACCTACCCCTACATCGCCCCCAATCAGACGAAGCCGGGGGAAGGTCTTGGGGCGGTCGGCGAAAACAACATGCTCCTCTATCTGCAAATGACCAAGAATCGATCCTTCCCAGATGTCCGGCTTCTGGAGTATTCGGGGAACTACGTCTCCCCGGGCATCAACGGCACGATTATCATCGATCGGGACATCTTCTGGGATAGCTACCTCTGTCGAACTTCTCCCTCCCAGCTGCTGTCTGTCTTCAATGTTTATACATACGCGTGGGTCGGCAGTGCGAGTAATCCCGACATGGCGGGAGAGCAATGGACAATTGCGTCGGGGAGCCATTCTAACGACCCCAACTTTTATGCGTGGAAGCAAAGTGCATCCAATCCCTTGACCTGGACATGGGCCCCCTCAAACAAGGAACAATCTTACCACCACACGTACAGTAAGAAAGGATATGGCTGGAATAGGCTCGACATTGATTGTAAGTATGCACCTTGTTGTCACGGACTAGAGGGATTCAATTAGTGACATTGGCGGTTCAGGCACCACATCTAACACGCTGAGCGCCGTTCCCGGAGAGAGCAATATCCATGCGAGGGGCATTACGGACATCAAAATTGTATGCCAGTCGGTTTGCACAATCTATCCCATGAATTGGGAATACGATTACACGTGCGTGTATTCCTACCTATCTATGTTTTCACCGGATTCAATCTGACAGAGACCATTCAGCATCCATATCAAAATCACTTGGCAAACCAAGATCACTATCTCGGCCGCCGACGGCGGCCTGAAGCTTTCTCTCAATCTGCCCGCCGATCTAACCAAAACCTTCCAAGTGACGGCGGATCCGCTGAAGTTCAGGGGCGACACTGCGGGCTTTAATCAACTGGACAGCGTCAAAGAAAGAAACCAGGGCTTACAGGACAACCTCGTGCAACAATTCCGGAACGTCTCATTTGGCGACGCCGAGAAAAACTTGGAGAAGGACCTCAATACCACGGCTCGGTTTGTGATTCCTGGCAACGCATCCTTGTTGTATGAGAAGCCGGTTTTCAACAACAATGGGGATTTGATGATTGAGGCCAATTACATAGTATAGTGTTCGCGATGTCTTGTTCTAGCCATCGGCTACTATGTAGTTATTACGTGGTTAGGAAATTCGATATTTTCCAATCTCGCTCTCTGATTGACTGGTTAGCTGGCACTCTTAACTCGACGTGCGACTGGATTCACAGCTAAACAATTTTAATGTAATTCATTTCCTTGTTTACTTTCTTCCACTTATTTCAAAGCTGAAGAAGGTTCTAAATCTCGTTCTTAGTTCATCTGCTAACCCTATAATGCCATCCTGACTGAGGTCCCTCAACTTTAGAATAAGGTCTAGCTCTCCGAAAAGCAAATCACGCTTAGCACAAGCAACCCATATAATAATCTCGTTGAGATCTTTATCAAATCCTCTCATCTCCGCCAGCCTCTCAATCACACACCTGAACATATCATCCAAGCCAACGGGAGGTTTAGCAAGAGCATTATAAACGAGGCTCGGCCTGTTCATGTCCCTGATTTCTGCACGCATGAGTCTAGCGCGCATCAATACATCGTTAAATTTGTTGTCGAGCGTTGTAATGATTTACTTTCTAAGCCTCTTTAACCGTTTTAGATGACTTTTATTTCAACTTTCCAAAAAGAGGAATACCCTTGTCGATTCCTTTCCGGATGAATGTTTTGATGTCAGCCTTAAATAACGGAGGAGTACATATATGGTTTTCAGGTGTATTTTCCCCTCCTCCATGCATTTAACACGTTATAGCCCAGATCATCGTGCACTAGCAACAGTCGCTCAATGGCTGGAAAACTTATGCCTATTGGACCTGAAGTCCGAAAGGCTTCTAACCATTTTGACCAGCAGCTCTTGGTTTTCTAGTGAAGTCTCGTCAACTCCATTAATGACGAGGAATAAAGGTTTCGATATCACACTGTCAGTGACAAATAAACTATTCCATATCGAAATTGGATTGAAAAGGCTTTTGCCATCTCTGCAAGCCACAATAGCTAATTCACGGTAGGCATCACAGAGCTCGACAATTTGATTGGCACTTGTTTTCAGGATGACTTCGGCCGTGTACTTGGCTTTCATGCCTTCTCTATTCTAAAAGAAGGTCACTATGCTAGAACTTAGATTTTGTAGTTCCGTGATGACTTAAGGCGCTAGATATGTATTTACTGTTCCCGGCTTTATCATGATCCAAAGCACAGGAAATTTCATAAGGACCCATTCTTAAAAAAGCGCCTGCTCTAGAAGCTAATCGCCTGATAGCCCGACTATCAAACTAGTAATGTCAGCATAGAATATCTCGTTATCCTAAGCTACGCTTATGTCAAGGGCTTGTCGAAGTAGCTCTCTGTCCCCGTCGGCTCCTCCCTGCTAATATATACGCTATGTTGTAGCATAGGTCGTAGACGTGATGAGAGCGATTTCTGTTCTCACATCTCGTCAAGTTGGTCAATACATTTCGTACTTTGTTTTCTTTGCCAGTGATATGCCGCATCATCCCCCGTCCCCGCCCACGCCTGATGGCCGCCTTAGCTTCGCAAAATATATCAAAGAGCGAGCGGAGGAGCTTAACTACAACCTTGTGAAGCTTGCGGCCTATATTCTCCCTGAGATACTTGTCTAGGCGATCGGAAATGTCTCGGGTCTTTCTGGACAGCATTTTGAGCGAGTCGTACATCTCAGTGACAACCGAACCAGAATCGACGAGAAAAAAGACCATCCTCGACGATGATATACGCAGACGCGAAGTGGGTTAGACCGATGTCCGCCTGAGAAAATTGGCCGAACCTCTGCAGCTGTATCATCGTAGCCTTAAACATATTTCAGAACTTTCCATGACTTTTCGAAATTGTAAGAAGTCAGACTCGTGCTCTGCAATTGGCTTGTCTTGTCAAGGTCAACGACCGTGTTTACTAGCGTCTTTAATTTCTTAGTGATAGATCCCCTATTCGACTCGTTCGAGTATTTGTCCACTGCCTCTTACCATAGTGGCTTTAGCTGAGAGTCTTTGCCATCGTCTATCACCATCCTTAATTGTTCAATCTCGATGGTCAACCCCGGTTGTGCTGCCTTGCATGTAGAACTAAGGAGCTATCCGCACAATGGCACGGAATCAGGTACGTAGAAGAACGTGCCGTGCTAGCGAAGGAAAGTGAGAGTATAGGGGTTGCGAGGGGCGGGAGGCAATAATCACCCGTCGATCCCTGATCTCTCGGGTCGGTCGATTATCCGGGCTGAGCGTCTTGTTGCACTGCGTGGAGTGGTTTGCATTATATGTCTATCTAGTAAATGGGCATTAATCACGAAGTCTGCCCGCTTTGTGACACCTGCACCGAAAAGAGCATGCGAACATCGGGGTTAAAAATATGGGCTAGATAGGGATATGGTTGAAGAGTAAAGAGGCTACGGTTAAGTGTTATTGAAAACCTTAATTACAGGCTACTAATAATAAAAGATTACTTCAGTAATGTGTAAAATAGGTTACAGAAGTCTCTCTTAACACTTGTGTCTATACCTACTAGACATCTGTTAGCTTTGGCCATAGCTTGCACCACTTAGTAGTTAAGGAATGAAAGCGTTTTCTTCTCGATTATAAAGTATGTGAAGAATCATAAACTGAGAGGAAACGACTTAAATATACTTGAGGAGTTTTCTTATACCAAAAAAAAAAAAAAAAAAAAAAAAAAAAAAAAAAAAAAGATTTATCTAGATACGTTCAGCAATTTACTAAAGTATCTTATCTTATATAAATTCAATTAAACTTGATATTCATGATGAAATATTAAACCTAGATCCCATTTTAATATAAGACTTGAAGAATCGATGAGAAGGCCCGTCTTGGACGTGGCTTTCCCCAGATCAGATGTTTTCTATAATAGGACCGATTTTACTCCGCCTAATAAGTCCGAGCCATCTTTAACTCTGTTTAGCCTCGATGTAAGTTTAATCAGTTTGTCAGTTCGCTCAACCTAGTTAAACTACTTTTGAAACACAACTATGCACAAAGTTTCCCCAACTAAAATAAATGCTAATTTTTGCAATATTAGATGATATCGCGAAAAATGTTCCACGGCCATACGTATTCGCTTGATAGGTTGAGAGGTAAGCGCTGCTCATAATGCGTACTGGGCAATTTATCTACTCCACCAAGAATGCTACCTGCTATCTTGGTCGATCTTTTCCTCTATTGGCGCTTATCGGCATTGCCGCGTAAATGACTTGCAGTAGTGTAGATCGCGGATCAGTCTAACCGTCGAGATTTGTAGTTGAAGATCGTTCCTTTTCAGATTTAAATAACGGCAATGCGTATATGGAGACTTATAAAAAGGGAGAGTTACGTGTGCGTTAAGACATATAAATAATTATTTGAATATTATCCGAACTATATGCAACGCAGGGCTCTAGAGAGGTGCAACCTACATGCAGGTTAAACCATGATTCAAATTTTAATTCCTAGTTTCGATATTGATGCAAGGGGCTGTGACCCTCCGTATTCATGCTGTCACACTCGATAGCAGGAGCTATGCTTCGAGCCGAGCCTCTCACTACAACCTGCCCCTTATTCCTCTATACTGTGGCGTTTATAAGTCACCCGGTATATATGACGGCTGACGAATATTTAAAATTTATGTCAGGTACACGGAGTAGATCCTACCAATCATATGTTCCTGCAGGATAGCCTAGACCCCATAACTCAAATGCCACCAGATAAGTGCCTACTTATATCTCTTAGCACGGACGGGGGGGAGGGAACAGACCGCGGCGGGTGGTTTTTTCGTATTCGTCCTGTTAACAGACTGCGAACACTATTTAAGCTTGGCAATAGACTCGCATGGCACGAATCTTGAATAGGGGACGGACATTGCGTGCGGCGCTTAAGTGTTGCATCCGATCGAGGGAAAGCCACCGAGCCCACGGCGGCGCTGGGGTAATATGACTGGATTGCTAAACTCCCGCCGCGTTTAAACTTCACATATAAACGGTGCGCATGTGGAATGTTTATATATAAAGCACTTGGGTTTGGCTTCAAACGAGGTGATCCATCTGCTATTCTACCCAAATATTTACAAATTACTCTTTACGAATACCACGCTGTGAATCATTGGGTTATCAAGGATTCATTCAAGCTTGGTATAACACCTCTCTACGACTACACAGATATGTTGCCATTACTATCATTGGCGGCATGCTGCCTTTCATTACCCCCCCTAGCTTCTGGGGCAGCAATTAGGCGGGAGTTGGTACCCTTGGACGCGACTGAGGTAGCGGTAGATGCTATGATGGCGTTATACGATGAGAAAACAGGCCTTTGGGATCCTAACAATCCAGGATCATCTTGGTGGCAGAGCGGTGTGGCTCTTTGGGCTCTCACGGAATACATGGCCAAGTCGGGATCTCACAAGTACCTTCCCCAAGCACTAAACACAGTCAAAATCCAGCGAGCACCTCTAAGCTGGTGGCCGGATGGAGATGGCGACTTCCGCGCCGACAGTACTGATGATACAGCCTGGTGGGCGCTCGCAATGACTAGTCTATACGAGCTCACAGATGATGAAGAATACCTGCTCATTGCTCAGGAAGACGAGGCCTATATGTACAAGTACTGGAACACGACAACATGTTCGGGTGGACTCATTTGGAGTATTCCCACCCGGACCTACCATAATGCTATTAGCAACGAGCTTTATTTAGAGCTTACGGCCAAGCTGCATAACCTCATCCCAGGAGACACGACGTACCTAAACCACAGCCTACAGGAGTGGGAATGGTTCAAGAACAGCGGCATGATCAACAGCGAAAACCTTGTTAACGACGGGCTAACGGATGACGCCGCCTGCGTCAACAACGGAAGGACAACGTGGACATACAACCAAGGTGTGATCCTAGGTGGCCTTGTCGAGCTATACAAAGCCACAGGGGATAGTTCGTACCTCGACGAAGCGCAGCAGATAGCAGACGCCGCGATTAGCAGCACGCTACTGGTTAAGGATGGAACTCTGACGGAACCCTGCAGTGACGAAAAAGCATGCGAGCCGAACGGAACCTCGTTTAAGGGTATCTTCATCCGGGAGCTGGCTAAGCTCAACGCCGTGCTGGATGATCACCCCTATGGCTCTTTTATCGCAACAAACGCTCTCACTGCGTACGAGTATGCGCGGAACAAATCTAACTTTTATGGTTTCCAGTGGCAAGGGCCGTATGATAATGTCACAATCGGCACCCAGGAGGCCGCGGTTCAGCTTTTAGTTGCGGCATATTTATAGAATGCGATACGTTAAGGCAATAAGGCATGGGATTTATAATATATCAGATGCATACAGCAGGGGTTTTAAATATTATCACTCTCAGATTGTTGTTGGCCTGGTCATAGGGAGTCTGGGACGAGCGGTGACGAATTTGTCTGGTAACTGGTTTCTGCAGTGTTTGCCTATTGAGGCTATTTGGTGTAAAGCCATAAAATGAGATAGGTACGATACCAATGATTGGAATATTTTGGTAAATAAATAGCTTAGGTTTTAATAAAAGTTTACTCCCACCTCCCTTCCTAGTGGCCCTAAAGTTATGTAACCGACTATATATGTTGGTGAAGGTTTTATATGTCCTTAGCACGAATAGCGAGAGTAAATCGCTGCTAAGCCGGCTACTCATAAGGTCGATTTAGTATCATAAGAAGTACGTATCTCTGAGAAGGTATTTAATACTAAATGAATTCTTGTGCTAAAAACTCAAAATCCCCAATTATCGTCTTGCTAAGAGTGGCAACAACAACAACAACAACCTTGCGTACACGCATTAATTCGAAGAATATACCATGAAGCTAATTATAGGAGCGCCTGAGGTTTTATTTATAATGATTTTACTCACCTCTGCATGATACTAATATAAATTGTACATTGGCATTCATTATAGGGTGGTAGGCTTGATACGGGATATCTATTAATGTTATGCTATCGTTGGTTAATCTTGTTTAGTCCACTAACTTACTTTCTGTCATACACAAAATTTTTATAAGATTTGGAGTTGTGTTTCTGAAGATTTTTAGACAATAGCTCGGGATTCTAGATATACTAGGTAGCCTTACTATCCCATGTCGCTGGAGAGACCAGAAGAGTTACGTACCCCTATACGCGGCAAGTCTAACACCTAGTTGTATGAACAGGCGACTAGCTAGGTAAGTGCTTTCTACTTGGTCGCACGTTCGTCGACTGGTTACTGTACTTAGGTTAGATAAATATGTTTGTTCAGCCTTACCTGGGCAACTGAGCCACCCCATTTGGCACATAGGCAACCACTGACATCAATTAAAACTCGATTTGGGTCGCATGATACGCCAACGAGTTATTGAGTCCTTCTATATTATATTTAATAACCCCCACCGTGGGGCTATCTTGCGCTTGAGGAGACTAGGACGACTTTATTCTTATCCTAGTCGGGTCTCGATGATAGGGTTTATACCCGTGATGGATGTCATACATAGAGCGAACGTCAGGATAAATAGATTGAACTAGTAACGCCTGCCTTTCTACGCTCTTACGATGGCGCTACACGCCCCTTATATAATAGATATACCCCTATAGCTACCCCTAACCCACTTTTACCCTGACAGAGTCACCCATCTCCCCCAGTGGTTCCATCTTCGGAATCATGTAGCAAGAAAGGCGCGTGTAAAAAATATCGTGAACTTCGTCGTCTCGGCGGAGCCTCATTTCATGGTGTTGATAATAAGATACGCACGCCCTCACCACTGCCTAGTCTTGCCGCTATGTCGCCCCAAGAGTCCCTAACGAGGTCCCTGCTTATCAAAATAACTCCATAGTTGTGGACTAGCAATACTTAACTTCGAAGCCTCCTGGGAAGTTGCTGGTTCCCTCTCACCTATCCTCCTGCGATGTTGCCGCAGTCTTTCCCTTTCGTCGCGGTGCTCTCTTTCGAATCGTAGCTACTCTCTCGCGCCGTCGAAGTGTCTCGTAATCCATCTTCTTGACGAACGGCCTCTGGATAATAGGCATTACGCTGTCAAAAAGAACCCTTCATGTATGTCCCACATAGAATGAATATTAGAAGCAGCAGCGAAACTGTTATATAGTAGCCGCGTAGTGGTATGATTCTATCAATGCTTTATCTTCTATCCTCTTTCGAGGGTGCTGCGTGCTCCTTATACATTTATACTATGTAGATCTACGCCTATTTAGACTGGATCCTCTTATACCCTAACGCTCGATATAATCGAAGAGGAGTTTGGGATCAAGCTAATTCAGTTTTGAAATAGCTAGGGAAGCACTTTATTTATGGATTAGATGCAGAAGATTGTACGATATGAATTGGATTTACCCTATATAATATTTATGTAGTTGCTGGTAGTTAATGTCAATATAAGAGGAGCATTAAAAAAAGGGGGGCGGTGGCTAATCCTTACTAACGTACAAATTCAACTAAAGAGAAATAAATTTTACGTAGCGCTTTTGTTATTGGGAATAACTTTTCTAAGACTCTAAGGTCCCAGACGTGTATTTCTTCTGAATAGTCTTATTATTGCCCATTACGCCTTGCTAAAACCAAGACTCCATCCTACCCCATGCTGGATAATAGTATTATATCTACATGTTGTCCGCGGCATCATTTCCTTATAGGGTTCCCAACCTTTTCTTGATATTCCTATTAAACTTTATAGAGACGTGGTATTTCTTCATACCAATCGCCTTAGAGAACCATCGGTATCCTTTCGAGCATTCTATACCCATTATCAGACTGTCATTCATTACCTTGTGCTATCAAGCCTCGATTGATCAGCACGCTCCAGTATCGCTACCATTTCATGATGTTGCGCAGACCGAGCGATATCCAATACAGTCTGTCCTGACTTATTCTTTATCGTCAAATCAGCACCATGCTTTAGTAGGACCTCGGCATTTTCTCTAGAGTCCCAATCCGCGCAGAAAAATAGAGCTGTTGGGTAATCGTCGTAGTAGAAATGGTTAACATCGGCTCCGTGTGAAAGCATATAATCTGCCAGTTTCGTATTTGAACACGCGTTCGCCCAGAGGAAGGGGTCTCTTCCGTTGTAACCTTTGATATGCATGTCGGCGCCACTGTCTATTAAAACCTTAGCACATTCGAAATACTCCTCGTCGCCCAAACCGCTTAGCACCACACCGCCTTGAAACATGTCAACAGTCTAGACTTCATAGAAGCATATCTTCATTGCTTACCGTCGCCTGGGTAGACATAATCAATATTAGCTCCGCTTTCTAGCAGAATGCGGGTCATCTCAACGTCTCTTAGTACTCTCGCAGCAACTTCTAACGGGACGTATCCAGTGTTAAAAAAGGCCGCCAATTTCTGGTGGGAGCGAATATTTTTATCAAGCTTATCCTCTGTCTCTGGCGGTAGATAATCGTCTTTATTAGCACCGTGAGCTAATAATAACCGAACGGCTTCCCTTTGCTGTTGCATCATCGCTTGATATAATGAAGGGAGGCCTAATAGATATTGGTTAATTTCAAACTTTGTTCAAGCTTCATGTGGTAATCACCACTCACCATATATGTCTCTGATATTTGGGTCGAATCCCGCAGAAAGAAGGATTTCTAGACTCTGAAGGTCGTTGGTTTCGAGAGCTTGATGGACAAGGCATGGACCAGAGGCCGACTTGTTGAATTTTGGCGCCATGGTTTTAAGCAGTGGCCTAATGCCGGGTATCTCTTCAACCCTTTGGGTCAAGGGGAAAATCATTTCAATGGATCCCGTAAGAGAGCACCCCCTTTGCACTAAGACGTTGGCGACGGTCAATGCTTCGGAAGAGAGAGCAACGTTTAAAGGAGAACGTAACTGGTTGTCACGCGCGTTAATATCAGCACCGTGATCGAGCAGGAGTTGGGCAATCTCCGCATCATTATATATGGCGCAGAAATGAAGCACTGTTTGGCCATCTTGCGTCCTCTCAGCTGTGGAATAACCGCTTGAAATGAGACGAACAACCCCATCGCCATTTCTGGCTCTAACTGCTTCAAGCAAAGTGGTCGGCTCTGCTGAGAACGGACTGAGGAGTACTTCACTAGATTCCTGCGAATTAGATTGATAATCTAATGGGGACGTAGGTTTTGAGGGTTCCGTTAATTGATCGAAGTATCTGTTCAAAGGAAAGGCGACGTCTGTTGATTGAGATATAGATTGACGCCGTCCTCCAAAGGCCGAAACGCTCGCGACATCATCTTCCATCCTCTTTCGAACTCTCTTTCCGCTATCTCGGTTACGAAGTTCAATAGAAAGCTTCTCGTAGACCTTGTTGACATCATTCTTAATCTCATCCTGGCCTTTTCCCTCGAGGAATCTGTGCTTGACTTAGTATAGTTTTGACAATAGGGTGATTATGATGAAAAGTCAAGGCTTACGAACCCGTTTATTACTGATATTGTGATGTTCAAACTTGTTTTACTTTCCTGAAGTCTCTCCCTCAATGCTTTGATTTCACCTTTTCGCATCACCCAACCAACCATCCTTATCGGACTTCTTCTACCAGACCCTTTTAGAGGCGCTATGAGTATATGGATCGATTGCATGCTGTCTTGGCATAGGTTAATACACTCTGTTAAACTATTTTCTAACGCAAGATCCTCTGATTTTAAATCATATTTAGCGCATATGTCTTGGAGAGATCCAAGCACCGCAGAAAGGTTCTGCACGTCGCGGCGGATATGGAGTATCTCCTGTGGTGCATCAGTCATCTCCTGGATTAGCGAAATAAGGGCCCTTGATGTAGATACAGCAAGCCCAGCGACGCCTATGACGCTGGCAACCATTGACAACGGATCGGCCATATTGATTATTGGAATTTTATGTAAGATGGCTGAATATCGTGATATAAAGGGTATAGCTATGAGTTAATATGGAATTCCCTTGATCTTATTCCAAGATACTCATAATAAATCAGCATGCAAGAGGACTCATTGAACGTTGAAGCATTATTCAGAAGGATTGCGGCAGTGCCACTTTCCTGCGGCATTAGGTTGCCTCATTCCATCGCATATATAGTTACATTATGCTATTTATATCATTGGTTGAATGCGGCTGAGAAAATATACTTAGCTTACTGGTCAGCGCATAAAATTTACACGTATTTATACCTAATGAATATTAACCATGCATATATAAGTATCGTAAGAAATAATGTCTAGTATTCTAATCAGCTATTATGCAGCTTCTTAAAGCTAGTTTATAATACTAGGTGATAATAAAGGATGGGTATAGTCAAGGTGAGTGTAAAATTCCCTTTCTGCAGTGACCCTTCTTCCATGTTCTAGGTCACAGACGCCGGACCCTAATGCACAAGCATCTTGAATAACCCTGGCCTGTCAATTTCAGGCCGACATGGACGTATTGGTCGAAAGGATTTTGTTCTCCAGTATGCCCATCCCGTCCATAAGGTACAATACCCAACAATAGCTTTAAACGGAATCGGATTCTTTCTGGAGTTGTTGATACGTCGATAAAGACTACTCAAATTAAAAGGCCAGGCATGATGGTTCACTACCTGGGTGGGGGGTGAGTCGATGCGTTTGCCGGTACAGATATGAAGAGTTGTTGTTTAGTATGTTGGGTAGGTTTTGCTTGTGGGAATATGAGGCTCGAATAAGTTGTTATTTAAGAGTTTTGAATATGTATAAAAATAAATTAACAAGCTTGCATGATCATAACCAAGCCGTAGTCTCCGGTACCACAAGGAGCAAAACTTGGTAAATAAATAACAATTGCCAATTCCTTGAAGTTTATAGTATTAAAGATAAGCAAGGAATAAAAATTAATATAAACTTCACTTTTACTTAAAAATGATTTAGTTACTCGACGATCTGGAGTTGCACAAATCTTCGCGTAGTGGTAGAGAAATCAACCAAAGTGGATCGAGTATTCATTACGTAATACAACCCCGCGGCGACATTACGTCATAAAAGGTTTTGCCATATATATATAAAAGTCAAGCACAATTTTCAATCCGAATTGGTGTAGTGGCTAACATTTGACGCTCTCAAGATTGAACAATCACGGAACCGTCAAGCCCGGGGTTCGATTCCCCGATTCGGAGTTTCTTTTTCGTATTTTCGTATACTTATTACTTTTTGAGGTAGGCTCAGTAAATGGATCTTTTTGTCGCATCTAGTCTCTCATAATACACCCCATCCCAGAGCCCAGGCAAGTCTTTCTATCTACCTTTCCTCGTACATTTTTGGCTTTCAGGTGATAATCTTGGGATTTGAATTGCCTTTTGATTTTCGGGTGCCCTCTTACGCCTAGAATCCCCAGGTGATCCGATGGACATTAGTACCGAATTTAGCTCTTCGTGCCTCTTGTTACAAAGTAGTGGATGGATATTGCCTCCCATATATAGGGTTTAGTAAATGTCATGGCTTTCCTAGCTGTCTACAAAGTTCCTGGCCTAAGGCATGTAAAAGAAACTTAAAGCATCGCCTTACAACCCAAACTGGTGTAACGGTAACCCAGCGATTGACACTTGAGTAATTCTTTTCCGCCCCTGGGTAATACGTACCTAAAGTTATCAGAAAATTCCATCCAACTACTACTACTACTCTCTACTACTGTTATCAGCTGGTAACTCTGGCTGTCATTCCCTCATTCCTCTCTCCTCCGTTGGGCTTAATATTTTCTATTTATATGCCCTACGTCTACCCTACGTGACCACCACTATAGCATGTCCCTTTTGGTCACCCCTTCGCGACTGTCCTTCCTCCCAATATCCTCCCTCCTCCGTCCTTACATCTAATTTTATTAACAATCTAAGTAATAAAAGTTAGTAAGTCGGTATAGGCTAAAAGGGAATTCGTTTAACGTGCCCATGGGATGGGAAATTGCATATAGTAGTTGCCATGAAAGGATACAGAACTAATAAACAGGGCCTTAAACTTCGCCTAGGATATGAACTACGTCTCTTGTTTCAAGAATTCCCTATCCAATACAAACTGATCCTTAATATTCATAGACAAGGGATAGTCAGTGGAGCCCAAATGAGGTCAAGTACTGTGTATATTAGTGCTTGGATATATAGGCAGATATATAAGTTTACCTATCTATAGATAAACTTGGTGACTGATTAATTAAAGAGAGACACGTAGCCTTTACTAGACTATCATAATAAAGAGTGGCAACCCCCATTCTTGATGATCCCATCCGAATATACTCATTAAGCTAATGATAACTAAAAAAGCAGCTACTGAGCTTGGACTACATCCTGTAGACTTAATCCTAAGTCAGTTAGGGTACGAGGCCCCAAGCCGCTTCGAGAGTTTATCGTCGATTATTTTAATGAACTCGGCAACGCCCAGTTCATCATAATAAGCGACACCGTGATGCTGATTGGAATGTGCGCCCACTTGATGCCAGTTATTGATAGGGGTTTCAGGTGGTGGACGACCAACGAAGGCCTGTCCCGGAAGGGGAGTATACGGCATGTGTGAAATTGCGGATAGAAAACTAGCTCTGTCTACCCAGGTTTTTGCTTCGGGCTTAAAGTCATCGCTGCAATGGAGGATCCTGGTTAGGATATTGTTGAGATTTCTGTTATGGTCGGGATTCGTGGACCAAGCCTGAGGTACGATGTCGTAGACGTTATAGAAGTCCGTGTTATAGACCTTGTAGTCTTCGCCCGACAGAGGGTCCTTGGTGAAGGTTTCGGCATATTGTTTGGCGAAAATGTCGTTTCCGGGAGAAACCCCGGCGGACGGCAGAACCTTAATCGTACTATTGCAGCGAAGCTTAGACCGAGCCAACCCCAGTGCAGCGGTCGGAGCAAGGGCTCCTCCTAGGCTGTGACCTGTGAAGACGACGGTGTAGTCTGAGTCAAGCTGCTGCAAGTACTCGTCGATACGCAGACCGCTATTGACTGCTGTACTAACATTGCTCAGTAGGTTCCACGTGCCATCGCAGATTCCCTTTGCACAATAGGACCGGGAAGGGTATTTCTCGGGGTGATCCTCGGGTTTAGGAATACCTTGAGAAGACCACGAATCAACCCAGGCATCAAAGTCCACGACCGCATAAACATTTACATCTTGCAATAAGTCTGGAATTGAATTAGACGCCGTACCTGCAATGGCGACAGCGCAGACTTTCTGAGTGCGACTAATGGCAGCAAACCAGGTATTGTCCGGTCCGGTTGCCGGGTCATCAGGCTTCTCTTTGAAGACTCTTGGCCCCCAGGAAATAGACCAATCACCTGGCAAACGCGGGAGTGTGTCTCCAAGAGCTATCTTTAGTGCATCTTGGAGATTTGTTTCTGTGCCTTTCTTATTCGAGACGAGGCCAGATGAGAAAGAGAGGCAGTAGATTTGTTGGAATATGTTGTAGTCGAAACACGCCATCTTGGGGTGAGTATAATAAATTCTTGTTGGAACGCTCTAATATTTTCAAGATATTGATGTTGGATGACTGGAGAACGAATTGGGTTATAGAAGGACTGGGTCTGAGCTAAATTTCACAAACCTGAGGGACTCCATGGGACTTAAATACCGTTTTTACTCTACGAAGACAGAAAAAGATTATCGTAGAGAGCCAGAACTTGGCCTTCTCAGCTTAACTGTTCTTTACACAAGCTTAGGTTTCGGCGAGTTCAGGCATGATCGCAGTCGCAGGCTTAATGACTATGCATTGCCCTAGCCAATCTAGACAGTCGATTGTTCCGTATAATCCACTCCTATATGCGATGTAGTTATGTGTTGACATGAAATCATGGCATAATAAATGATGACACGTAAATATTCTATTCATGTGATATCAAATCAATCAATATAATGCAGCAGGGAGGAGCTGAAATGTTGTGTGACTATTCTGTGTCTTGCAAGACCTACTTTTTTTTTTCTTTTTTTCCTTTTTGGCTGATGAACAATATCTACCTTGGCGGAAATAGTGAATCGAGGAGGGGTTATTCTATCGTTGTCAAATGCATCTCCGTGGGATAGTTTAACTATGCTGAAAAGTTGAAAAACTGATACGTCTGCTGGGTCTGTGGGACGTGACTCTGATAGAGGGCGGCCGTCAGCATTAATCGTGCAAGCAATCAAATTGCATGAAGAACATGAATCATTGCTCAGATTCCGATCTGCCAAGTGATATAGCCTTTCCCACGACAGGCTGTGGGCTTGGCTTACAATTCACTCAGCAGTGATGTGAAGCCGAAACTCTCGTTGAAGGTAAAGTACGAATATTGAAGGTATAGGCGGTGACCATTAGCGGCGACTTCGTATTTTCTTTCGCTGGTTATAACAAGACAGCTGTCATAATTCCATGCTTCCAATTCGCGCTCTCTAGTTCTAGCCAATATTCTCGCTTATATTATACTTCTGTTTCTAACTCAGAACATCTACTTAGTTACTAGTTGAGCTTCTTATTCAGGGGCTTATGATATAGAATGGGAGTTAGAACCGGTATTCAATCAAGCGCAACTCGTCTAGCTATGATCTGATTCCAGCAGACGGACCGTTCTCCATTACCGAACAATGCTTTTATCTTTACTAATTCACATCACGTAGCTGCTGTTCTCTCGCAAAGATACCACCGTCGATGTACAACATCTGCCAGTTTACGACTATGTACCCGCTATAATGTAGATAACTTTGCGTACTTTATCATTGTTATATTTCTATTTCGAAGGCCGACAGTTTTGATTTAAGCAATTCGAGGACGTGAAATATAGTTGAGTATGTCAACAAAGGCCCGATGTCCAATGGCACCCAGTTGCTCTCCCTGCTAAGGAGAGATATTAAAAATTATAGGAATATTCTTTGATACCGTAAACCTAACGCCGGCGCTATGTGATCAACATTCACGAAATCATTATTGGAGCTCAACCATCGTGGCTTGGTCATGCCTGGGCACGTCCACCACTTCCTGTCTTGACACCCTCTAGAACAACAGCCCAAGTACCTGCTTCGCCTCCGAATCCAGCGTAACCGGCAGCAATCCGGCGCATGAGAAGCGTATCCTTCGCCACAGCTAGCCGCTTTCCCTCACCGCTCTCTAAGCTTTCTCTGAACCACTGCTCTTCCTGGTCGTCAAACGGTAAGCTAGTTAACTCGAGCGCCCGCTCGGCTGACTCGTCGTCATGAGTAGACTCCAATACGGATAAGACAAGGCGCTGGAAAAGTTGCCGACGCATGAACTCAGCATGCGATCGTGAAAACTGGAAGGCATCAATAACGCTCGATCGCGCCAGGGCATTGAATAATAGTTCCAACGCCGAAGATGATTGAATAATAGGCTGAACTGTATGGTAATAGGCGAGAGGCAGACTATAGTCGCCATTCTTAGCGTTGCGTACAAGAACAGTGATGATATCGTCGACGAAATCGGGTTGGAGCGACGGATGTGTAAGATACTGTAATGCGAGATCAAATTGCAGTGCGTCCATGTGCCATAATCCTCTCATGAAGATCCTGTAATTTTTAGGCATGCTGGTACGCTGAGCGTGGGTTTCAGCCCGGTTAGACCCATTTCGATCGTCAACGTCTAGTAGTAAATAGAATACTACTGAGAGCTTGTGGTGAATGGTAGCATTCTTGGTCTCGCATATCTGACTGTATAATTGTCGAAGAGCGTCGCTGTTCTTGGGAGGGTAGTGGCTAGCAGCTATACGTAGAAACAAGATTAGCAACTAACCAGAATATGAGATGCTAGGTAAGATAAATATTCACCTTTTGATAAGTTCAGAGCTTTCATTACTCGATCAATAAACAGGGAACCCTCAAGACTTCGTCGAGAAGCTTCAAGGTGTTGGGTAACACTGCGGTCATAAGGAAAGGGATCTAGAGAACCGAAAATGCGGTCGAACTTGGAGGGATCGAGCATTTTGGATAATTAGAAAATTTCAAAGAACGAATAAGTATCTTAGAGTATAATCTTCTTGTACATGTAATTATTTGATATCGTGATAACTTGAGCTGTAAAAGGAACCTTGGAAGACAGTAAAATGCAGATGCGCCGGCAATTCATCGGTTAAGATGGTAAGAAACAACCGCGTTTGGATAGCTGTTTAGCTTTTTAGCTGTTGAAAGGAAGCTAACGACGCGCTACTGTAGTACTGATTGATATCGGCTTAGTAATAACTCTAATTCCGGTGATTTTGTACGGAATACATTAGGTACCTGAGGTTAGGTACCTGTACCTGAGGTAGCTCTAGCGATTGAGGTAGTGGTAGTGGGGGTTTGTGGGGGGATAAACCTGCAAGTTGTTTTTGTTTACTTTCTACCCGAGACACGGGCACCTAATTTATTTTCGCCCGCTATCAATTATCAATTAAGTAGTCAAACGTGCTACGGCGACAACAATACCGACAACGACAACGACAACGACGACGACTAGCCGACAAATCTATCCCGCCCCAATTTTTTGTGGCCCAAGTATAACCGCGTTCGTCCCCCTAGAGTAATTCAAATTGATCAACAATGTCCACCAGACCGACTCGTCGTGCCGCAGCGGCTCGGCGCACAGCTATTATTGAATCGGAAGACGAAGAGGATGAGGTTGCGAATACTACTAGAAAAATAAAAGAAGAAGAAAGCGAGGAAGAATTCGCCCCTGAGACATCAACCGCTAGGACTTCGCGCCGTCAAACACAGAGCAGAAGGAAGTCTACGGTACCTGCGACACCGCGCGGAGGCCGTCCAAGGAAGAGCACCGCCAGCGTCGCCTTAGAGCCATCCATCGAAGAGAGTCAGATCCCTGATCCTGACCGTACTGCTACCTCCATACTCAGCCCAGAGCCAACCCCCAATAAAGCTACCCCAAGAAAACGGAAGAGCGTTGCGCCGCGAAAAGTTATCAAGGAGCTTACACCTGTTAAGGAACCTACCCCCGAGGCCACATCCGGTAGTCAGCCTCATATACCGACACCCGCTCAGTCTGAGGAACCTTCCGAGCTTCACGGCACGCCTCTAGCTGATATCACCGCCCAGAGCGTAAACGAGCAACAACAGGACCCAGATGAGACCATTACTCAGGTCAAGCCTATTCAGGCGATGGACACTATCCTAGAGAGGCCTATGGATATTGTTCTAAAGTCGCGTAAGATGGCATTGCCCGTCGTTGAAGATACAGGCCCCAAAGCTCGTATTGTTATCACATACCTGATCTTAACCAACTTCAAGAGTTACGCCGGAAGACAGGAGGTTGGCCCGTTTCATTCCTCTTTCTCCTCGGTAGTAGGACCCAACGGTTCCGGTAAATCGAATGTCATCGATTCACTTCTTTTCGTCTTCGGATTCAGGGCAAGTAAGATGCGACAGGGCAAGATATCTGCTTTGATCCACAACTCCGCGGCCCACCCGAACCTGGATCACTGTGAAGTGGCTGTTCATTTCCAAGAGGTCATGGACCTGGTTAGTTTGATATAATATGATATTACATAGGGGATGCCATGCTAATTTTACATTTAGCCCGGGGGCGGAACGGAAGTAATTCCTAATTCCCAAATCATCATCTCGAGAAAAGCATTCAAGAATAACTCGAGTAAATACTATATCAACGGAGGGGAGTCTAATTTCACAACGGTGACTACTCTACTACGCGACCGAGGAATCGATCTCGACCATAAGCGTTTTCTCATCTTGCAAGGTGAGGTCGAATCAATTGCCCAGATGAAGCCTAAGGCTGGCAACGAGCACGAGGACGGTCTACTAGAATATTTAGAAGATATAATTGGCACCTCTAAATATAAAACGCCTATCGAAGAGGCAGCAGCGGAAGTAGAAACCCTTAATGAAGTTTGTATGGAGAAGAGCGGTCGAGTTCAGCATGTTGAAAAGGAGAAGAACGGTCTCGAGGATAAAAAGAATAAAGCTTTGGCCTTTATCCGCGACGAAAACGACTTGACTCTGAAGCAGTCAGCGCTCTATCAGCTTTACATTAGCGAGTGCAATAATAACGTGAGCGTGACTGAAGAGGCAATCAGCCAGATGCAGGCTCAGCTTGACGCTGAACTTGAGAAACATCAAGGCAGCGAGCAGGTTATTAGACAGTTGCAAAAAGCCTATGCTAAGGGTTCTAAGGAGTTTGAGGCTCAAGAAAAGAATGTCCAGGCCCTCGTTAAGGAGGTCTCCAAGTTCGAGCAGGAGAGAGTCAAGTTCGACGAGAAACGGAAATTCTTGACTGACAAGCAGAAGAAACTCGAGAAGACGATTTTGAATGCTGAAAAGTCTGCAGCAGAAGCCGAGGAAACTGTTGAGCAATGCGCCGAAGAGATTGCTTCGCGTGCCGAAGAGATCGCCGCTCTTGAGGAACGTATGCAGGAAGAGGAGGCAGAACTTGCAACGATACGAGATAGCTTAAAAGGCAAGACGCAAGGATTCTCGGACCAGATTGCGGCCAAGCAGAAATCCCTAGAGCCTTGGAAAGAGAAGATAAACCAAAAGCAGTCTGCCATTGCCGTTGCTGAGTCCGAAATGGCCATTCTCGAAGAGAAGGCCAATGCTGGCGCTGTAGCACTTGAGGAGATGCAGACGAAGATTGCTAATATTGAAGAAGGCCGGAAAGCTAAATTGGCAGAACTTAAGGAGTGTCAAGCTGAAAAAGTAAAGCTAGAGAAAGAAGCAAAAGAGGTTGTGGCCGACCTCGAAAGCCTGGTCCAGATGGAACCCAAGGCTCGGGCAAAGGTTTCAAATGCTCGGCAAAAGGCAGAAGAAGCGCGATCCAGCCTTTCTCAGACACAAACTCGAGGCAATGTGCTTACCGCACTAATGCGAATGAAGGAATCGGGACGAATTGATAGCTTTCACGGCCGTCTTGGGAATCTAGGTACGATTGATGAGAAATATGACGTTGCTATCTCTACGGCCTGCCCGGCTCTCGACAATTTCGTTACCGACACAGTAAAGGCCGGTGAGCAATGCATCGAGTATCTTCGCAAGACCAACCTTGGGTGGGGTAGCTTTATATGTTTGGATGCAGTACGCTCGCGCGATTTGCAGCCTATTCAAACACCTGAGAATGTGCCACGCCTGTTCGACCTGATTAAAGCTAAAGAAGACAAATTCCGCCCTGCTTTCTATGACAAGCTACAAGATACCCTAGTCGCCAAAGACCTAGTTCAGGCAAACCGGATTGCGTATGGTGCCAAGAGATGGCGGGTTGTCACACTTGATGGAGAACTTATTGAGATAAGCGGTACTATGTCTGGTGGTGGAAATACCGCCAAGAGAGGCTTGATGTCGAGTAAGCTCGTGGCTGATACGTCTAAGGAGCAAGTCGCCAAGCTTGAGAACGACCGCGACGCTATTGAGCAGCAGTTTCAGGAATTCCAGGATCATCAACGAGAGCTCGAGTCGCGCTTGAGGTATCTGAAAGATCAGATCCCTCAGCTGGATACCAAGATGCAAAAAATTGGCCTAGAGATTCAAAGCGCCGAGAAAAACCTTGTGGATTCTCAGCGACGCATCAAGGAGCTCAGCAAAGAGCAGCAACCATCACAGTCTGACGACAACAGAGCCGCTGTGCTCCAAAAGGAGATCTCCAAGTTAAATAAGGAGATGTCAAAACTTCACTCTGAAACCGAAGGTTTGGAAGCAGAGATCAAAGAGCTTCAAGACAAGATCATGGAAGTCGGCGGAGAGAAGCTTCGTGCTCAGCGTACAAAGGTTGATGCTATCAAGGAAGAGATTGCCTCTCATAACGAGGAAACATCGAATGCCGAGGTAAAGAAGGCCAAAGCGGAAAAATCGAAGACGAAGCTTGAAAAAGACCACGCCAAGGCCACCAAGGAGCTGGAAGCCGCGATACGCGACCTTGAGAAGCTGGAAGAAGAGGTCGAGAATCAAGGTAGTAAATCCGAATCTTTGAACGCTCGTGTCGAAGAGGCGGAAGAAGAGCTAGCAGAAAAGAAAAAGGAACTGTCTACGTTAAAATCCGAATTGGACGAGAAGACCTCTGAACTTAACGAAACGCGCGCGGTCGAGATCGAGATGCGTAACAAACTAGAGGAGAACCAGAAAGTACTCGTTGAAAATCAGAAGCGTCTGCGTTACTGGGATGAGAAGCTAGGAAAACTCGTCCTCCAGAACGTTAGCGATTTGAGCGGACCCCCAGCTGCCAAGAAGCCGACGAGACAGGCAGGCAAAGAAACAGCGGAAGGCGAAGAGGAAGAACAGCAGGAGGAAGACGAGCAAGGGGAAGAGCCTGAACAGCAACCCGAGGAACTTCCGCGCTTCACGGAGGATGAGCTGCAAGATATGGACAAGGAGACTCTTAAGGCCGAGATTGCTGCGCTTGAAGAAAAGACACAGAATGTCAACGTGGATGTCAGCGTCTTGTCGGAGTACCGCCGCAGAGTCGAGGAGCATGCAGCTCGATCTTCCGATCTGGCAAGTGCCGTTCAGCAGCGCGACGCCGCCAAGAAGCGTTGCGATGACCTGCGCCGGTTGAGACTAGAAGGCTTCATGGAAGGCTTTAGCATCATCTCTCTCCGACTTAAGGAAATGTACCAGATGATCACAATGGGTGGTAATGCTGAGCTGGAGCTCGTCGATAGTTTGGATCCCTTCAGCGAAGGAATCCTATTCTCCGTCATGCCGCCAAAGAAGAGCTGGAAGAACATTAGCAACCTCAGTGGTGGTGAGAAGACATTATCTAGTCTTGCGTTGGTGTTTGCGCTGCACCATTACAAGCCAACGCCCCTATACGTCATGGACGAGATTGACGCTGCCCTGGATTTCAGGAATGTGAGTATCCCCTACAATTGTACCTTCTCATTAAGTCCTGTGAAATGTTTGCTAACAGAGATATTAACTAGGTGTCCATCGTGGCCAACTACATCAAGGAGCGGACAAAGAACGCACAATTCGTAGTCATCTCGCTGCGTAACAACATGTTCGAGCTCGCAGCCCGACTAGTCGGCGTATACAAAGTCAACCACATGACTAAGAGCGTAACGATCGAGAACCGCGATTTCATCGTTCGCGGCGCGACGGCGAGGCAGCAACAACAGCACAATGACCAGACCGTGGCTTCATGAAGGGATATATGACTTCAGTTAGAATACGTATGATATTTATTGCTCGTGTAATGAACGCTTTAGCGCGGAGCGCAATGGGGCTACGATGTTTGGGCTGGCGGTCAACGAGATGTCTGTCACGGATTTGATGAATGGTGGGCGGGTGCGTAATGGTATGAATATCCAAATGCGCGCTGGAGCGAAGCTTGTTTGGAATAGGAATATACGTTTGATTGATTCCTCTGTCTTATATCATGATCGGCGTAAAGTAGACCTAGGTTACCCGCCAGTTACCTCTCAGAACCTTCTCAAAGATGTAGTCTAGGAAGCAAGCTATGCGTAATGACCATCTTACCTGTGTTGTAAATGTCTCTGTTATATAGCATCATGTAAGGCTCAATTGTATTGGCCAGTGTTCTGACGATCCAACTAATTTAGCTAACTATATATACCTTATTAGCAAAGCTGCTAACCAGTGACATGGAAGCATTAAGCTTCCCGACCCCTCCAAAAGGGCGTGTAACTCAGTGGTAGAGTGCTCGCTTCGCATGCGAGAAGTCCAGGGTTCGACTCCCTGCTCGTCCATTTTTTTGCTCTGTTCATCTGCGATGACACTCCTTATTTTTTTTCTCCCCATTTTACCCAACTCCACGAATATCCAACGCTAGATTGTGCATGGAAGATTAGGTAATAGGTAAGTAATACTAGATATATTGTCTCTATCTTCACCCTATTGGACCAGCGTAAAATTATCTTAATTACGAAGTTTACTGGATCATTCAGGTCACGAAGCCTTCGGCGGTATTGAATTCAAGAGGTGATTAGACAGTCCAGTTGAATAAAGCCTTTGACTAATATGATAGACTTGAAAGCCCAGCCATCTAGACCGAAGTCTCAAATGTACTTGATGATGGGAAAATTAGGTCACAGAGGGTAAAAGCCGTAATTATGAATGGCCAATAAAAAGCAGTTGTTTTACGTCGTGGCAATATGACTTGATTCATAAGTCATTATCTGAGGTAGTAATCATACCGAAAACCGTTTTTCATGCAAGTGAAACCATTTCCGATGACCAGATGACCAGATTCATCGTCCCAGACCCTATCACTCCCCTAGACACCGAAAAGAAGCATTTAGGCAACCTTGGCAGTCTGGGTGGGAGTCACCTTCTTGCCATCCTTGTTGTAACGCACACGCGGAGGAGGAGCCCTGTTTCGGCGGCCTTCACGCGATCGGACACTAGAGATAAATTGTTAGCGGATATAGTTCGAGATCGAGGAGGAGGGAAGGAATAGGAGGGGGTTTTCGTTCGAGGTTCAACCAAGGCTCATCTCAGGCGCATACGCTGCCCGCTGATGAGCGCGTAGTCGGTCTCCTAAACGGGACGACGTACCGGACAATCTTGCCGTGGATAGCACAAGAGACACAGTACTGCAGCTTGAGGTACATCTTGGGAACCGTGTACTCGGAGAAGACGGAGGCGTCCGAGATATCACCTGCGAGAGAAGCCAGTTAGTTTGGTTGATAACTAATACTTTGGGAAGGAAGGAAAAGACGTACGGATGGCGGCGGACTCGACCATGTTGCGGATGGTGAAGCGCTTGATGGCCTTGTCCTTGGGGGTGCATCGCGAGCAGTTGCTGCATCGGATGGGCTTGACGTGGCCGCGGCCCTTCTTGTTGCGGCCGTTGTTCTTTCTCTTCTTGACCATGATGACGGTGTTCTCTATTATCCTATAATGTTAGAAAATGGTAATTGACAAGAAGGATACGAGATTCGCACGTACAGGACTTTCTGGTTGGAAGTTGTCAAAAAGAGAAAGTTGGGCTGGTGGATTGTAGGAGTTGTTTTCCGTGTTGAAATTGGTGCGCGCAACTTTGTCTAGGTCCAAAATTGTTTAGAGGCGCTCCACTGCTAAGGAGAAAGAATTGGGCCAATCAGAGTGGAGTTAGCCGATGGAGGGGCAAAATTAGCTGCTGCAAAACAGGTGCGACAGGGCAAGTAGGATAAGAAACCCTAGCACGTGATTTTACCGGTACTCCAAATTGATCAATTACCTAATCTTTTTTCTTTTTTGATGGGGACCCACTGCACCACCACCAGATCGTACTTCCATAACTTTTCGAGGCTCTAACTCCCCTCCTAATTTCTTTTTCTTTTCCCAAACAAAAAACTTATTTGGTTGCTTAGGACGGCAATAGCGATATTGTCTAGGTACGTTTTCTCATATTACAAGCATCTATTCATACAATCTCAATGATTTTATTATTCCTTTCGCAATGCCATTCGTGCTTCGACGCATTTAATTGCGTCGCCGCAGTGTCTGGTCGCATCCCCACGCGCATCACGAATATCCTCAAATTTAACTATTAATGACACTCATCTCTAACATCTAATCCTTTCCCCAACAGGCAATCATGCAGATTTTCGTCAAGACCCTCACGGGCAAGACTATCACCCTTGAGGTGGAGTCTAGCGACACCATCGACAATGTCAAGTCTAAGATCCAGGACAAGGAGGGAATCCCCCCTGACCAACAGCGATTGATCTTCGCCGGCAAGCAGCTCGAGGATGGCCGAACCCTCTCCGACTACAACATCCAGAAGGAGAGCACCCTCCACCTTGTGCTCCGCCTTCGTGGTGGTGCCAAGAAGCGCAAGAAGAAGGTCTACACTACCCCCAAGAAGATCAAGCACAAGCGTAAGAAGACCAAGTTAGCTGTGCTCAAGTACTACAAGGTCGACGGCGACGGTAAGATCGAGCGTCTCCGCCGCGAGTGCCCTGCTGATACCGTGAGTTATTCCCTGCCTATAATGGTTACGAGTTAATATACTAATGCTATCCAAACAGTGCGGTGCTGGTATCTTCATGGCCGCCATGCAGGACCGACAGTACTGTGGCCGATGCCACCTTACCTACGTCTTCGACAAGCAGTAAATGCTTATCGGGTCGTTTTGGAGTGTACACGGTTAGGAGTTCGGAATATCGGAACGGGGCTTACGGGAATCATGATAGGACATGGATGACTTAGCTCAGTTTCTATGAATACGAATTCATGCACAAGTACTACTATACTACTATTTCCAGATTGTGAAATGTTGTTGCATGGCCTTCAATACTCCTAGTTCTAATACCTATTGGCTAATATGCAATCTGCAATCTCAGACTATTAAGTCTGTGTACTTTACGATCAAGTAGTCAAGCCACGGACCAAGTAGGATCTATAATAGAAATTACTTGCTCTCGAATACAGTCCTGGCCTTCCATCTTTCGCAATGCTTATCCGAAGCTATCGTGAAGTTCTAGCCATGCACTATCTTCACATCTACGATAGCACAGATATTTCCCTTTGCAAGGACAAGACTTCCAGAGATATATTATTGATCCTTTTATTCACAGACCCGACCGGTACCAAGTTGCGCGTACGCAGGCCATTTGTACCTGGTGAACTACCAGTCGTCTATCTTAGGTATATGTCGAGTCTATCAGAGCAACCGCTCAATATTCTATAGCACTGAATCCACGTAACCCATAGACATTCTATAGACATTTTATAGACCCCCTATACCCTTTTATTCCGCCCGTGTTTTCAACTTAATCATCTCCATCCTAGTTATTAGGAAACCCAGCCCTGAGGTTCTCGTACTTACTATACGGATACTCGATCAAATTCGGCCTACGATCTAATGCCCCCGGTCCACCCAATACGTCAACCACATTCCCAATCAAGCTCTCCCTTCCCTCCTTATCGGCACTGCTCTCCCACCACATGGCGCCACCTAGCCGTCGCTCCTCGCGGATCCACCATGCTTTCATCCGCGCCATGTCTACCGTGTCGTAGCTGACTAGTGTCCGTGTATTGGGCTCGTAGCAGTAGCTGGCCCTAGCTTCGCGGTCGAAATACTCCGTAGCCCCAGGTAAAGGCAGTTTCTTGTAGTCGTGCACGCCGTTCTCCCAGGTTCCTTCGCCGACGCCGCTGTACCCGCTTCCTAGACCGTCTGTACCTTGGAACGCGCGCCCGTATAACGGCATCCCGAGAACGATCTTGCTAGGCGCTACGCCCCGCGATAGGTAATAATCGACGGCGGCGACGGTGCTGAAGGGTGTTGCGCGCGGGTTTGATGCGCTCGGGTATAGGTTCGCCTGGTGCCCCGCTACCGAGTCCCACGACCCGGCGTAGTCGTACGCCATCAGGTTCCAGAAGTCGAGCACCCGGTCCATACCCTGGATATCAAGCTTAATGAAGTTCTGCGCGCCGGCTGGACAGGCTACTGTCAGCTCGAAGTGGTACGGTGTGGGCAAGGTGCGGCTATAGGCGTCCATGGCCTCGCGTACGGCATACAACAAGGCGACGAAGTCGGCGGCCTCAGCTGGCGATTGTGGGTACTCCCAGTCCACGTCGATGCCATCGAAGCCCAGGTTCTTGATTAGCTCGACGCAGGAATTAGCGAAGTTGGCGCGACCTTGGGGTGTAGATGCTGGCTGCTTGAAGTTGCTGCTGTAGGTCCAACCGCCGACTGAAAGTAGAACTTTGAGTTGTCGGTTTCTACGCTTGAGAAGGTTAAGCTGCTTGAGGCAGCCGTATAAGTTGGTGCCGACGTCATTCCAGCTATCACCTTCCCAGTGGATGTCTGTGTCGGCCCAGGTATCAGTTAGATAGACCTCGCCGGACTCTGGACGCACGTTGGCGAAGGCGTATAAAATATGCGTCAACTTCTCGACGGGTAGGTCTTGAGGTCGGTGCTTACGGCCGTAGATGGCCCAGTTGACGAAATAAGCGACTGTGCGGAATTGGTGTGCCATGTTCACTTCTGCGGTGTGAGGAGGGGAAGAAGGCGAGTTTGAAGTGAGGAAGTCCGGAAGAATACGGTAGGCTAAGGCAAGGAGAGCTGATGAGAGGTGGGATGATGAGAACAAGGAGGGGCAGTGATGTGTAAATATGAAGGCCGCAAGCAATGCTGTCACAGCAAAGATGTAAGGGAGAAGAGTTCTGAGTGGTGGCATATGGTATAAATTATAATGTATGTATGTCTTTCTATCTTTATCCTCAAGTGAAATTAGTGAATCAATTTCATATGTAACATGCAATAAGGTTCAATTTCAGGTTGAGCTGTGTGGCTTAGAGCTGAGAGCTTGCCTGAAACCAGCAGAGTGGCGATGCGAGATACCGTACCTGCCTACCCTCTTAGCTCATAGCTCTCTCCGGTAACCAATCATATTTTGGATATTCATGCAGTCGTTTCTCATAGTTTTGAGTTCCAGCTTGGCAACTGGATAACACGGCAGCCACGGCAAGTATCGGGAAGTTGTCTTGCGTGGCAGTGTGGCTGAAGCTGTAAATCAGAGTGTCTAATGTGGCTTGTGCATATTTCACGATTGGCTGCCTCTCGAACCCCTTTTTTCATAGACCAAGTCAGGTATGTAAGCAGTCTGACCTCGAAGACTCAGCCAAAGGAAAAGTTCATAAGCAGCGAAATAGATACATTATAAATACAGTATATGAAATATATAGTAAATATTGGTACACTATGGTTTTGCGTGGAACTTTCCTCATACGATTGCCGCTCATGTAGCTTCAAAGCCTTTGTACAAGAGTCCACCATATATGGCCCAGTATTATCAATACGCATAGTTCGGCTCTACGCTACTTGGACAGATCTGAGAGGATTCTGTCGCCTCCGTCTGCTTCCCAACTGATGTAGGAGTACTTGATTTAGGGCGCGAAGAATATCAGTATGTAGGATGAGATATCACCATCGAGGTTATCGGATGCCAAATCTGAGTTGCGTATTAACATTCATCTGTTTTAGAATACTAGTATCTCAGGTACCCATATCGTTAGCACTATATCGATCAAGATAGATAGAAAAATTCAAGATAATAAGATTCCTCTATATGTAAAACGCCAGTAATGCCTATCTAGCTAACTAACGAATCTATGAACGGGAGAGGAAAAGCGCTGGAGCATGTAAATGCATAGGGCAAAGATAATCGACATAGTATCCAATCCTTTCCTTCTCCTCATCACGGAACAGGACCGAGGCACTGTTCCTTCGTCGGTTGAGCCTTACGCTGCTTAGTGGCCCTGCCTCCGAAGCCCCATCCGATCTGGCTTGCAACATAGGTTGCTACGCCGAGCTGTAAATCGCAAGCGGAATGTTAGCAGTCATATTCCAAAAATGAAACAATTTCCTTTATGACATTTATCACATACCTCTTCAGCCCAAGCCCAGACAAGACCGGGGTTCTTCTGGAACATGCGTCCAACGCCCGCGATATCCACCGGAGTGTCATCGGCGTCCTTGCCGCCCACAAGCAGATCATTAGCTTGCTGTCCGCTCATGATAGTACCGACAGTAACCACGTATGCGTTGTCGCCAACAGCTCGCTTGATGGCCTTGGCGAACGGCGCCTGATAACCGGGGCCTGTGGTGATCTTCTGAAGGGGATGGTTTCCGGCGCTAGAGACGTCGATAACATCGACACCATGCTGGGCGAGCAGCACGGACAGGCGCACCGCGTCCTCCAATTTCCAGCTGTCGCCAGTGTAACCCTCAACACCCTCAAGCCAATCGGTGGCGCTTATACGTACGAATAGGGGCATGTCAGCCGGCATAACAGCACGGAACTCATCCGCCAGCTCAAGAAGTAGTCGAGCGCGGTTCTCGAAGCTACCACCGTACTTGTCCGTGCGGTGATTCGTAACAGGCGACAGGAACTCGTGAAGGAGATATCCGTGAGCGGAATGTATCTCCAGCACATCAAATCCGATCGCGATAGCGCGCTTGGCAGCCGCCACGAAATCGACCTTGAGCTGCGCGATCTCCTCCAGCGTCAGCGCCCTGGGAACCACGTGGTTCTCATCAAAAGGGATAGCGCTCGGCGCAACCACATCATCGGGCCAGCCGCCTACATCGGCGGCAGCCGTAGCGCCCCTGTGCAACCACGGCGCGAGGGCAGAGGCCTTACGGCCGGCGTGGGCGAGCTGGATGGCGATGTGCTGACCTTGGGAGTGCGCGAAGTCAACCGTGCGCTTGATGCCCTCCATGTGGTCGTCGAGCCAGAGTCCAGAGTCATTAGGGGTAATACGTCCGCGAGCCTGGACGGCGGTGGCTTCGATCATGGTTAAGCCCGGCTGTAGGAGTGATTAGCAATGTCTTGGTAGTTATTTTTTGCACGACCAAAAGACTTACCCCGCGCTGGATGATACCGCCAAGGTGAGTTAGGTGCCAGGGTGTGTGGAAGCCATTTTCAGCCGAGTACTGGCATAGCGGAGAAAGCATAATACGGTTCTGAAGAGTAAGGCCGCGGATCTTGAGGGGAGTGAAGAGCTTCGGGATGGCACTTCCATCGGGCTGAGGATCCAGAGCGGTTCCCGCAGGAGGCTCTTGGGCCGGTGTGAAGAATGGGACACCCTTAGCCGCCTTGTTAGGGATGCTTAAGGCATTGACCTTAGTACCGTTGACGGTAGACATATTTGTCTTGGTCTGGGGGTATTCTTGCTATAGTGAATTATATATCAAACAGTTGAATAAGAATGCTGGGTAGTAATAGTGAAGAACGAAGTCTATAGGGTATGATGCTGAAACGTTGATATTGAATGATGATGCTGCATGGCGAGAAGTTGTGATATCGAGCTGGAGTGCCGGCCAGGTTATATATGCTGAGCTATCGCAAAACAACATACGTCCACCTTTCCACTCTGCATGCCATTGGCGTTACTAAGCGTTATGGTGGTGAGCCCCTCCATAACCATCTCAGGAGAGTAAAAGGCTACCAAAAATGAGGGGCTCGTACTATCTCATGGAAATATCTCCGAGAGTGTAAGCTAGCTTCACACAGGGATTACAAAGTGCCGACCAACATCACCAATCAGAATTAAAAATCCACATTGATTTCGATACATGTTGGGTGATATTTATCCGATAAAACTTGTCTGATGCAAAATCGCGCTGTGGGGGATAAATCGGGGACGCTAAATGATGTCGCGATGGTCCTGTGGTCTGGCCAGAACCAGTTACAGTGGTACTATGTAAATCAACGACCCGTTAGCCTACGTTAGTTATAACATAAACGGAGTACGATTAGATAGCTGGACCAATTGTCCCGGTTGCCCGGTATTGTATGATCAATCACCCGATATCCTCTTTCGCGGAGAATGCGGAGTTACATCGTCGGAACTTGTTGCTGGCAAATCAGTCTTAGCTCTGGAGCATGCGGAGTCCATCACCAATACCTAGCAAACAAACTGGACCAATAGCCCCTGTCCTCTCGGAGAATACGGAGTCAAATTTTGGGTGTTTTCCCAATTAGGTAGTCCTGATGAGTAATTGTCCGCCATACCGGACCGGGTATTAAAATGCCCGGTCCGTGATTAGACATGTTTGGCCCACTTCGGGCCGGCCCGCAGCCGGAAGTATAACAAAAGAACCTTAAACCTTGTGTCACATGATGCACATTACTTCACTTTTAGTTGCTCAGTTACATCTTAGGTATCAATATCACAGCTACAGAGTTATGATACACCTGGCTGCCTATGAGAAAATATTATTTACAGGTCATTTGAGATATGCCATTTGAAATAAGGGGACTTTAGAGAGTCTTCATTGATTCTGCCTTGTAAGGTTGGTACTAAGGAGGTTAGGTACCTAGGTAGATTAGGTAGATTAGGTACATGAGGGAATTCAAGCGCTCGTAAGTGCCAAACCAGAATCACACGCTAATTTTAACTTTCTTCAAGCTCAAACAAACAAACTATGTAACTTTCGAGAATAGGACCAATCCATATCGCTCCAAACTCCTAATAACCGATAATGCATTCGCTGTAAAAGATTCGAGTGTTGCAGGTATTATGCGTATTAGTACTTGGCCTGTTTGGGTTGGATATTAGGTTACCATCTTAACAGGGCTAGAACGGGATAGATAATTGCTTACCGTTGATTTATGCGGTACACTGATCGGCCGGAATTTGGATCTTGTCGCCAACCTGGGTAGTGGCATACTGATCCTTAAGGACCTTAGAGCTACCACGAAAGCCATGCTTGGTGCGGACATGATGGACCAGGAGATGAAATTTTATGGCACTGTAACCACAAATGCCGCAGCGACGCCTATTGATGGCATCCGCTTGGAGGAACGCCGAGTTAACACGGTGTTTCTTAGATATATGAGAACTGATGTTGTGGTGGGCGTTCGTCATTTCGGCGTTACAATTGCCGATCCCACACGAAAATTTCCCATTAGCGAGAATATTTCCTTGCGCATTCGGATGCTTAATCTCGTTGCCTTGGGCGTCCTATGAAGAAATAGTAATTAGCTAGTCTTCTCTACTAGAGAGTACAGCTCTTGATCATGCCAGTGAGTAAGACGAGGACGAGGTTAGTAAAACCGGTTCCAGCATATCATCATCGCGATATAGTATACCTCAGAGACAACGTAGCAGAAGGGGACAATTGGGGGTAACAGGAGGGAAACGCCCATCATGTGCTTTATGATGCGGTGTTTAGGGGGGGGGGGGGGGGATATGATGTGGTTTATGATAGTAGGATCAAGGGAAAGACAATTAGAGACAGGATCTTTACTTACAAGATTAGGCGCCATGGCTGAAGGTATTAATAATCCCTAATCTCTCTCTCGCAGATGGTTGATAGTTTAATGGCGTGGGGAGCGCAGCAGTGTAGCTGGAGTAGAGGATGTTAAGGGTAGTGTGAGAGTAATAGGTGTATGATATTAATAGGATAATTTAATGTAAGGAATATTTATCCGTGTTGTATGATGATAGTTGTTAAGTAGTATGCCGGGTTTATAGGTAATGGCGTTGGTAAGAAGATTATATAAGTAAGGTAAGATTAGTTTATGTTTGATGTTAAAGATGTTGTCTGTTGGAAAAAAAATCTCTTGGAGATGGGGGAGGGGGGACGTGTTTATATATTGCCGCAAAGGCGGTGATTTGATCAAGTAACGCTTCGAGAAGCGGAAGGAACGACTCTATCGCGGGTATCGAGGTACAGGACGACATCAAGGTGCTGCACTAATGTTGTAGCTAGTCAAAACTGCAGGAGCGGCCATGAACACCTTAGCACCTGACAACCCCTAAGGTACCAAAACTGCTATCCTTAGGTAGTCTATCTATACGTACCTAAGGGAATACTTTCACAATCATATCACGACCAATAAGAAAATTTTAGATTACTCTAAGTAAGGCTACGTACTTGCTATATGGCATGCGGGCCAATGAGCTTTGTAGATTGTTATGAAACAAGTTTGATCCCAACCTAGGCCGTCCCCTGCGGCAAACATGCCTGAGGATACCTAAGGTATCATGTCTATGGGACCAAAGTGAATAAGTCACTAGGTGCCTTCCATCACACTCCAGGTACTAGGTACAATCAAGGTTATCAAACATTCCCTATTAATTATCCAAAGAAGGCACAGCACTAGGTGCACCATTGCCGCCAATTATGTCCCGCCAGCTGCTATACCTTCCATCCGATATGCCTTCAGGTTTCTGTACTTTCCATGCCAGTAAAGAACATTCACCGGTGTGTGATTGGCCTCTTCTGGCCAGGTGTTAGGTACGTTTCTATGACAATGACCCATGACCATGAACCGGCATCTCCTGCAGAGTTCTTTAGATAACTTTCCATGCCAATAAAGTACAGTAAATATATTTATCTGCTTAAATATCAAGGGCTTAAATATTAAATATGTGAATTCCAATTAAGGCTAAGGAGTTATGTGCACTTATGTGGTTTAATAAAATTAATTCCATTAATATTTACAAGATCAGAGACCATTCCGAGAGCTCTTGCCGTTAAGAGATCACAGGCAGGAATAGAAGAATAAGAAGATAATTAAAAGAAAGAAAAGAAAGCCATAAAGTCCAGGAAAACGCCGAAATCGGCGAAATCGGCAAAACTAAAGAAGTAAAGAAAGTTCTATTTAATCTTATTATTACCAAAATAAACCATAAGTAACATGTAAATTTATATTTTTTCGAAGTCAGTAAAAGAAAAATCTGATGGATATACACTAGAGGTTGCCCCCCGGGCAACACAAAAGCCTAAGGTTTACACCGCACCATGTTTCTATACTATTTTTATTATTTTTATAATTATTATTGTTATATTAGCAACGTAGCCCCTATTAAACTGGAGGGCACCCCTTATTGGGATAATAATCCGTCCCGCACGAAACCGCATCTATCTCGATCTTACGGTCATACATCATTAAATACAAGAAGGTCTCTTGCTGCATCGTGTCTTTTTCCTCCCCCCCCCCCCCCCCTTTAGTCCGTACGTACGTATAATATGGATTAGACCTTGTCGACCGACACCCCTACAATAGCCCGAATTTACTGCTATTACATGGCTGGACAATACTTTCAATACCCTCGAAACCTAAATAATAAAGAAGCCTCAAACAGATGCATAAACTTATTCCTTTCATATTTACTGCTTTATAAGGCAGGAAAATTATCTGTAAGGTAGCAAGGCATGTGTCCCAAATAGGAAATTTTTACTCGCATTCAACACAACATCCTAAGGTAAACCTTAGGCATTCATTATGTTGTTCGTTACGGTGAAGGGCTGTTACCGTCTGTACGGGATCTTGAACAGTCGTGGTTGACTGCTATGGTAAGGGCCAACAGCGATGCGCGCCGTATTAAGGGTTAGTAAAGAGTGAGGGTATTGTATAAGCATTGTATGACTAAGAGCGTAAGTTCTAGCTGCTATCTAATGGGTGTATAAACAGCGTAGCGTAGCTAGCCCTGTCGTGCTAATTGATCAACTTGCATTCATCCAGGGCTATGTCTTATACCTTTAGGGTTACGTCGCCAGAATATTTATACAGCTCTGCTTAGACAGCTGACAAGGTATACAGAACCTGGATACTTGAAACAAAAGCCAAAATCGAGACAATATTTGGCACGACGGTATGCTTGTTGTTCTGTCAAGTTGATGGATATAAAGAAAATATGGTTCTTGTTGAATGGAATGGAATATAGGGGAGGATACCGGGTAATGCTTTATTGAGTAATTATACCAATAGAAGGATTGATGGTATTGCTTGTAAATATCTATCATTGAGCTCTATCACGTTGAGGAGCGCTGCCATGTGGTCCTGGGTCTGGAAGGATAACGGTATGCTGATGGAGCTTGAAGGATAAAGCTGTCCGGTAGAATTTTAGCAGAACTCCTCAAAAAGACACTCAGTTGGTCATATAACCAGGGATACTTAGAACAGTTGGATTTATGACAATTTCGCGAAGCAACTAGACAAGCTTTGAGCATTGACGGATGATAGCTTCCAAGTAGAAGAGCGCCGACTAAAACTAGTCATCTGGCCTGGGCTAGTCTTGAGGCGACGGTGTTTTTTGCGACCTCATTGTCTCTAGGATCTGACTTCCAGGGTAATTTGTAGGTATAACGAAGGATATGGATGATTCGGCTAGAGTTGAAGAGACTTTGCAACTTAACTGGGCGGCATTCTTGTTACTAATTGATAAATATGACATGTTGGAGGCAAATATCAGCTTGGATAGTTCACATATACTGGTATACTGTCACTAGAGTCAATAATACTGTAGTTGGAGAGTCTTCATCCAAAACACTTACCTACATCCTGATTGTTTGAGGCTTGGCTATTATGATCGTGTCCAACTACCAGGAATAGTGTGGGTTGAGTACCTATTCTTTAGGGGAAAGGACTTATTCGGTAGCTTAGATCACATATTCAACAAAGTAGGTAAACTTGACAATGCATACTATAATTACCAAATGAATGCCCCTCCGAAATGTCAGAATAGACCCTAAGGCGTGGTGGTGATATTCAATCGCCGAAGAATTAATCGAGAATATCTGGGCGCTTGGTTACGTAAGTATGTACCTAGGTACTTATATGCAATCCCTGTATTCCGTAAGACACCAATAGAGGACAGTACTCAGGTATTCCGGTGTTTTGCCGAAATGGTACGTACCTTCTAGTGGGGACCTGAGCTCGACAAATTTTTTGTACCTTTTTCTTTGCAGAGCTTCAATTTTTCATCCCATCACACACGCCTAACACGACAATCTTGTATGCGCAAATCCACGCAAGGATTTATTCAACAGGCAAGATGACGCGAGTAGACTTTCTGCTGCATGAATCCGCTGTCGGATATGCTATCTTTAAGGTTGTCCACCAGCAGGACACTGTTGGTCTGCACCTGAAAGAGGTCCAGAAGGCTGGTCAGGACCTCTCCAAGTTTGGCAAGATGGTGCAATTGGTCAACTTTGCGCCTTGGAGGTACGACCGACTATGATTTCCGGATGTGCTCTATGATAAAGTAGCTGACCCCGTGATCCCTAGAAATGCCGCCGACGCGCTCGAGAATATTAATCTTATTTCGGAGGGTATACTCCCCGATTATCTCCAGTCCAATCTCGAATTGAACCTGCCCCAATCGAAGAAGAGCAAGATAATCCTTGGTGTCGCCGATAAAAACTTGGCTGGTTCCATCAAGGCTGCTTTCCCCGGTGTTGAGTGCGAGACTGGCGATACGTCTGAGGTCGTTGCCGACCTCTTAAGAGGCATCCGTCTTCACGCAGCTAAGTTGCTAAAGGGTCTCCAAGAGGGAGATGTAGAGAGAGCCCAGCTGGGTCTTGGCCACGCCTACTCGCGTGGAAAGGTTAAGTTCAACGTTCACAAGAATGACAACCACATCATCAGAGCCATTGCCACCCTAGACAATCTCGACAAGGGTATCAATCTATTCTCTCAAAAAGTACGAGAGTGGTACGGCTGGCATTTCCCTGAGCTCTTTAACGTCGTCTCCGACAACTTGACCTATTCACGCTTGGCTCTTTTCATTGGCGACAAATCTACCCTGTCAGAGGACAAGCTTCACGAGATTGCCGCTCTGGTCAACGATGACGAAGAGAAGGCGCAGGAGATCCTTTCCAAGGCTAAGATATCCATGGGGCGAGAGCTGTCAGAAGTTGATATGAATAACATCTCCACCTTCGCCGGCAAGGTAGTTAAACTTGCCGAGTACCGAAGAACGCTCTACAGCTATTTGGTCGATAAGATGAGCACGGTTGCGCCTAATCTGGCTGCGCTCATCGGCGAAGTCGTTGCTGCTCGTCTCATTCAAAAGGCTGGTTCTCTGACAAACTTGTCCAAGTATCCGGCCTCTACGCTTCAGATTCTTGGTGCAGAGAAGGCTTTGTTCCGTGCCTTGAAAACGAAGGGCAACACTCCTAAGTTTGGTCTCATATACCACAGCACGTATATTGGCCGAGCAAGTCAAAAGGACAAGGGACGCATTTCGCGATATCTTGCAAACAAGTGCAGTATCGCCAGTCGAATCGACAACTTTGCTGAGCAGCCGTCAAAGAAGTTTGGAGATGCGTTAAGAAGACAAGTTGAAGACCGCTTGGAATTCTATGCAACTGGCAAAAAGCCGACCAAGAACGCAGATGCGATGGTATGTCCGCCCCTCAGCTTTCCTGCTTCTCAAGTTTACTAACGCACGAATAGAACCAAGCAATGGCCGATATCCTCGCCGATGGTCAGAGTCTGGCCATCGACACGGAGATGATCGATGCCCACCCCCAAGCCAACGCTGCTACGCCTAAGAAAGAAAAGAAATCCAAGGACAAGAAGGAAAAGAAGCGCAAGCATAGTGACGTAAACGGCTTGGTGGAAGTGGAGGCAGACGGAGACAAGAAGAAGAAAAAGAAGAAGAAGCATGCGGACGCGTAAGAATATGTGCCGTCCCGCAGACATTGAAAAGATACACGGTTGAACCAGGCATCGGTTGGGCGTTCCGGATTTGCAGGTGTTTCTCTAGGCGTGGTTGTGTATAGGGTAGGTTCATACCCATCGTTATTCTGCTGGTTTTAGTGGAACTTGGTGTCTATGAATCAACGAGTCGAGGGGGAATATAGTTTGTTTCTACTGTTCATGTTTATGCTACTGGCTGCTATGATTTGTTACTCGTAACTTGAGGTACCTTTAGATACTTGTGCATATGTTTTATCAATATGAGCCGGTGATTTGGAAATAAGATATTTTCACACGAGATTGTTGTATGATGTCCTCGCTGGTCATATTTTCTCTCTTGTTACCCTTCCTGTCCCATTTCCTCCCGCCAGAATTGGACAGGTTCAATAGTCTCAGATTGGCCCAGAATTTGATCATCACATCGCATAAAAGGACATGGATGAGCCCGATTGCACGGTGCCTCCACCAGCATGTAGAGGTATGAGTAATTATTGGTTACTATGATATCTAGCACAAACAATCATACGTATTTCAACGGCCAACGAACTCGAACAGGTAGTCGCAAAGTGCCCAAACAATGATGAAGTTCGCCCAAAACGCCTGGTAATGCCGGTGCGCTCCGTAGCCTTCCCCCCTAGTTCCCTTCGCTTCCAAACTCCTTAGTCCATTCCGAATTACGCTTAAGATCCTCTTCCGACACCGTTGGCCTTGACGACTTGATAGCTTTTACAAAGTCTTTGAAGTCGACTAGTGGTTCGAGTAGCTTCTCTGGATCGATGTCGTCCCACGTCATCTCTTTCGCCTGAGGGTCTCCTGGCGAGCATGGTGTTACGAGTGTCTTGCCGTCTTTTTGTACCTAGGGGTTGGATATTAGTAACGGAGAAGACTACCCATAAAGGGATTTGTTTGATGGTTACCTCTTTGAAATGTGTGGCTTGTTGAATCTTGCGTATTGGCTGCATGAGGGCGTCTTGTACAGCAATGGTGATATCGCTTCCTGAATAACCCTCAGCGAGCTTTGCTAATTCTCGATAGTCCTCGTTCTTCAGTGTAGTAGGTGTTTCTCCAATAGCTAGCTTGAACATAGTAGTCCTTGCAGCAATGTCCGGCAGGCTGATGTGTACTCTTCGTTGGAATCGTCTTCGAATGGCAGCGTCTAATTGCCAGGGGATGTTGGTTGCACCCAATACTAGCACACCTGTCGAATCTTTACCAACACCGTCCATCTGTACCAACATCTCAGTCTTAATTCTTCGGGAAGCTTCCGACTCGCCTTCGCCTCGAGGACCGCAAAGAGCGTCTACTTCGTCGATAAAAATAATAGAGGGTCTGTTTTCTCGTGCCATAGCAAAGAGTTGCTTGACTAATCTATACGCCAAGAAAATATTAGTTTATGGCCCCTCGGGTCGAAATATGGTCTTAGCAAGCGTACCTTTCACTCTCACCCATCCATTTGCTCACCAAGTCACTACTGCTCACGCTGAAGAATGTGCTATTTGCTTCTGTAGCGACCGCCTTTGCCAAATAACTCTTACCCGTACCAGGAGGGCCGTAGAGCAGAATACCCTTCCACGGCTTGCGTTTCCCTTGAAATAGATTAGGAAACTTAATAGGCAGTAATACAGCCTCTTTGAGTGCTTCTTTTGCGCCGTCTAGTCCAGCAACATCGTCCCATTTGATATTCGGTCGATCTTGTAGAATAGCACCAGCGAGGGCATTCCGTAGCTTCTTATTATCCTCATCAACGCCCTCTTCACCGTTCTGCTTCCCCTTACCCGTCCCGCCTGTCGACGAGCCGTTAGCACCGACCAGACCAGGCTTCTTACGCTTCGCATCGGCATCGGCGAGATGAGCTTTTAACTTCTCGGCGCGGTCCATGTATTCGCCAGTTTTCTGGCGGATCATCTCCTTGGACTTTGGGTTCTTCTCCCATTTTAAAGCCAGCATAAACAACTCGAGGGATTGGTAGTAGAGTTGATAGGCCTTTTCGTATTCGGCTTCCTTGTCGGCGGTCACAGCGCGATGTACCGTGTCGATCGCTCGACTGAGAAAATCGGTGTTGGACATTCTCGAGCCCGTGTGTCGATTAACCGATGGGGATTGAGGTATATGGCAGGCGGAGAGGAAGAGGAAGCAAATGTATGGAGCTGGTGGAGATGTTGTAATGTAAATTATTTTGTTGTTGAGTCTTAAACTTCGACGCTGGACTGAAATGGGCTGGAATTGCAACAGCGAACAACGAACTACGAATTACGAATTACGATACGATCAAGAAGGTCCGCTTACTCTCGTCTAATAAAGGACCGGCGGTAGGAGGTACCTTTGGGCGGCAAGTAAGATGTGTGGAGTAAGAGGTACTCAATACAAGTCACCCCTTCAGTGATAGCAATAGGCAAGGTTTAACTAGATAATATCTTATCTTAGAGGGGTTAATATTATCGATTGGTTGGCATGACTACCACTTAAGCCACAACAACCCTACAGCAGCCACAGGCAGCATTGAAAGAAGAGGTAGCATCAAACTTGAGCTTGCCAGTGTCAGTCTTTACAACATTGGAAATCTGCAGTCTTGAATCTGTGCATAGCGCTAAATTAAAACAAAGGGTGTTTTTTTGCCAACTGCAACTTGGCATAGGCATACGACATTTATTTTATCATCCATACCCCAATACCCGGGGTTGCGACAGCATAGCAAAATCTCTGACAGGAAGTGCTAAGACAAACAAACCATGGCGGAAATTCAAGCCCGCCTTCAAAGTCTTTCTGAGGAATTCACCAAGCTACAGCAGGAGTTGCAAATTGCCGTACAGTCGCGGCAAAAGCTTGAGGCTCAGAAACAAGAGAACACAAATGTGCAAAAAGTCAGTTTAGGGCGATATCATATCACGCATAGCTGGTGACCAAAGGACTTATAGGAGATAGGAATTTGAACGTCTTAAGGATGGCGAGAACATCTACAAACTAGTTGGCCCAGTATTGTTAAAGCAAGATAAAATTGAGGCCGAGAGCACAGTCAACGGACGCTTGGAATTTATTAGCAAGGAGCTGTAAGTTTTATTTTATTTTTCAATTCTCTTATCCATAGCTTTTCATAAGCTAAGATTACTTGCATAGTGAGAGGACAGAAGACCAGATCAAGGAGTTACAAGAGAAAATCGAGAAGAAAAAGGGGGAGATCATCCAAGCCCAAGCAGGACTACAAGCGGGAGGTGGCGCACCAGGGAAAGTGGCAGCAAAGGGCTAAGAAATCATGAAAGAATTCTAGTTCGCAAGAGAGTCAAAGAGTTAAGATTCTCATAAGGAGTGAAATAAATGAAAATTAAATATGAGGGTTAAGCGGCTATTATGTTCAACTCTGGACGTGTTCAGATATGTTATGGATTTAAAATTCCTCTAAGTGACATACAAGGTTGACCTTTGAATGTAGGTATCACATGAATTATCAAGCCACAAGAACAGCTATAAATTCAAAGTAGCTGCCTACACTACCTTACAATGGGTAGGTTAACACATGACGTAACAGGCATGCCTTTTGTGCACTGCAAAATGTAAAAAAAAAGAAATATAATTGCGACTTATCTCCAGAGTACCCCGCCATTCCGATACGACCCCGCCTACACTCTTTCGCCGTGCCTGCCATACATATTGTACATATCTTAGGTACCTACCTAGGTATGTAGGTTACAACCTTGATACCTAAAACTAATTTCTAGCGCTTAGTAGCGGGAAGGGTCACAAGGGTTTACAAGGGTTTACAAGCCGCGTCTCCCTTCAACATCAACATCCTTTTTTCCCGTCGCAAACCAACACGCAAGCTTGATACTAGGCACCCGGAAAGAAGAGCTCCTCTCATATACTACGCCGAGACATAATAAATACTTATCCACTAAATCGAATGAAGCTCTATTCGCTATATTACTTACTCCCTGGGGTATAGCCTGCTGCGCAGCAGTGTAGATGATGCGAAGATGGCCCCAACTAATCCCACGTTCCCGTCTGCCAACCGCCCACTAGCTATTAAAGAGATAGTTGGTGAGGCAGAGGGCTTCAAGTGGGATCCTGCTATACCGTTGAAGTTTTGGCTGCGCACTGCCAACACACTATTCCTAGAGGTAAACAGCGTCCTGTATGCATGGCCTATCTCCTTCGATATAGTACTAACTTTTGATTCTTCTTAGGGTAGAAGCTATCTGAGTGATGGTAACTTTGCTCAAGCCTACCTCATCTATATGCGATATTTAGACCTCGTTACGAAGAAACTACCCAAACATCCCGGCGCTAAAGCTCCCGAGGAAAAAAGGGCTCTCAATGAATTGTACAAGTCCCTCGGGGATGTCATGTCCAATCTCGAGAGGATTAAACCAATTATCGAACAGGATTATAATGCGTGGGAGGCACAGTCTAGGAAACAGGGACGTCAAAGGCAGGAGGCTAGTCATCCCAAGTCTAAGTCGCCATTGACATACGAAGAGCGCGCATCCCGAGACCCTGCCTTATCTTCCACACGTCGATTACTCAATGCCGGTGACTATCAGGATCTCGCAGTTGAGCTGGCCGAGAGGGAGTTTCGCCGCAGGGATACAAATAGGGGTGCGACTAGAAAGACCGGCGTATCGCATGAGGAAGATACACGCGGCGCGGGCTTCTGGAACAACTGGACGACCGAGCTAGCTGATAAACAAGCTGAAGATGAAGAAGTCTTCCGGAGGCAGATGGAGTCAGTGAGGAAGACGTTAGATGGGGATGAGAGTGACTACATAAACAACAATGCACGAAAACATTCGCGCCCTTCGTCAATAGCGAGTCCTTCAACAAGCTATCGATACCCATCTATCTCCCCGTCCCAGCCTATTCAATACGAAGCCGAGCACGCCCATGCCAGAAAACCGTCAACTCCTCAACCTCTCCGACCACCCAAAGAAGAGATCTTTCGCCGGCCTGAGACTAGTCCGAGCCATACTCATGCACCAGAGCCCCCTGCTAAAATACACACATCCCCCGAAAGGGCGCTCCCAACTCCAGAGACATCTCAAGAACTCCCTACTCTTCCACCTAAGATACGTGAAGAGCCTCCTGTGCCCCAGAAGGAACAGCAACGCCTTACATTTAAACCGGCGGCCTACCTCGAGAGCGGTGAACCACTCCGTTCCGTCTTCTTACCTAGTCAATTACGCAACCGATTCCTATCCATCGCTGCGGAAAACACTCGGCGTGGCCTCGAGATGTGCGGTATCCTCTGCGGAACCGCCGTTAAGAACGCCTTGTTCGTACGCTGTCTATTAATTCCCGAGCAGACCAGCACCTCGGATACGTGCGAGACGGAAAATGAAAACACCATGCTGGAGTACTGTATGGACAATGACCTAATAATATTAGGTTGGATTCACACGCACCCAACCCAAACCTGTTTCATGAGTTCTAGGGACCTGCATACCCAGTCTGGCTATCAGATCATGATGCCGGAGAGCATAGCTATCGTCTGTGCTCCGAGTTTTGAGCCTTCGTAAGTTCCCCTCTTTCACCGCCCATGTAATTGCTAACAGGTTATTTATAGTTATGGCATATTCCGCCTCACCAAGCCTCCTGGTTTAGACTACATCCTTGGCTGCACACAGACCAGCACTTTCCACCCACACGCTATGGATAACCTGTATACGAAGGCACAGTCTCCACCGGGTCACGTTTACGAGACTGACAAGCTGGAGTTCGACGTGCATGATCTCCGACCGGGCGCCCGCAACAGCACCGTGCAGCACAAGAACTTTTAGGACATAATGTCTAATGGGATGGGTTGTGGCGTGCACGCATGCGCTCTGCTCGTATGCGCTCTCTGCCCTCGGGGAGCGAACCGGTGCCCGGATCGGCTGGAATCCAACCACACCCGCAGCAGGGTTAAAGAGGATTGATTGGCGTAGTTCCTTTTTCTGTTTGATAATACCTATCTAGATTGTTGCCACCTGATTAGCGCAGCATGGGATGGGCTCGATACTGCATACTGCATAGCATGGGCGTTACGGAGACTTTCTAGTTTTAGTTTTTATTTTATTGTCTCTTTTCTCGGAGTACCTCTAGGTTAGACTCATCGAAATAGGACTCGACAAGCTTTACGGGTTCATTTCAAGCATGTACTGTACAAAGGTTAGGTAGAAAGACAAGGCGAGACAAGTCGAGACGAGACGGGACGAGAGAAGTAAAGTAATGAGACTGCGGTTTGATCAAGCACGACTGATTTGGGTGTATAAAATAAAAAACTAAACTACTCTGTTTCCCCCTTTCCCTCCCGGAGACCTCCCTCGCATAATAACCCAGCTAAACTCGAAAATGACTATTCTTTGCAGAACTTGGAGTTTTTGTTTCGGCCGTGGTGATTCGGCGGACGCGTGCAACTCCTCTAGATACCTGATTTGGTAAATGGTATGAAATCAAAACAAGACCGTTGTAACTCTCACTCTCTCACTCTCTCTGGATGATGATGATGATGTTGTTGTGGTGGTGATTGTGGTTTGTGCCGTATTTCCCTGTGCCCTAGTATTTATACAGATGAATGGTAGATAGATGGATGAATGGGATGAAACGACAGTAAATATAATAACGCCAGCCAGCCATGAAAAAAGATTTGTTTGTGTTTGATGGTTTGCTTGTAAGTCCCCGCGCTGCGCCTCAATCTTGGAGGACGTGGTATTTGATGGTGTTTGTGTTTGTGTTTGTGTTCGTTATGTATAATTTCCATATATGCATGCGTAACTATCCCGAAAGTTGTCCGTTTCGTTTCGTTTCGTTGTTTCGTTTCATGTCTTCCCTGCCTGCAGGCCTTTACGTGCCTTCGTATCCGTGTCGTGCGTGTGTGTGGTCTCGTATCATCAAATCAAATCAAGTCGGTAAGTTAGGTAACTAACTAACAAGCGTCGTAGGTATAGTGCCGATAACCCTCGTTCGTGAAAGGATCATCTAGTCATACGACGCGCTGCTGTCGCGGCCGCGACCAACTCTTGCGCCAGACTGGGATGCCGATGACGCTGTGCCAGCGCTTGGTCGACACGTTGGGGTTGGTAGAGCTGGGAACGTTGGTCTTGGACCCGTTCTTGGAGACGTCCTTGTGAACCGACTTGTCGAAGCTGGCGCGCGTGGAACTGCTTGCTGTGTTCGAGGTCTCGGGTGCGGGTGCGGGTGCGGGTGCGGCCTTTGCGGGTTCAGTTGTCGTGGCCTCGGTTGTTGCGGGCTCAGCAGCTTCGGCTGGGGCTTCGGCACCGTTGGTTTCTGGGGCCTTGTCGGCTGCGTCGAGCTCGCTGGTTCCGTCAGTCTTGTTTGTAGCTTCGGCTTCATTTGATGCTTCGGCTTCGGTTGCTGTCTCGGGAGCCTCGGCGGCCTCGGGCTCAACAACCTCGGGCTCCTCCACTATGACCACAGGGGGGTCTTCTGGCTTGAATTCCAGAGTCTGGGTGCGCTGCTTCAGGCTCTCCACCTCTAGGAGTGTGTTTTGCCATTCCTCGATGGTTTCGCCTTGCAATTGCTTGAAGACCCTGTACATTGTGTTAGTTATGTGTAGTTAAATTGAATCATTTATGGAAGAAATTCTTACTTCTTCATGGTGGCGTATAGGGAAAGGTCAGCAAGGAGGTTCAAGTTTTGCTTCTCGAGCCAAGCTGTGAGTCCCTTCTTCCATACATCGATCTCAGGGTTGAAAGAGGCGCTGAGGAATTCAGCAGCTGCAGTAGTTTGCTCCGTAGCAATTAAGTTGCGGAGAGCCTCGGAGACAAAGCTTCCCAGCTTGGCCTCTTGGATCTGGCTTCGAGCGTGGGGATCTTCAATCGAGTTGGCGATCTGGTCCTCGACGAAAACATCGGCAGAGTTGCTGAGTGCAGCTCCGAGGACTGTTCCAATGATTGGGCTTTCACAGGCGCGCCCGATGAAAGCGCCGATAGCAACACCAATTGTGAAGGTAGCTGAATTTGTGCTGGTTGCTATTTCGTAATAGCACTGGTTCTAAATATTCAACACTGGTTAGCAACTTATCTGAATGCTGAATGGATAGGGATTAGGTGAATTGACTAACCTCAGTTCGGCTCTCGTCGTGAGAACGATGTAAACCGGCGATGGCGGGTCCGAAGACTGGGACTTGTTCAGCGACAACGCTCGTCCAATGTTCCCTCTCGATAGAGTCGGCACTGGAAAGAAATGGTAAGCTACCTATACTAGACTTGAACTCATAACACAGGCTTAAATACGTGGAGGGGAGCGGAGCCAGGACAAGACGGGCAAAGGCCTGTAATACATAGTGACAAACATACGGCTTGGAAAAGCTTAGGCGTCCCTTCCGGTTCACGACACAGGTGCTGAGGTCTATCTCGGCCGGGTGATGGACACCTTCGTAATCCTGGAGTTCGCCGGTGAGCCTGAGGCTATTCGAGTCCCGTTGGAGGCTAAAGTTACGACCAGATCGTGAGTAATGCCTCTCGTCGACTTCGAACTTGCCGCCGATGTTGCCGTAGTACTCGTCGAGATCGATCTCCGACGTGTGGAACTTGCCATCCCTGCCGACGACCAGGCCCCGCAGAATGGCGTTATCGAGCGTCAAGCCCGCGGTGTAGAGTAGAAGGGAATCGCCGCTACGGAACAATTAGTTACTGATATTCGTCATAATAACTCCGACTCTTAGTTGGTGAATTAAATTAAATAAAATAAAAACATACAGCTGCTGGAACTCGAGGACGCCGTCCCGATTCCTGACGAACAGATCTAGATTGATGCATGACTCCTCGGCATATGCACCAGATATAGTTCGCAGTCGAGCATACAGGTATGGACCGCGAAGGTGGACCGACCATTCCTGAGCGGAATTGTGCCAACGGTCCATGGTGATATCGAAGGTACCATTATTGTTTCCAATGTGTTCGTTGAGGTTGAGTCTGGAGAAGGTCCAAGAGCCATCTTCAGGTTTTCGCACCGAGGCGACGAGCCACGAGCCGCGAAGCTCGATTTGCTTCGAAGTCAGCGAGAAAGCCATTGTGAGCTCTCTATTCTTCTTCTTCTGCTTCTATTCGGTGTGTTAGTCTGTATTGTATATCTGACTGAATATAGACTCGTCTGGATAGAAGAAGTAGAAGAAACAACCAGTCGGAAATGATGACTTTACCTTTTGATCTTTGACGTATTTTTGAGTCTACTAAATCCCAATTCCTCTAATATCGCCATGACAGGACCAGACATATTATTATACCTTGATCTGGCTCCATAATATTTCCCCAGGGCCCATACAAGATGCATTTTTCCTTTTCTTTTTTTTTTTTCCTTTCATAATTTTCATTCTGCTAATGCCAGCCATGTGTCTACTGTTCCCGCCACCTCACAGCGATGAGCTGTAACGCCTGCATGTAGCATATCCCGTCTCGTCTTCTTATTGGCTGCTTCATTTGCATTGACATGCTCTTGTCTAACGGGACTATCCCCCCGACACATGGACGCACGGTGTTTCGAGCCCGAAACGCAAAAGCATCGTTGTCGAGTTGGCAGCCGTCAAAACCAATAGGCGGGTCTTGGACTAAACGGCCACGAATGCTTCGAGTTAGGTTCGCGATGTGGCACGCGCAGAGGCGAAGCCGCGACTGGGAAAAGAAGGAAGAGTGGATAAGAATAACTAGGGATCATTAGAGGATCACATGGGTTGATGCATATGGAACGCATACGATTGGGGGGGAAAGATCGTATCATTATTATTTTTCCTGTTATCGTTAAACGTTTTTTTACTAATTAATGCAGTTATACTTACTACTTACATAGTTACTAACCTTACTTAGTTACTACTTAACTACTTAGGTAGTGTATCACTTACACTATCGACTTACCGCCTCAACCCAACCTCTCCCTCTATTCTTTGTGCATATCATGCATACTATGTATCTTATCCAATCCATTCTCCACCATCTTACAATTGATGAAGTAAAAATCAAGTCTACAATACCCAAGACAAATCTCCAAAAACAACTGGTTCGATTTGCGTAATATGATCATCTCTTCCTTTAACTAGTTAATATTTCAAATTCGGCAACCTATGCTACGATTCGGAGTGATCTACCTTCCCTCCGACCCGCTTAGTTGATACAGAGCGCATCAATTGGATTCCTGATAACTTCTTCTAATCCAAGCAGGAGGGAATAGGTACATACGATGATCTGGCTCACCGTATGATAGCCAGTACAGGGCCCCCCGGTATGCCCAAACCGTGCATACCGCGTCTCGCCCACTGTCGAGAGGCTGGCCTGACTGCTTGACTGGCTTTCGTCGCCAGTTCAGCAAGGCCATTGGGCTTTTACCACCCCTAGCTGTGGTCCCTGCATCGAGAATCCACCTCTCCGCAGGCCCCATCGTTCAAACGTAACTAATCTCCACCAGCACTAGGCATCCATTCTTCCTTCGAGATCCGACTGAACCCATTCTCTCTCGTTCATTTTCCCCATAACCTTGACGTCTTTTATCCCACTATCGGTGCCATCGTGACGATAATTGACCAACACCAGCTCATCAGCTTAGCATCATGTCCCACCATGGCCCTCTTCACATGCTTTCATTCGCACTGCGCCCCAGAAAGCACATCATGACCAGCCCTGATAAGAGCCGGAGTTGGGACTCGGATCTGGTCGCCACCCTTGAGAGCCTGGGTGAAGCGCTTTCTGGTCCGCAGACCCGCCGCCGATCTCGGTGAGGATTGGGTGAGCGGTTGGTTCTCCTCCGTTATATACGAATCATAGCTTCGCTGGCGATGGTAGTCGCCAAACGTGGGGCGCAGTATGCGTCATGTAGACAAAGGAAGAGCTGCTTCTGCTTCATGTATAAGCAGACTGGTGCCGCTCGAACCGCGGTTCCTTACGGCCCAGCCTCTATCATCTCGCGCACCGACTCGGGCACCGCAATCATACCCGCGGTGACATGGATAGAGGTCAAGTGAACGGACTTCCGGGTGAGTCATCGGGTAAAACCCGACTCTCGGAGGTCATGTCGGTGTAAATACCGTGAGTAATAACGTGAGTAGTACCGTAAGTAGTACCGCACCGGGTTATAAGCCGGACGTTCCCGTGACTTGCTCATATCTTTACGAGACTATGCTATCACGGAAGTCGGTTTACAAGCCGTATACAGGCCGAAACCGTTCTGGCCATTGGTGACAAGAGAGTATCTATCAACCAAGAGGTCACATTAAACGATCAGACGATCTAGGAAAGGAATGCTAAGAAGCAGCTAGAAAAGTATAAGGAGACGAAAAGGGAATTATACCTGCCCATCACTTTGAGTGCCTTCTTCTTTCATCGACAAGAATGAGGCGAATATTTTTTATTATCTTTTACTTTGGTTGAGACTACGATAGTTCTGCATTTGGTGAGGTGTCTGGAACGTCCAAAGTTGAGCATGTGAGACCGGCAGATTTCAGAGTTGGGCAGCATTGCCTTAGTGGTTGTTTAGTTATCTTTAGTGGTTCGCCTCATTCTACTACCTGGTATTAGCCTACCTGGTATACATAGTGTAGCCTGTAGGTAGGTAGCAGTAGCAAACTCGGTGACTAACTTAACCTAAAAAAGGTAAAGGTAGGAAAAGGTCTAGGTTAAGTATTTGTGTATACTCAGTGCGTATAAACAGTATCAAGCTTACTATACACGGTATTTAGCTTATTAAGGTACGGATCTAGCAGATCATTAGAGCTAGACCAACTCCAGCTATCGTCCCGGATTCAGCCCTACCCCACCGTTCACACCAAAAAAGGAACTAGCCAATCAAATCTCATATACAAATATTTTAAACACTGCTGCGTCCTAAATTTAATTTCTTTGTACTTTCAACGTCGTTTTTACAAATCACATCTAATCATGCTATTGGATGAGAGTATATCATCGTATATAGAATAGCCAAGGAAAAACAAAGACATGGCTGTGGGATTCTAATCTTGAATTAAGTTAGTTACGGCATACTATTTTCTTACGTAAGTAACACACGAGAAAAGGATCCAAATCCTTCTCTCCCAATCAATACACACCACACGTATACCACATAACAAGATCTAAATATCTTCGACTTTTAGTTTATTCTCGTCTCCAAGTCTCGATGGCTTGTCTTAGTTTGCGGTTTATTATACTCTTCTACGAATAATGGTAGTCATACTATCCGATATACTAATCCATCGCTATAGGCGTAGATTGATAGCAACATTCTATCCCATCTCTTAGAGGCGAGATCTAAAAGATGACAGGTCCAGCTTTTCATCTAGAAAATCATGATAGGCATTCTGCCACCGACAGCGTAACGTTGGGGGCCGCCACGACTTTGGCTGTAATAGCGATGGACGGCTAAATATTACGCCCCCTGCCTCCTGAGATCTGCAGGCCTCGAGGATACTTGGGAAATTCTGCCTTGTAGCTGTAGCTGTAGCTTACAATTGCGCGAGCTATGTAATCTCACGCTTTTCAAACTTCTCTCACAACATGCCTTGATAGCACAGCAGTGTAATAGACTGCTCGACGGTTTGTTCCTGTAGGGGACAAGAAAACCGATATATTTTCAACCATAACGACATCATCTTCATCGATAGGTATATCGATATTTCTAGCACGGGAGCTAATTAGGGAATAAAACGATGGCTTCCGCTCAACAGTCCACCTACGATAGTCGGCACAACGCCACGTGGGGTATCAATGGGTTCGTCATCGTACTGACTATACTTTCGGTTGTGCTCCGCTTCTACACCCGTATTTTCACCCGCGCCGGATTGAAAGCCGACGACTGGTTAATTCTATTCGCCCTTATCACTTCTCTGACGACAGTGGTGCTAGTCATCTGGGGTAACTCTGTCAACCCGAACGGACTTCGTGCATCGGATAACACGAATAAGGACTATGTCTACTCGTCCTTAGATCATCTATACATTAGACTATCCTATGCCTCTACCATCCTCTATTTCACCGTCGCCGGTGCTACTAAGATGGGAGTACTAGTCATGTACCACCGTATCTTCGCCATCAGCGATGTCTTTCGGTACCAGCTATTCGTCGTGAGCGCCTTGGTTATCGGCTGGTGGTTCGGGTGTACCGTTGCCGCATTGCGGAAGTGCAAGGATCTCGAAACCGGACTGAATAGTACTCTAAACGATCCCAAGTATTGTATCAATTTCAATGTCTACTGGATGGCGGCCGGGGTATGCGAGATTCTTCTCGACACCTGGATCCTGACCTTGCCCTTAAGCGTGGTGTTGAGGATGCACTATTCGCTGAGACAGAAATTCGTCGTATCAGGGATCTTCTTATTAGGAGCTTTGTACGTCCCCCTCATCTAGGTACTTCTTCTCTGATTACCTTCCTAACGACCATCTAGCTCCATAGGTTCTGGCATCGCCAAAACTGTCCTCGCTTACCAGCCGGGAAGGCGGGCGCTGTCTTACGCCAATACCGAAATATGGGCGGCCTTGCATACCAGCATAGCTATATTGTGCGCTAGCCTGCCCATATTCAGACCCCTTGCCATCCAAATAGCGCAGTCGTACCTCATCGTCAAGATCAGCAGCCTCTTGACTCGGCGACGAAAGTCCGGGAGTGATAATTATAACCTTGATAAAACACCAAGCGGAGATGGAAGCGGAAGTGGGCGTGGAAGTGGTAAAGGAAACGGTAATGCTAGGTTCAACCAATATCCCAATATATCGTTTATAGAGACGGACATGGTTCAAGACCGTCTAAAGCAGCCGAGCCCGACTTATTCCCGCGTGTCGCTCGTAGATTATGCGATAGATCGGGTATATGCTAAGGACCCATATGAAGAGATACAGGAACTGGCTCCCCAGCTACCCGATATCGAAAGAACGGATTCTCTAGAGCTATCATCGGACATCAGACCTTTCACGACTTTGTCCCCGCATAGAGAAAGTAGAGAGATATATCACTAGCCTGAGACAGGCCTGTTGAGTCAGTCACGCGGACTATGAAGGGATGTTGGGATGGTTTGTTGATACACATAAATACCCAAAAATAGGAGGAACGCAAGCATGTACATTACGATATGGAACGAGATACAGCATGACATTAGGGTTGAAGACTCCTATAAAACACCACGCACCCAAAGGCAATCTTAACACACCTAATTCAATTCATATATAACATATAACTCTAATTGAGCAGGATCAATTCAGTAGTTACCTACCTACTTAGACTGAAAAGGTCCAAGCTCCAACACCCTCGTCTACTTAAACGATACAAAAAAGCCCTCGTCGTAAAAGACGACTACTGCTACGGTGACCATCTGGGCTTACTCGACGGTTACACCAGTTCCTCGCGTAAATTCCCAGTGTCGAACTATTACTATGACGAAGACCATTTCGGGTGCGATGATTGAAGGGGGAGTGAAGCGGATACGTATGAGCCGTTGAGTTTAGAGGAAGCATGGTGTAAGAGGCGTGTGTGGCTTAGATAGACGAAGACATATCTGAGAGACAAGTCGATATAGTTTTAAGCTAGGACGCCAGCTAGAGAAAGAAGGGTGGACATCATGGACTCTGCTTGCGCGTCACAGTTAGATAAAGACCTGAGATACCTATCTTCAGCTTCAATACAGTCACTTATCTTATAGGCTTACCTATCACAAATTTCCTATAGGTCCCCTTTGGGCGTTATTATTAGCAGTTTAGATTAATAGCTATAGAAGTACAACGATTAGCCCCCATTGCTATTAACGAGGGGATGCATTATGTCAACTGTTATACAATTTTATTATGCTACCACAAGACGGCTAAGATGACCGTAAATGCTACGTAGACTAGCCAATAATAGTGTTCCTCTTTTATCACTGTTAGGTGGTAAGCACCTGTTGTTGCGAATGCTCGAAACAGACTGTAGTAGAACTTACCAAGTCTCTTGAGGTTTGCAAACGTGATAGTTGATCGAATTCGGAATCCTGAAGATTGATGATACTTCACATCTGCCTTGGTATCATGGGATACCTGCTCGCATTGTTACTTAGGTACTTTGATGATTGCAAGAACGGCCTGCTGGGAGATATCTTTCATCCTCTCCTCTGAGGTCGCTTGGACGGTTGTCTGCTACCAATGTCGCTCTCATTGCCGCCATTCCGTTCGCGCTTCTGCATGTTCAAGTTTCGAATGTCCGGGCCAATCACAAGTCCTTTGACGCCCTTCAAACCCATTTTCCCAATTGTGCTCTTCTGCAGCGGTGGAACCTCGGCCGCTCCAAGACCATTTAGCGCAAACTCGTTCGCTTCGCGGACAAGTCGGGCGGTATCCCAGTTCAGTGGCTTGACGTAGGTCTTGTAGTAACCAAGCCAGCCTTGATATGCTTTCGCTTGGGTTTCTGGATCGAGTCTCGTAGCAATTTCCGATACATCCTCGCGGGCGCTTAAGTCGGCGGGTGTTTCCACAAACGTAATGTTATTTAGTGTTTGCTTTGCGAATGAGGTCTCGTGAGACGTGATAATGAAGGTGCCTTTTCCTTCCGCGCCTGCACGGGCAGTTCGCCCCAGCCGATGAATATAGGATTCCCTATCGGAAGGGATGCCTGCTTGGAAGACGTTTGTTACCGAAGGAAAGTCCATACCTCGAGCGATGACATCTGTTGCCACTAGGATACCGCTTTGAGCTCGACGGAACTCTTCAGTAACGTTCGTCCTCTTGCTCTGTGACATTCGAGAATGGAGGGACATGACTGGCGGCAAACCGGGTGATTTCTGTAGGACTTCCAGGTAAAAGTCTACTAGCCGTGCGGTAGGCACAAATATTATCACCTTGAAGGCTTCGGGGCCAACAACTGCAAGCTCTTGTCGTAGTGCACCGAGTAATCCAGCTGCCATATCAGAGAAAGTAGGGACGACAATGAGATGCTGAGGGACGCGCTCGTGCGTGCTCAGTTCACCTTCTGCGATGGTAGAGATAGACTTATAGTCCTTCGACAGGACCAGCTGGGAAACTTTTTGGACGTGGCCCGGGACAGTTGCGGAGAAGAGCATGCATTGCCTCTGATGGACGGCCCTGTTCGGCAGGCACTGAATAATCTTCTTTAGGGAGTCCAAAAAGCCCATATCCAGAAGTCTGTCGGCTTCATCTAGCACCAGCGTGTCAAGACTTTGTAGCATGCTGGCAACCCTACTATCTTCCCCACTCAGATGATCATATAGTCGACCTGGAGTACCAATCAGAATATCGCAGCCTCTTAAAATGCGTTTCTCTTCCGTGTCCTTGTTTGTACCACCAATGGCGATACAGATCTTGTACTGCTCCAGACGCTGTAGTAGGGCACGTGCCTCCTCCGCGATCTGCATTGCCAACTCTCTGGTGGGTGAAATGACAAGGAGAGAAACGTTTTTACTCGATTTCCCCTGGCGATGCATCATTCTTTGGATGGCTGGTAGCAGGAAGCCGATAGTTTTTCCTGTACCAGTCTTTGCTTGTGCCAAAACATCGCAGCCTTCCTTCAAAAGCGGGTAGATGGTGGCTGCTTGTACCGGTGTCATGTGGTTGAATTTCAAGTCCTCCGATAATGTTTGCAGTAAGACAGGATGAATCAGATTATCCTTCGCGAGTTCTGCAAATGTTGGAGTATCTGCGGGCACAGAGATTCTCGGAGTGGCATTCTGTGGTGTGACATTTTGAGGTGTTTCCGAGGTTGAAGGCGCGTACGAACCATCAACTTCAGTATTGCCATTAGCCGCAGCTGACCGTGGATGATTTGAGATATGCCTTGAGCCTCGGGCATTATTCCCACGCTTTTTACCTCCTCCACGCGTGCGAAAACGAGAATGACCCTGTGGTTCTTGCATAGTCATGGTGAAAGTTCTATGCTGAAACCGGACAATATGTTGTTGTAATGGAAAGAAAAATGGACGTAGTTTGAGAAATTGTGAGATTGCTCTAGCTTTTATTGGTACTTGCGTCAATGTCATTTTATTGCAAGGTAGCCGCAGCAACTCACACCTTCCTACAACTTCTTTGATCTTTGATGATTCTTTAATATATGTATGTAGGTAGGTATCTTAGGAGGTACATACAAAAGGTACCTTTATAAAGTTTTTTCTGTACATGTGGCTGCATGCTCAAATTCACGTGTGCAAACGCGTAGGGGCGAGACCTGCCGCTATGAAATCTCTTCCTACACAAGCAAGAACTTGATTGGTCTACGGCCGAATATTTCCACAGATTTTCAACAGGCAATTTTCTCTTTCTTAACCTAACTACAAATTTATTTCCGGAGCTATATCTCCAGCAAAAAGCTTTTTTTCTTTCCCTCTTTCCTTTTAATTTACTTCTTGGGGGCAAAGTACCAAGTAGGGATGCTATTGGTTTTGAGAAAATAGTAAAACTATTTTATTGCTTGCAGACCCATCGCCTATCTTCTCCTTTTCAAGTGTATCACATTAGGTACCTAGGTATGGTTAAATTCCATAATCCTAAGTTGCAAGTAGGTAGTTGCTTTTAAGAAGATAAGTAGTATGTTAATATTTCAATCCTTAATATCTTACCATTTACACCAAGTATATCTCTCTTTTAGTTGGTTTTGTGTCTACGAATTCATCAAATTTTAAGTTGAGCTTGTTTGACTATATCTCAATGTCATCTGGCTTCCATTCCATCCGAAGAGTGCAAGCTTCGCCTCGAGATTCTCCGCCTGCATCCCTTTAAATTTACCACAAGCTCGGTATGATATATCTCATCGTACTTGGCGCAAGAATCAAAGGGAAAAGATTGTAGCCATGTCAATGCCGAATTATATATAGCGAGGAGCTCTAGGTGATAGCACTAGGTGATAGCACAGCACATAGTCACGGTACATCAATGAACGCAAACAAGTGAAAGGAAAATGGTGACTAGGAGTCACCACATCTTGCTCAGTAAACTATCTAACTCACCAGTCCTATATACCTACCAAGAGGCATATTGACTAGTTCAAAAGCCATCTAGCTCATCCAGCGTTTCCTCCCAAATCGGTTTTTTTTCTCTTTTCTCTTTTTTTCTGCCTGTGTTACTATGCTTGCAAGACTGCCCAGGAGCTGAGGTTGTCGGAATAGTGAAAACACTATCCTAATGCGAAAGTGCGACTATGGACGTACATTCGAGCCCCCTGATGCACAAGAAATTTTCAAGTAAGCACCAATAGGTAGAGTGTGACAGCTCATGACCACGGAGACAAGAGCCGCCAGTAACCAGGAACAGTTCCAAAACATATTAGCCAGTCAGTTGTATTGGGTGAATCGGAAAGGCCATCTGTAGACGACGATTCCTCCTCCATATTGAATGGTTTTTATTGCAATCCGAGTCGAAGATGTTGCAACTGATGGTACCAATGCTCCTGCGGTGGACCGACGCAGTGCAATAATTGTGTAGGTTGAACAGCCCGGGCCCAGACAGAAGTATTCTGTTGTCCTAGCATCTGCTGTCCTCGGGTACGGTGAGTTTCGCGACAATGCTCGCCAAACTCTGCTCTAAGTTGAATACGAAAACTTCAACAAAGGTTGATAGAGAGGGGGATGAGTAGTTAAAGGGAAAAATGCTTATGAGACAACGGTAGAAACGAGTCCGTCAACATAATATAATCTCTCCTCGTGGTCATTCCTCGTCACCGAGTGCACACCCCCTATGCCGCCGAAGAATTATCCGATGCCGACCACCGAATCCAGGTGGAAAAAAACGCCCGACGCCAAAATTTTCCCCTTCCCCGGTTCGTCCAAACGTCAACTAACTCGGTCTCATGTCGTCGAATGCTCAAAGAATCTCCTTCGCGAGATCGAGGAACGATTGGAAGCCAAGGAACCAACGAAGTCATAATGGGTATGTTACAAATCGCAAAAGAATCCAGAAGATATGTACAGTGCAAATGAGATGGAGCCCAAGAAACTCCAGTGAATGTTGAGTTTCTGGCGTGGGGTCTAAGCACGTTCAAAAATAGTTCGAGCTTATTGCGGAGGTTGATTCTGGCCACCTCGACCACCACCACCACCACCACCACGGCCACCATAGTTATTGTTGTTGTAACCGCGTCCACGACCTCGGTTACCACCGCGACCGCCGCCACGGCCTACTCCACGGTTGGATTGGTACGACTGGGACTCGTTGAAATGACCACCACGACCACTTTGGAAGCCTTGTCCTCTATTCTGAGATGACGGGATGTTGTTCGATTGCTGCGAAGGGAAATCGCCAGAGTGTGCGGGCTTCGGGGCGTACGTGTTGACGGGACGAGGGATACTCTCGGGGTTGTCGTACACATAAAGGCTCTTATCAATAGTGGCAGGGATTGGCTGAATCTCCGTGCCAAGATCTTTTTCGATATTGTACAGATTGAACCTGTCGTCCCAGTTGATCAGGTTGATCGCCAAACCAAGATGACCGTACCGGCCAGATCGTCCAATACGGTGTAGGTAGGTTTCAGCATTCTTGGGGAAATCAAAGTTGATAACGACATTCACCGCCTGAATATCGATACCACGAGTGAGGAGGTCGGAACAGACAAGATTACGGCAGACGCCATTGCGGAAGTCGTGGAACACTCGGTTTCGCGCATGCTGCGCCATCTTCGCGTGACTGTAGAAACATGAATAACCAAGCTCTGTTATCTTCTTGGCTAGCAGTTCCACACGGTTCGTCGAGTTACAGAATATGATGGACTGATTGATTTGGAGCTTAGAGAAGAGAGTGTTCAAACAATGGACCTTCTGCTTCTCTTCGACGAAGGCGTAGTATTGCGTGATACCCCGCAGGGTGAGTTCGTCCATCAGGTTGATTTCATAAGGCCTATCCATATTCTTATCAGAGAAATCTTTAACAGACATGGGGAATGTGGCCGAGAAGAGCATAATTTGGCGATCTTTAGGGTGGAACTGGAGCAGCTGTTCGATGACTGGGGTAAATTCGATCGAAAGCAGCTTGTCGGCTTCATCCATGATAAACATGGGACATTCGCTAAGATCAGCAACATTCTTGCCTGCCAAGTCGAGAATACGGCCGGGAGTGCCCACTACTATGTGGACGGGATCCTGTAGACGGACAATATCATCGCGGAGAGTAGTACCACCAGTTGTGACCATGACGTTGATTCCGAGGTGTTTGCCGAGGGTCTTGCAGACCTGAGACGTCTGCATTGCGAGTTCTCGTGTAGGGACCAATATTAAACACTGAATCTTGTTGACCTTCGGGTTTATCCGTTCTAGAGCGGGCACGACAAAAGCTGCTGTCTTGCCGGTACCGTTCTTGGCTCTTGCTAGGATATCTCGTCCTGTTAGGGCTACCGGGATGGATTCTTCTTGGATAGGTGATGGTTTCTCAAAGCCAGCTTCAAAGATGCCCATTAGTAGGTCTCGCTTCAGATTGAAGTTCTCCCATTCTAGACCTTTAGTGTTTGTTACATCCTAGAGATCAAATTAGCTTGTCTCTCGCCCTTCCAACAAGTCAAATACAGACCTCGGTTTGTTGTCTGTTGTCACGAGTAGGGATGTTGAGACTCTTCTTCCAATCTTCATTCTGAGGGGCATCATTCAGGGTTGAAGCCCTCAGTTGCGCTGTTAAAGCATCCGTCATTTTTGCTATGAATGTCAGGCCTGACTGTGAAAGAGACTCGTGGATCTGATATTTGTATGTAATTCACGGGGTAGCGTTGGATTCCAAGCGTGTACCATGCACTGCTGAGAGACAGTAGGGAAAGGGTGATAGTGTTGTAGGAGGCAACAGTGTGAGTGAGTGGGGCGCGAGGCTCTATGAAAAGTAGATTTTCATATGCCTAATTTAGAATGTAGGCGTGGGTGCGAACTGTTTGCTGGTACAGAAGAAGGTCGTTCGTATGCGCGTCTAGGACGAGAATAGAAGCTTTCCTCCTGTTTGTTTAAATCGATAGAGTGGTGGGTATGTCAAGGGCTTAGCAATGCTAGAGCGTAGAAATCGGTCAGTTTAAATTTGACAAACAACTCAGCATACAGGCGGTAGAAAGAAGCGCATTCAAAAATAGTAGAGAGCGGGTCTTGTTAATGAGGAGACGTTCTCAGCACCTAAATAAGGCACCAATGAGAGAGACATCTGAACAAGACCAAAACGAATAACATAGATAGCTCCAACAAGAAGTTTAGGCCAAATGTGGGAGCGCCACAACCGTACCGCGTACAGACACGTAGACGTACCTTCGCCAAATAGTAACTCCTGCAGCCAGGGAAATTCCAGCTGGCTAAATAATGGATACGATCGACGCTTTAAGCACCTAAGGCGTAAAAAAAAAACGGAATCACGTAGTGGGATATTTAGAGGGGTCTTTTCGTATGAGGCGAGATAACGCGGTGTATAAAGATGAACGAGTCGGTTTCAATGGTTGATCGCGAGTAGAGAATAACAAAAGATCGAGATGACCTTGTGTCAATAGCGGAAATAGGTTTTTGATAGTGTATTCGCGAGGGAGGGGTTTTTGGGGTGAGCTCTGAGTCCTTTCGACGGGGAGGGACGAAGATCAAGGGAGCTGTAGTAATATGTGCGATGCACTCAAAGATATTCGTGGAGGTTCGTGTGCAGGAAAGAGGTAGAGGCAAGAATGCAGATGTGGTTTGTGGGTGTGGAAAGAAGTGCCTCGTGAAAATGGCCGGTTCTGCGTTGTAAGGGGAAGAGGTTGTTTATCTGATCTGATCTGATGCGCACCACAAATTGTTTTTCAATGGGGTCGAGCCGAGAAAAGAAGCCTGCAGTTGTGTAGTAAGAACCTAGGAACATGCACGAGCCACACGGTGCCGGTCCGGTATTGTCCCGACATTGCGGGACCCTCCTGCCCTCCCGAACGACCAGACGACCCCGCAACCTTGAGGCTGAGGCAAAGCGCAGAGAGCGTTACATAATGCCAGGGACTGCAATATCCCAGCTGCATAGCATCAATTAGCGCTAACCTTATAGCGAATGAGACCCCTATGATGGCTTGAACGGCAAGACTATTTTAAGTCATCTACGTACCGCATGAACGCATCGGTCAGTCGGCTTGAGCGGGTTTGAGCCATTTCAAACATTTACAACAACACCCAAACTCAATTCAATATTGCCTCTTTCCAATTCATCCCTCTTTATTAGAGTCTTTATTAGAGATCCTATTTCCACCAGTCTAATTTCTCCGTCATGAGGCCTTTTCTAATGGGCTTCATGTGTGATGCCCTTCTCCTGTAGACTATGATCTTCAAGAAGTCAACTTTCGCCCTTTGCTCCAGTCTTCCCGCCTTGCTTCCATCGTCACACCCCTGTTATGGCATAACGTCATCATCATGTAGGACGGACACGCGACGGCCTCCGTGTCAAGAGCACGGCCACGTCTCCTCGCGTCAACGATTCTATGCTACGGTTTCTGACGGGCGCAAGAAGTCGGCTGGCTTTTCTAAGGAGCATGCCTGGCCTGAGTCGCCACATCCCACTCCCTACGAGATCTTCGACCAACAAAAGAGTGCGCCATACAGCAAGACCAAATTCTATGAATTAGTCAAGCTCTATCACCCCGATAGGCACCATCACGTGTCAGCTCACAAGCTGTCGCATTCCGCCCGGCTTGAGCGTTACCGGTTAGTCGTCGCTGCAAATCAAATTCTTAGCGACCCGTCCAAGCGACGAGCCTACGATTTGTACGGCGCGGGATGGGGTGGAATACAAACCATGGAAAATCTTTACCGATCCGTCGACAGGTCTTGGCGCGACGTTCCTGGAAATCCGAGCATGAACGCCACATGGGAGGATTGGGAACGATGGTACAATCAAAGGGACGGGAAGAAGGAAAAGCAAAGTCCTGTTTATATGTCCAACCAGCTATTTGCGGGTGTGTTATGCATATTCGTAGTTGTTGGAAGTGTGGGCCAAGCACGCCGCGCAAATTCAAACGCGACGAACTTCGAAGAAATGAGGGAGAAGAGTCATGCGACTATTAGTCACGATATGAGACAGCGTCAGACCGAGAAGGCGACCCTCAACAGACATGAGAGAGTGGAAAGCTTCCTGCGACAGAGGGAGGGTTGGGCTTTGGCCACGACGGAAATCCCCCGCTCAATATCGGCCCCCAATGAGAAATAAGATCCCGACTCTCAATAGCGAGTCTCTATCTAATAAATCCTACGTACTCAATTTCGAGGGAGACATGGTGGATCACTCACTGCTTTTGATCTAAGTACCTACCTACCTAATGTAACGATTTTAAACTTGATGTCATTGGATATACCTAATCTATCGTGTCTCCCTCGCACCTTCGAACATGGGACTACCACCTAGGCAATCTTAAGAGGTAGTATTTATATCAGTGCCTAAATCTTCTAGACGTTATTAGATCCTTGGAGTATACATATGCCGCATTCTACTATTATTTATAAGTCTAACATGACCTATGATCTATTAATCTTACACCTTTCCATCAAATGCAGCCGCCAAGTGGAACGTAAGGCTATGATCCGCATCAACCTTACCTCCCACTGATTTCCCAACTAGATTTGGATCATCCGTGAAAAACGATATGTTAACCGCACCTGGTCCATCCGGAGTATCCAGACGAACGACCCCCCCAGAATGAACCTTCTCGCCAACCGGACTTCCGATCTTCCACGCCTTTCCAGTTTCCGCAGTTCCCTTAGTATCAAGAATGGTATCGTAGACAACCCCTGCACTCTCAACAGTCTTTCGATTCCCAGGCAGAACCTCAACCTTCGCAACTCCAACCGCGCCAATCGGGTGTTTCGTGACTCCCGGATCAGTATACGGCACCCGCAAATCCCGCGCCGTAACATCCAGGCACCAAAAGGGCACAGTCCCCGGCTCAACCGGACCCCCGTCATCGTGCTTCGGGAACGCAACCCCCCACTTCAACACCTCACCATCAGGCCGAGTTCTCCCTCCACGCCGTAGGTCTCCATACGCGATCCCGGCATTCGCATCGCGGACCCTCTTCTGGATCTCGCGGAACTGTTTTTCCTGCTCCAGGAACCCCGCTTCCCCTTCTACGGAGGAAGGGGAAGACGAGGACGGCAGAGTAACCGCCCAATCCACAACCGTGCCCTCCTCCTTCTTGCCCCATTGGTGCGCGGCGCGCTTTGCGGGGTCGATCCCCGGCACAAAGGCGATGAACTCGAGGTATGAGCCGTCGGCTAGTAGAACGAGTGTATTCTCGGTTAGGCCATCGGAGTGCTGGCCGCCGGGGTAGAAGTGGAATAGGTCTGCAAACCAAGAGGGCGGGGCGGAGAGGAAGGAATGTGGGATCAGGATCACGATGTGATCAACGAGCGGGGTAGTTGGAGACGACATTTTGTAACGTGGTGATGGTTACCTTTGTGATAGCTAACGGATTGACAAAGGGACGTTTCAGTACACAGGTATTTATGCAGTGTATTTAATGTAGATGTCGTGCTCGACTTGCCAAGATTGCGTGACTCATGTAAATCGGCCTTCGCTCGGATATAGAGTTCTGAATCATATATGGGCGGGTATCTTGATATAATAGGATTATACGATATAAAAAATTGAGGTTAGTCTCAATCTTTAATAGCTGGAACTAGAGTGTCTTCTAGTACACGCTTCATGACCCTCTCAGCCTCCTTTGGGTCGATTCTCTCCTCAGCACCTAGCCGGATCATTCGACCAACTAGGAACATGAGCTTTCCTTGAGGATATTGTTTATAATCTATAAACTGCTTCACAACTTCATCCTGTCCTTCCGCTGCATCCAATGCCAGCTGAACATATTCGTCTTCGTTGAGCTCGTCGAACCATAGATTTTCCTCGTCGAGAACGGCGTCTATCGTGGCATACTCATCTGGCACTCTCCGGCGAAAAACGGCCCATAGAAGTTCCTTGGCTACCTTTGCAGTTATCTTGCGTTGATATAGATATAACAAGATGTCGGCAAGGTGTTTGGCAGGTACACGATCACATTGGCCTTCTTCTGTAAATCCCAAGTCCTGAGCGTCATCCTCACTACGGCCCGACGTTAGGCGACCTAACTCATGCAGGATCCAATTAGCAGCAAGTTGGTATCCGGATAGATATTCAGGAGAGGCGGCATCTGGTCCAAATTGTTTAGTGAGAAGATCGACGACATTCCAGAAATATTCAACTCGGTTGCCTCCATCAAGCACTACTAAAGAAAGTGCATCCTTAGGAGTAAGCCCAAAGCGTTGAATAAGTTCATCGACTTCAGCATCGGGGAGTTCGCCCATGCCCTCTCGCAGGTGGCTGACCAGGTCATTACCAATAATAACAGGTGCCAGATCAGGATCTGGCATATACCTATAGTCAACTTCGCCTTCTTTGCCACGTAGTCGGCGAGTCTCAGTCGACCCAATCGACCAGCCGCGAGTCTCGCTCTCGATTTTTCCACCGGACTCCAGAACGGAAATCTGTCTATCCCGCTCGGCGATAATAGCGTCCTCAACAGCCTTAAAGCTGCTTAGATTCTTGATTTCAGTACGCTGGCCTAGCGGTGCGGAGGGATCATCGCTTCTTCGGACGGACACGTTCACATCTGCACGTAGACCACCCGCCTCCATACCCGAGATGCAAGAATCGGCGGCATTAAGTAAGGCCTGAACTTTCCTAACCAAAGCAGCGGCGGTGGCGGGATGGTGAATATCGGGCAGAGTAATAATCTCGATCAAGGGCATGCCAACACGATTGAAATCGATCCAATGAACTTCACCTGGCTGTGCTAGAGTTTTGGCTGTGTCCTGCTCCATCTGGATCTGCTTAATACCGACCGAGACACCATCGCCATCTTCTGCCGCGATTCCATCTCTAGCTTGTAGTATAATCCTACCATCTCGCGCAAATGGTTCGTAGTACTGAGTAATCTGGTAGCCTGACGGCTGATCCCAGTGGAAATAGTGTTTCCTATCAAACCTGCTTACATTCTGTATGTTACAGTCGAGCGCTAGAGCAGCTCTTAGTGCTGGGATAAGAGTCTCCTTTTGAAAAATGGGCTGGCTACCGGGCGTAGCCAAATCAAAGAACGCAACGTGAGAATTTGGGTCATCGTTGAATGACGTAGTTGCAGGAGAGAAGAGCTTCTTGGCCGTGTTTAACTGAGCATGTATCTCAATTCCTACGGTCAACTCCCAACCGTCCACTACTTGGTTGCTCGCGTTCTTTTTCTTCTTCTTTCCGAGAGCCTTTTGCTTCTTAGCTTCATCTTTCAACTGTTTCCTTAAGGGAACATGAACAGGAGAGGGCGTATTATTGGAGAGGGGAGAAGAAGCAGACTCGGTGTGAACATCTCTGATCTGGGAAGACCATAAGGCTGTCGACCGGATAGAATTTTGAACAGCTCTAGGGATGGTCTGTGCTTGATATTTTAAACAGCCTCGTGTGGATATTTTCCCATTAAACAGATACCTGCTTAAGGTCGAGAATCGAAGTCGCGGCATATCGGATTACTCGAGGTGAGTAATACCGATTGCGGATGTTATAGCTCGAGACGAGACGACGGAAGCCCGATGATTCGACTTCGATATTTCGAAATTGATATTCACTTTACCCGCAGCTTATCGTATTGTACAGCTTATCGTACAGCGCACAGATAAGGGTCCGGGCACCTGCAGTCTGCAAGGGATCGGCAACACTGTTTGTCGGGTGAACTCGGCTATCCTATCAGCAAAGTATCAACCTTACCTAACAACGGCTTATGACGTTTGACGCTGAAAGAGCTGAAGAGCTGTAAAGCCCCACTAAACAACCACCGAGCCAGATCTGCGGGTACAAGTACATTCCTTATGGAGCTCATCCTTGTCATTCAACGCATCTTCAAGCCCAAATCATTTTCTGGCCTTCGTCATCTTACATCTCCAAATCACAAGGAAATTTGGAACATACAGACATATCGACGCAGACGTCGCAATTTGGAAAATAGAAAGCATGGCAAAACCTCTAAAGGATGGATATTGACTCAAATCGAAATTAAGGGACTGCCGACTACGGCTCATCACCGTACCCGAATGCGCCATGTGGCCGTGATCACTTCCAGACTTATTCGCGTCACTCACAGTCACTCACATCTCTCGACCAGCCAACCAATCATTTATCGTATCATATCTGGACAACTCCCATGCGACCTACCAGTGTGGTGGGATCTCCTCGTTATCGTTTGGGATACCACTGCTGCGTCGGTTAACCAACTTGGGGCCATAGGGGGCTGCTCAGTATCCTTTTCTGGATATCTTGCCTTCCCATCAGAGTCTCCTCTCTTTAACTCTTTTTTCCATTAATATCAATCGAGCCGTCCCATAGGACCACATACCTTCACGTAGTTCGTGGTATGCCCTCTGGCGTCTCAAAATTCTACCATGGCCGTTTAGCGCCGTACTCTCTCATCAGCGCCTGGCCACATGTTCTTCAAGTAATCGTCTATAGCCGTTTAGTAGCCTCCTAATTCGACTCGTGGTTACCACATACCAACGTGGATATTTGTCATCATTCTGTTCGTCAAAGCTAGCGTCCCATTAGAAAATTCCGTATACTTACATCGTCTTCATGGACGGTTACCTGCAGATTGACCCTGCGAGGTATGCGTGTTTCACGCTGTTTTCGCATCTTTTCTTTTATTCTTCCCACTGTAGGGCCAAATATCCGTTTCATTAAGAGTTTTCAAGATCGAAAAGCACAGTCCTGCTGATGTCGTCCACAAGACATTATCGTTCATCATCCGTCCCGGCCGCGATCGATCGAGGTACCCCTTGGCGAGCCGTTGAGCGCAACATGGCTGATAATCAGGGTCATACCCAACCCAGTTATCCCTACCCCCCATCCACAAGGAGAAGCGTGCCTAGACGTAACACTGATATCAAACAGCCCACTCCGATCATAAGCTACGGCAATCCGAACCAGGCCCATAGGAGGTTTTCGAGCGTCTTGAACGCGACTGATCCTATACCGGGTCCCGGCAGGCCGATCACATTAACTCCCACCTTGACCGAAGAACCGGGAATTATCCAACCGGGAGTTGGTTTCGTCGCTCAAGAGGCCGCCCGTCTCAACATCGCATCGGAAAACGAATCCCTTCCTCGTTTAAACTCCCCGTCAGTCGCCTCGACGAGTTTAGCGACTGTAGCCCCGAGCGAGGCTGGATCAGGGGGCTCAGATAAGAGTGCTTCATCAGCCACGGAAAAGCCTTTTATGAATCGGGACGCTACGGGAAAAGCGGGCTCTCGACGAAAGAGGTTCCCTAACAAACAACCTAATGCGCTTAATTTTCTGGATTCGGACTCTCCTACAGTCACGCCGGAAAGCATTCGCAGATCAATGGAAGAAGCTGCCAGTCGATCGCCAACCTCTATTCAAGGCCAATCGCCCTCGATGCGTAGTGCATCCTCGGTATCGAGTAACTTTAGAGACGATACCTCGGAGCTAACTGGTGAGCATGAGACCGACCGAAGCACCAGTCCAGAGCGTGGTCCTGAGGCAAACGATGAGGGTCATCCGCCACCACACAACGGAACTCGACCAGCGGGAACCGAGAATAGGAAGCGTAGCTACGACTTTACAGAGAACCCTCGGGGAAACTCTGAGCATTCGCATGGACCACCAGGAGATTTCGCACCGCGAGAGCCTAGCCGAGGCCGGCCGCAACACGCTCCAAGGGCCGAGAGATTGCCAGTCACAGGTTATCAGCTTCTCGCCTCGAAAATATCTACGTCTTCATCCGATCATGCCAACAATCTCCGACCTATTTATCGTAGATTTGAGACATTAAATCATCGGCTGTTACTGTATCTTCAAGATGAACTTTGCGAGCTAGAAGAGCAACTTCATCGACTTGACGCAGCGGATACGCAATCTAGACGTTTGCCGAATTGCATCTTTCCAGCATCGCGAAGAGCAGAGTATATGGCTAGTGGCGAGCTCCATTGGCACAAGACCGATATCCTCGGTAAGATCGCTTTTAAGCTGGACCAGTACAGTAAGTTCTCTAACCACGCGTCCTTTATCAGCAAAGCACAATATACTCATACAAGTTGTTATTTAGACCGTATACTATCATCATTTAAAGATACGCAGGGGATGCCGGCCCCAACTATGGAAGACATACATGAGTATCGCAGCTATCTTGCAACCCATGCCCCAATCGCCGAGGTCGAGACCCGTTTCCTTGATCAGACGGATGACTTGGTATGTCCGAGTTACGAATATCAAGAAGTGGTTGACGAGGATCCCATTCCGACCCCAATCCCACATCACGACTACCCCATTGGCGAACATAGAAGCGTGTCTCCTATTCCATCCCCTATCAAGTCTCGGCCTACCTCGCCTTACCGACAAGAGGAAATCGGTACCGAGACCGTCATCAGCATGTATGAAGAGTCACCAATCGTCCCCCTGTCTATAGGGATCACGGTGTCTGTGATTCTGCCGATTTTGACATTTTTAATCATACCGGGATATCTAGGCAGACTGACAGTGGTATTCCTGGTGGGTCTTGGTATCCTGGGAGCTCTAATCCAAGGGGGTATCGTCGCTGTCCGGACCTGGGAGCTTTCTATTTGTGTTGGTCTTTACGGCGCTGTGATGGCTGTTATTGCAGGAATTGTATGATGGATTGTCGTATTTGACTGGGGCGTCGGGTTTATAATACCTACCTACCTAATTAACCGACATATCGGCGCCCACCAGGTTGGTGCCTGCATGATTTTAGGGCAGAGACTTGTGGAATTACAACAACAGAATACTGGCTTCGGTGGCAACTTGCTTGTATCAGTACTCTTGACAGGGAACGACAAGATATGACTTATGACTTATGGTGTTGGGTGTATCATATTGGAGGAAATGGTCAAGGCTTGAAAGCAGCTGTTATACAATATGTGGTGTAGATCAGGTATCTCGCGAGTTTAATTAGCAATGAATTATGGGTTTTAAGTTGATCTATGTCTTGATGTTTATCTGATTCTTATATCCGTCCCCTCGAAATTTACAAAGTCTTACCGCAGCGCCTACCGATGTTCCTCATACACCATACCTGGACACTGACTGGATCGATACCTGAGACTTACACAAGGCTAAAGAATACACCGGCGGGGCGCATAAGTTGGATTAATAGCGACACCAATAGCATATATGCAAGTGCACTCGGACGCAGTTCACTATTGTATAGTACGGTGTTCCAAGTAACCATTCGCCCCCCTTTCATTGATAGCCTAATCCATATTAAAGTTTAAACCCCCTTTGAAATATTAAAGAAAGAGAACGATTAGCACTCTAAGCCACTAGGTTATTTGATAGCGACTAGCTCAGAAGCAGCCGTGATGGGCTTTCTAGCAAAAAGAAGATGGAGTGGCTAGACGATAGTAGACCGAACAGTCTATCTCATCGTGCCTGAGAAGGAATGATTGCGCTTTGAATATAGGGATACCTACTAAGTTAAGATCTTAAAGTATATACCTACATAATTTTTACATACATTGTGATATAAATATCGACGTGTACGTACGTATTTGAGAGGTTGAAAACAAGTAGATAATACTCTATTCAAACTTTACCTTTCCAGCTATTACTCTTCTCTCCTAACATTTTACTTAAGCATTATAAACCAAGCCCCTTTTTATTAAGGAGCGGCCTTGAAAGTATGCAAATACCTAACTTATATAATACAAGACAACATGACCCCAGCCCTGTTAGTAGTTGGATAGTTCCAAATGCTAAGACAGGTTCATGGTTCTTTATGCAATGACTAGATTATGTTTTCACTTCTTGTTTATAATTATAGAATAAGCGAGTAAGCTTATACCTGAAGATAATGGAACAATCAAACGATGGGTCTTCTGGGGTGGTTTTTACATTAGAAATTCGACCCCATGTTTTTACAGGACAAGGTTGCTGACTGACATTCCCGTTTGCCGCTGCGCCTCAACCAATCCGGCTGCGTGTCGCTCATCTCGCAACTCAATAGACGACAACTTAAACGATATGTACTATAGAATTTCTAAGATTCGCACCGAGAAAGGGTCAAGCCGATCTACTTATTCGACGAAGTACTTGTGACAGGTCTTATGTTGTTGATCACCTCATATTTGAGTAACAAACGGTGTTGGCAAACGAGAGAACGAGATAGTAATATTAAAGCATCCAACAACTTAGCCGTGGTGGCACATAGGTAACAAAATGAAACTGGTTCTGTGAAACAATGTAAGCTCGTGTGGACAAATTGTTTCGGTATGAAAGATGCATAGAAGCTTCGTGTCTGATTCGCTGATCAGCTTCGGATGCGACGTATTTGGTAGTCCGCAATTCGCAGTCTTCAGCCAGCCATCTCACTCACTACCCAAGTCAGGCTGAGTCTGTAGGCCTCCAGATCCACGTATGCCATTTAAAAAGCTCATGACTCCTGCAACTTCCTGCTTATTATTGCTGATTCACTTCAATATATTATTCTCTGAATAATAGAACGCGATATCATTCCATTTAATATAACCTGGAATCATCATCATCATGACGCAGGCTACGGGATCCTGCGAGAGACGGTGCGATTGCGCACGAGTCTTCAAAGATATAAAAGCGATAACAAATCATATCAAGGATACGGGACATATGGAAGCGAAATGGTGCACGGAATGCTCTCGTTTGTTTGGTTCTAAGGATGCACTTGCACTGCATAAGGCGACTGCCGCAAAACACAAGAGCAATACGACTGCAACTGCAACTGCAACTGCAAGTGCTACTACGACCGTCACCGCGACTGCCATACCGAAGACCAACGTTAAGTCCAAGGCTAAGGCTAAGGCCACTGCCTCCGATAATAAATCTCAGATAGATAAACCCACCGTCACTTCCAACAAACCTGCAAATAAACCCTCAAGCAAACCTACCGGAATTACCACTGCCACCACCACCACCACTAACGCTACTACCATTACTAAACCTCCTAAGCCATCTCAGAGCGATAAAGGAAAGAATCTCTCCAAGGGTCCTAAAGGTACTTAAGCTACACCAAATATCACATTCATATCTAATTCTACATACGTACCTGTATACTAACTCATCTAGCCGTTATCTCGAGTAAAAGCACCACGATGCAGAGCTCAACGGCAGGTGTATATACACCCCCAAAGCCGGCCCTAGCCGTGCCCTCGGATCCTATTACAAGCAAATATCCGTGGTCGTCAGAGAAGCAAACCCCAACCTTGATCAAGTCTTTATCACCCTGTTGTCACGATGAAGCGTGTTTGATAGACGAGAACTATTACACAGGCACTTGGACAGGCCGAAAATGGAAGCATATCAATATCGGAAGATTCCTCCCAACCCCTATGAAAGTAAAAGGGATAGCAAAACGTAAGGCTCTTGTCATCGACTGTGAGATGGTTGGGATCTCGGGAGGAAGAAGCGAACTCGCCCGTGTTTGCATTGTCGACCTTTTCACCAGGGAAGTCCTTGTAGACTCCCTTGTGCTTCCCTCCGAGATCGTCAGAGACTGGCGAACACCGTACAGCGGCATAACCCCAGCTATGATGACTCAGGCTCGGCTCAATGGAACGGCTCTGAACGGGTGGCCAACCGCGAGGACTAAGCTTTTCGAGCTTGCTGACGCGGACACAATACTCATAGGACACGCGCTCAACCATGACTTGCAGAGCATGCATGTCATTCATAACAGAGTTGTCGATTCCGCCATCCTAGTTGCGGAAGCCGTTTTCGGAAGGGGCAATAGACTATGTCGCCAATGGGGGCTGAAAGTGTTGTGTCAAGAACTGCTGGGCATCACAATACAGTCGTCCAAACCTGGTCACGACTGCTTGGAGGATACGCTCGCATCCCGAGAGATCGTGCTATGGTGTTTTAGAGAGCGTGAGAAGCTGGCGGCCTGGGCTAAGGATGCCTTAGTCAAGTACGAGACTGAGAAGCAGAAGAGAGAAGAGCGCCAAAAGGCAAAGGCCCAAGAGCTAGCGTTGAAGAGAGAGAAAGAGAAAGAGAAGGAAAAGGAAAAAGAGAAGGAAAAGGAAAAGGAGAAGACGAAAGCTAATCGTTCTTACTACCAGCCTTGCGAAGTAATGAGTTGGGACGATTTCCTCGAAGCTTGCGACTACCCTCCTGGATATGATCCGTCGTCGTCTTACTAAAGGCGAAAAGGACTACCTATCGTACCTTTCAATAATAGAAGGACCGCCGATCACGTACCACTTCTGATTTAACAGAAAGGGAGCTCTACATTATGGCTGTTGACACAAGGTCGTGTGTCTAGGTACTTGAGTTAGAGAATAAGGCACATGCGTTTCCTTTTCTAATAACGGTGTGATTAGATTGCCCAATGAAATGTAAAGCGTAGCTTTCCACGGAGTATTGAAACATACGATGCGTGAATAGCCCCAGTGACTCGATTTACTAACTGAGCTGTTTCATGGGCGAAAGGGGAAACCTGACTTATATACAGGTTTTCGCTAAGGTATCTTATATTGCAGTTCCCTTGACCACACATTGCGGGACAGGGGTCCTATTTTAGAACGTACATATTTTATTCAGCGGGCTAAATATAATAATAGGAGCTAACCTAGGGATAAAAGTTCGGGAGGGGAGTAGAAATCTATTATCTAGGCATAGATCCGATTATTCGGAATACCAATATGTATTGGTGTTTATATTAACCCTGCCCTCCCAGGAATAAGGGGCTGGAAAGGGGGTGGGGTTGGTGGCGAATGGCCTCCTTATATAGACCTAGTATCTGGCGACCACCCAACGTGATAGCCTTGTTATATACTAACAGATACTAATACACTAGATGTTCTGTTTTTGTAGTGAAATATATAGTGCGTTTAAAAAGGCTCCTTGAACTTGGACCAGGTAGAGACTTCAAAAGCTCACAGCGGTGTATACAAGAGCACAAGGCGTATGAAAGGTTACTTTAAACGTTTGAAATGCCTCCAAAACGACTGTTGTTTATCATTTTCGTCTGGTTTATCCGCGACCTCCTTTCTAGGCGCCGGCGTATTTGCATTATTAGCGTGCCCTAAACCAGCAGCAGTATCAAATACTTCTCTCATTATATCTGTCCATGTAGAATCTATAGCTTCGATTCCGATATCAACCATATAGTATTTGTCTGACGATTTCAGCACGGGAGTGGCGGACACTCGGACGCTATGGGAAGACAGCTCAAATCTCCCTACTGTGGTAGGCTTGAAGAGAGCCTCCATTTCTTTGAACTGCACGCGATCCAAGTCAAGCCAGGCGCCAAGTTCACACGCGCTATAGGCAATATTGAACCCGTTGAGCGTGCCAATCAATACAGTCACCTTCGCGCCGTCTGTGCGTTTGAATATCAGAGCCGCGGAAAGCTGTTCTGGCTTCCGGTATAGAGTATAGTTGATGGCCCACTTGTTCGAGACCCATTTTCTGGCTGAAGTCTTTGATATAATCGGCTGGGGGATGTCGATTCTTAAACCTGGACTTAGGATGCGTACGAGCTGGTAGATCGATGGAGGGGGGCCGTCCCTTAACTGGACGAAGTGATGAAGAAAGGCGCCCTCTAATGATGGTGGCTTAGGTTTCTGAGGGACGTAGACAGTTCGGAGGTATCCACGTGTACGGACGCTAGCGAGCTGTCCTGCCCGAATACGTGCGTACTGGTCGTTGTGCTCTGACAGCTTTTGTAGATATATCGCCAAGAAAGTCGGGTCCTTATAGTCAGGCGGCACAGGACAGTCGAGGACTGCTACATATTCATCGCCGTCGAGTGCCGTAAGATGAAGACCGATTTTAAGGCCGCGGTTAGTTAAGGCGAAGGGTTCACGAGGTTCCCAGTCCTGGTACGGAATTATACTACTTGAGTTCAAAAAGTATGATGGATCTGCTGCTAGGAGGCCCTCCCTCGCATCTGGTAGCGCGTGAGGGTTGACCCACGCGAATAACGACTCGTCGTCTGACTGCTTCATGATTTCCTCTTGAAGCCGTAGAAATGCCTTCTCGCCGCCTTCGCCGTATAGCATGGGCATGTTAACAGAGAAGATACCCATCAGACAATAGGCTTTATCCTCCGGTCGTGTGGTTACCCTTTGCGCAGCCCACGACATACGTCTCGCAATGCTTGCTGAGTCCAGAGGTTCGTCACCAAGCAATATCTTGAAATCGACTCCTGTAATTTCTGCAAGCAGCAAGCATAGAAACTTCTTCTCGCCAATCGGAACCCAATCGCCGGAGAAGAATATCACATCCTTGGGTGCGAGAAGTTCTTGCAGCGTCCAGCCACGAGTGAACCACTTGTTCGTGGCAAATTCGGCTTTGGCCTCTATTGTGGCGAGTTCATTCGGTGCTTTGAGCAGGAAAGCGTAGCAGATATCAGCATCGTGATACCACGCGAACATGGAATTGATGGCCTCGGACAACTCAGAACTACTGCGTTTATCGATGCAGCACGAATCAATCCAGATATATTCGTAGCCATCAGCAGCAGCTTGGCTACACGCGCCTAGAATTTTGGATAGCGATGCGTGGGCTGCAGCCGTCTTGGCTGAGGCATAAGTCGTCTTATCGTTTTCAATATCGTTGAAAGTTATTTCATCGTCTTCCCAGGTATGCGATAGTATGGCGTATCTGAATAACTCATTCGCTCTCTTTTCTACGAGCTTTAGAATCCCGCTCTCTTTAGCGGTACGAGCTTCTAAGAGGCGCATTTTCTTCCTTCGTCGGTACTATGTGAAGGTTTGAGTGTGGTTACAGGGCGGGTTAGATAGGGGTACATAAGTCCTAGAACCAGAGTTTATTGATATTACGACTCTATCGAATCATAATATCTCGTGTCAGTCTTACGCCTCCAATTTGCTGGGTATCGTGTAGGCTGTGTTTCAATTTTACTGACCGATGTTCAGCTCGTCTACCGATTAAGGGGACACTTGGAGATTAGAAAGTAACCAATAAGCCATAAATAGAAGGATTTGTGTCACGCATACATCGGTAGACTACCACACGTTGTATAATATGGGTTACACACTTGACTTCGAGCGCGGCGCAGTGTCTTGGCGAGAATGTGCATATAACCAGAACTTTATCCACGCGATCAAAAAAGGAGAAGCAATAATTCTATAACTAAGCCCATATACCAACTTATATTTAATATTATCTTCTCGCGTACGATATAGCCCTGTTTGAGAAGATACTAATGAGTGAAGCTCCGTAGTATCGCAAAATCAATCTTTTGTTTTTAAAGGAGCTAGATATCTAGTCCTAATATAGAGACTAGAAATGGCCGAAAACTCACAAGTCGAGGGTGTTATTGACACGCATATTCAAGTTCCCCCTCCCGTAAGGGCAGCGCCGCAGCCAGACTTATCGAAAAATACGAACGAGAAAGACACTCTACAAATCAACACTCAGCCGCCGATCCCTGACATAATCGTTGAAGAGTAGGTAACTAGGAATTTTCCAGCATTGGAACGTCATCATCACATGGTATTTATACTAATATTCATATAGGCCCTCAAAGCCGCCAAACATGGCAGTAAGGGATAATAAACCGCCTCAAATCATCAAAGAACGTGACCCTCCAATGGTAACGCCTCTAGAAAGGCTCGATAGGCAACCTCGGTGGATCGACTGTCCTGCTTGTAAGCAGCGGACTAAGACACAAGTCATTGAGGAGGGAAGTGGAATGCAACTGTATGTGACAGTCTCATCTTACGAACTCTTTCTTGATATTGTGCTAAAATTTATGCCTGTAGTGTAGTAGGGGCCTTGCTTTGTTGCGTCTGCCTGTGTCTCGCTTGTCTGCCATGCATAGGCGGGTGGTTTGAGAATACTCGTATTGTCTGCTCGGCCTGCAAGGCTAATGTGGCTAATATCCCCCATGATGGTATTGTACAAATTGTGCCGATGTACAGGACGACGCAACAGCCGTCTGCTTATTATCAACCTCGTCCTGGTACAAATTAGTGCGGAGGGAAAATCTCAGCAACTGTATTAAACGATAGTAACTGTATGGACCAAATCAGAAAGCTCCGGGTTTTCCAGGTCTATGGTTTCCCCACGGAATGGGTCGTCCACTATTCCATTCTTGACCTTGTCCTTCGTCACTGGTGCTATAACTCTTTTAGCTATGTATCGTTTAAAAGAATTCCTTTCATCTGCAGTAAACTTCCCTATTCTAATAAATAAATCCTGTTTTTTAGGGCAGTGGAACCTCCTAAGGACCAGTCCTTGAAGACCAGATGGAGATGTTAAATAATAATGATCATAAGTTATGCACATGAATAAAAGTTCCTGTTTTCGTTCTTCATGAAGTCTTAACCATTCATCTGGGTCAGTGGCCATGACGGAGACATCCTCATCCCAGATAATTTCGACTTCGATATGTGCCGGCATTATATACCTCCCCGTTATTATCTGATTGGTAAGTCGAAGCTCGTATCGTTCACCCAGAGTAAAGTTTGTTGACCCCAACGCTGACGCATAAGCCAACACGGCGATCCCTTTCAGTATCAGTTCTGATGATGTAAAACTATGCAACTTCATAGGATCATCTGAAACGACATTAATTCCTATGATCTCTGCCAACTGAGTGAGAGGAGATTTGGACGTATAACTTGGATCTGTGGAAATCTGCGCGTATATATTGGCCCATGACCATGTTGGGGCAACATAGGTTGTTGTTCTAAATCGGTTTGGCTTTCCTTTAAGTCCCACATGAGAGTGCCAACCAAGTTGACTAATAAGATCTGTTTTCCACATGCCAGCGAGGTATTCGTCTTGTACAATGTTTCGCATTTCCCCAGCCAACCCTGCAATCGCGATCAATCTATCGGATTGTTGAGTAAGATTACAGCCCGAGTAGGAGAGTACCAATCCCTCCCAGGCACTCCGAAACTCGTCGGGATTTCGAATTTTCACGATTGGCCATTCGGGCACACTAAGTTGAGTCTCTTCCAAGAAATCGTCTGTGACGCCCGCGGGGTATTGCTCAGAAGCAATAAGCTCCGGACACCGCCAACAAACTTGATGCAGGAAGCTTAGCTGCCTCTTCGATAGGTATCGCTCTTGAATAACCCATGCACGTGTAGTCAGTGGGACCTGTGCCATCAAACGGTATTGGGGGTAGGAGCATGCAAAAGCGTATTCGGTAGTTTGACCATTATCAGAAGTCAACTTCAGCGAAGTATAGTCCATTATTGATAGGTCCCTGTTAGTGAAACAGCCGTAAGTGCTGTCAGCAGCCCATGTCGCGGCAATGTTACAATGAGCTTTGCTATATATCAACCCCATCATAGAGGATTGAATTTTCCAATCATCTTCATCATCCTGGATGATACACAGAGAGTCGATCCAAATAAATTGGAAACCTAGTGACATAGTAATTTGAAAGGCGTCCCGATATGTCTTAGGCAAACGCGAATCAACCGAGAATTCCAAGAACCCTGAATAATCGCGCTTGGTCAAGCATAGGTGATTAGAAGATCCCCAACAGTGGCTTAATGTCAAATATGGCACGGTGCCAACATGGTCGTAACAAACAAGTCGCCACTTGCAAGCACTTCCGTCATTGTCGCGACGTACTTCTATGAGTCTATCAGGCGTGAATGCCGCATCGTCTTCTCCTCGTGTACGGCATTTGGTGTGGGATTCCAAACAAGTACGATACCAGTGTTGCCATAGTTCGACCGCCTCAGCTGTCGAGCGACGTCCGATTTTATGTGGAGGTTTCACTGAGATGACTTCATTGAAGCGAACTGTGAGTAAATACTCCATATCTTCTTTCAGTTCAATGAATAGTCTATTATATTGACGAAGTTCGCTGATATCGAATGTTATCCATGGCGACTCGATGCCATGTTTTTGAACTCCACTTTGGACGCGGAATTCTTCGTAGGTCTTGGGCATATCGCCAGCAAGTGCGCTTCGAAAGTAACCTTCAAATTCAACCCCAATTCTATATCTTAGAATCGACGTCCATAGCTTCCGACAGATGAGGCATCCCGCCAGAATTGATGTATAGAGACTCTGGGGTGTAGAATGCAGAATATTTGAATTTAACTCTGGCCACGGCTTGTCAACTATTGTGCTAAGTACTTTGTACGTGGTTTGATACGACCTCCGACAAGTTTCGCAAAGCATTTTGAAATAAAAGGTTGCTTTGTAAATTTATCCAAGTACATTGAGTAGCTTGTATTAAAGTGGCAAAAAAGCTTCGTGGTAACTCTGCAATATGTGTAAATCGAAGGGGCCTGTTGTTTTTTTGCAAGAAACGGAGGAGAAGAGGGGAAGAGTTATTGGCGAATAGCAAATAGTGTACTATGTAAGCGAAACAGCTTATGTGGGCTGAATCCTGTTGCATTCGGCACTGGAATTATTAAAGCCGTAGCTTTGCCCGAATGATAGGGCAGATGTGCCATTCAGCCCCTTTTCTGCGACACAAGAATACGAAACTGATGGTCCAAGACTGGCCATAAGGTATATTCTAAGTAGAGGCTTATATTATAGGAGATTATTTAGTTATTTCGAAGATAGGAGAACTCTCGATAACTGGAAGTAGTGGGTAGCCCCTTTTATATATGTCATTACATAGACATGTAAACCATTCATTCTACTACTTTATAGTTATAGATATTATCTACCTCTACATCAAAGAGAAAAGGGTTGCCCTCCAATAAATTCCCACGGCATAGCCCTAAATAGCGAAATTAACTTGACTAAGCTCCGCCGTCGTGCCCCGAATAGCCTCCCGATCCTCCTCATCAAGCTCAATACCAAAATACTTCTTTATAGCACCCAGCCTCTGCTCCTCCGTCTCAAACCTCGCTATCAGCACCGTCTGCCCCTCGCGGCGCCACTTCAGCGTATCCTGGAACAATATTAACGCGCCGTCAATCCTCCCCACAGCCACCGCCCTATCACTCATAAACGCAGACTCGTGCGCCTCACCCTCCGCATCGGTAGTAAACCGCGACAGCACGACTTTCTGCGTAAACCACGAGCTGGGGCTCTTCCAGGGGCTTAGGTTCATCCCGCGGATGTCTTCGAGCAGGAACTCGATGTCCACGAAGCAGTACATGGGCACCCACTCAGCATCGCTGCTGATCTGGTGCTGGTAGATCCACACCTTTTGGCCCCGGTCGACGTGCTGCGGTATCGCCTCGTGGACAAATCGCATAAGCGCCTCCGTGCCCTCGATATGCGTCCGCGGTTCGTTGGGGCGTAGACGGGCCGGGGCAGTGGGGCCGTTGGCGCCGAAGCCGACGTCCACCATGTACCGGTCTTGGCCGATGATAACGATGTTCACACAGTGCGAGAACCCACCATATTTGCCGGCTTCTTTGCTATAGACCCGGGAACCCGCCATGTAGACTTGGAATCCAAGACTTAGGAGCACGGCGTGGAACAAAGAGTTAGCCTCCATGCAGTACCCGCCGCGGCGACTGGGTGGCGGCACGATTTTATTAAATAAATGCTGAGGCCGAACATTGACGGTCTTATGCCACGAATAATGCTGCGTTAAGTTCTCGAACGGGATCCGCACTATGTTATGTTTATTTAGGAGAGCCAAGTAGCTCAGCTTAGCATCGTCTGAGAATGCTGCTACCGAGTATAAGCGGTTTTGCTCAGGTAGCGCAATTCGGTTGAAATATTGCTCGAGCTGGTCATGACTGTATCTTGGACGGTCTCCCATATTGTGATTTCGGGACGAAGAGGAGTGGTGATGTTGAGGTTCACTTAGCGTAGCGGATTTATGTAGAGTCTCTTTATGTAATAGAATTATAATTATATACTCGATTTTAACTCCCTCGCTCGTATAAGTTGCACGTGACCCTACTGCTTGCAGACATACGTATATAGATACCTGAATAAAGCACTAGGTTGCATTATCTTTTCTTATATTGCTTGCTGATCATATAAGTTTCGCTCTCTCGCTATCAACCATGACCGAATAGTCTCGGTTACATTTGTAACTCTTGCCGGCTGAATGGTTCTGATCCCATTTATAACTCGCGCTGTCGTCATCAGCCTAGACCGAATCATCTTGGCAACTATAACACGGTTCAACCTTTGGCTCATCTCGTATAGAATCCCAGATAATGATATGTATCTGTCATGTACTCCAAACTCCAAACTATGCAGGTTTAGCTATAATCGAATAAAAAAAAGATCAATGGTTAATATTCATCATTAGCCGTGGCCGCCTTCGACAACTTCCCTCTTATTCCTACACACTGGGCAGCCGCCCTCGATACGATCTCTTAATAACCGCGCATGCGTAACTTTACTACCCACAAACCGACCTCCTCTCGTTCGATCCTCGCTGCCGTTCGCAATTACGCTAGGATCTACGTCCTGACCTGGGTGTAAGTACTCCAGGAGATGTGTCATATGATATATATGGCCGCACGCAAATCCTACGAGTGTCTCTACCTCCCACTCCGTAAACGGCTCGAGACATCTGGCGCAATGACCTGGCTTCAACTCCCGGTGATCGTGTCCCTGCTGCTCTTGCTGCTTTTTGCCCGTAGGATTGTTGTCCGTCAGCGTGTTAGTATCCGCCGTCTCACTGGGTGTTCCAGTCCTAGTCCCACCTGCACGCGGCGTCGCAGTCGGGGATGATTGTTTTCCTGTTGCTGGTGGGAGAGATACGTCTTTGACTTCAACATCGACATGATCTTCCGCATGAACCAGCACTTCAAATTTGATGCCCTTTCTTTGTCCGCTACGGAGTTGATTCTGAGCGGCGGCTACTTCAGATCTAAGGACACGCGCCACACCAGACGAAATACTGTATTGGATTTCGTGTTCTTTCATGATATGCTTCAAGCCTTCCCGAAGACCGGGGATCTCAAGTCCCTCGGGAATGCGTCGGACTAGGGTAATCGGATCAATAGCCGTACCGACCTCCTCGAGTAATGCACGGATGAAGCGTGGCTTATCCATACTGTAGTCGAGGAGATCCTCCCAGAGGTCCGGGTCGTCTTGTTCTTTTGCAAAACTAATAGCCTGGGATACATCGCCCAAACGATCAATAATGAGATATAGTGCCCGTTTCATCTCTCCGGTCTTGGAGTATAGGTAGACGAGTTCAGGTATAAAATTAGCCTGTTCACACTCCTCGACCGCCTTCTCAAACTTGTACGAAGTAGATATCTTTAAGAAATCCATTAAAAGCTCACGGTCGAATGCCACAAAAATATGAACAGCTAAATCGGCAAAATTATCCACCAGAGACACGCTTTCGTCCACGGGCCGCTCGCGGTATTCTTGCCATAGACCGCGGAAGTAGAAATAGAGGTAAAGATTTAAATCTTTCTGCTCTAGTTGCTCGACCACAACTTCTGGTTTGATGAGGCCTCGGGCTGCCTCATCAACAAGTAGCGCGATAGCTTCTGATGTAGCGTCTTCGAGTTCCGAGATACTCATTCGACTTAATTCTGCTTCTGGTACTCTAAGAGCGATGAAGCTGGGGACGTCGTCGATGACGGCTTCCGCGAGATGGTTATCTCTTATTAGACGCATGGCAGAATCCGCGTCTTGAAGTTTGATATATCTCTTTAGAGCTTCTCGGTATCGCCCGTTTACCTCGTAAAGCCTGGCTAAGCTTTCCGTCACAATTCGCCAGTCACGTCCTTTCTCTCCATCTTCGATGCTGTCTTCTCTCACGTCACGGAAATTGAGCTGGTTTTCTAGAGCAATAGTGACCTCGCTAACATCGAAGAGCTCGGTCCCCCACCGGTCGAGTAATTCCTTAAACCGCGCTTTGTCAGTTTGAATGTAATGGCCCAACATAACCTCGTATACTGTCCCCGGAATGGGTGGACGCATTGGTTCCGAGGGTACATAATCGACGATCTCGTCGAACTTATTTGCACCGGCAAAAATATATATCCAATTCTCCCACTGGTGAGGAGTATTGAATACCCTTGCTGCAACTCGAGCAGCACCGGCCCAATCCCTATTTTCCACCAACTCCTGAATCCAAAGCTCGCCAATTCGGCGTTTCTCTTTTTCCGCCGACGTGTTCATAAGTCTAATGTGATCGTCTATCTGAGACGAAGTTTCTTCGTAAAAGTCGTCTGTAGTCGATGGTCTTCGTTCGGGACTCGATGGGACAAACTCCGGAAGTCTTTCCGTCGAGGCATTCATAATTTCTGGGTGGTCATTTAATAACTCCCACGAATCTTGATACCTTTTGTGTTCGACCAACCACTCTAGGTGATCACCAAGGTCTCTCTTCGTTGCAAGAACGCAGTCATACGGACTGTGGATGAATATTTTGGCCCCGGGTTTGATGAGGTTAGGATGTACCGTCCGTGATGTTGGTTTCAGACTGGCTCGAACACTTCCCCCGGTATTGGTGGCCCTGAAACTCGACGCGGCATCGTTGCTTTCTTTACTTCGAATGCTTGCACCAGAACTAAATAGAGACTTCGGATTGATAGCAGCATTCCACATATCAGTGCCAAAACCAGCCAAGGCCTCCAGGGCTCCTCGAGAAGCCACGACAGAAGCGGCTCTGCTCGCAGGCAATACCCCCAAATGATAATCATTGGAAGAAAGCCGTTCATAACGACCAATAGGGACGGTATCCTTGTAAATTTCGACTTGAGATGTGAGATCGATTAATCTTAACTCGGGAGGTTGGGCATTGTGGCGGCGTCTTATCCCACCAGATGGTTCACCTTTATTTGTTGATTTACCAGGTTCTTCTTCCTCACCCTCCGGTTTACAGTATGCAAGGACTAAAAGTAAAGATTGGGTATATAAGGAAATGCCGGATATAATGCAGTCCATGCGAAGTCTAGGGATGTTAGTAAAAATTGCGGAAACTCGAATAAGCATACGTACTTCTTCACAATCTCAGCCCTTCCAATAGACCTTTCCCCCGCATCCTTTCCTACACCAACGCCGCCCGGATGGACATGGATGATCCATATTATACCTCCCCATCCAACTAATAGCCGTTCGATGCTCTTATCATGTCTTAGCGCCTGCTGGCTTAACTTGACGGCAGCGGGAGATAAAGCGCCTGATGCATCGCTCGTCTTCTCTGCGTCGTCGCTTGTGATGGCCTGGTCGTCAATCCATTCCGCCCTGCCCTTCCATACGCCAGCCATTTCTTCCCATTCGTCCGTCTGCGGCCTATCGACATGTCCTACTCGCTTCCAGGCATCTTCTATGTCTGCGCTATCTAGGTGCAGCTTCGTTCGCATAATCTTGATGCCGTGCTCGTTTAACCAGGCAACGTACTTTCCTGATAAGGACCATTTAATTGTGCTGATGGTCCCCTCTCCTGAATGAAGCACCGAGTCCTTTCCAGTATTTGCACCTATCCCAATACTACCGAGCCAGCCAGATGCGGTAGCGGCAGCGCTTCCCGTAGTCGATGACGTACTTCGCCCTTGAGGCGCTCCGACTGTGAGAACCAGGTTGCCAGAAAGACCACCGGAGAGGTATGTCCTGTCATTTCTAAAATCCGGCGACAAGGCTACGGCTTGAACTGGTCGCGCAAAATTCCTTAGCTGCACATCTCGAAGCTCGATAAGGGGTTGGACACGGACGTTTCCATCCATAGAAGAGGTCGCGATGAAGATATTGTTCGAGGGGATGTTGGGAACTTGTGGCAACTCGCGCGATCTCCGCTGGCTACCTGGTGGCGAGTTTGAATGCTTAGAGGAGGGTCGGTTAATGGTTTGCGACACGACCCTATTAACGCCCTCAGGCTTAAGGACTGCGGGAATAGAGGGAGGCGGGTATGGGGATATCGAAATGCTCGTAACGGAGGCGGTATGGGCTTGGTAGACAAGTAAAGACTGGAAGTCTGGCAGTTGGATAACATGCTGTTTATGTGCTTTAGCATCAACCGATTCGTAGAAAGACCACTGCTATAATATTTGCTTACGATATTTCCATTGTGCGTTCCGACTATCATCTTGTCTCCTGCGACAAGAAATGTACTAGTAGCGTCGCCATTCTTATAGACGGCGCCCATATGCTCTGTCAAGCAGACGGATTTTAATCTCGGTTCCTCGTCCTCGTCCTCGTCCTCTTCTTCATCTTCATCCTCATCCTCATCTTCATCATCATCATCGTCGTCGACGTCGTCCTCTTCTTCTTCCTCTTCCTCTTCATCATCTTCATTGGAGTCAGCTTCGGCGTTAGCTTCGCCGGTAACCTTTGTATCCTTTGTATCTACTGTTGCGTCTCCACTCTCTTCTGAATGATGCGACTCTGGGTAGTGGGGTGCCTTTTCATGTTCCCGCTCGTCAAGGCTATTCTCCAGTATAGCGCCGTCGTGATTGTCGATGTTGTTGGCATCGTTGGTGTCGTTGTCGCCCAAGCTGGGCTGTGCTTCTGTCATGACAGGCGATCAATCCAAGACGTTAACATCAGGGGCTAAGTGGGCAAACTGATGATGAGACAAACTAAGACAGGTTATAAATACAACTACAGGTTTTGGAGCTTGAAGGTTACGCGTGAGCCTATCCAAAGCTGTAGATTTGCGATCTCTTGACCGTAATTACCTGGGTATGGGCTTGACGTGGGTATAAGTAGAGCTTTGGAGGGAAGCTAGAGTCGACGATAACCGATAAGTAGATTGGTTTATGTAGGTATACTTTGTAGCTAGGTACCTTACGTAGCAAGCAGTCATTGGGGAATAAGTATTAGGTAAGACGAAGCTAGAAAAGCTACGTCAGTTGGGGCAAGCTCACAGGCTCAACACTGAAGCTTCAAGATCAAATTGCGGAAATGCAACCTTCCTGCCTTCGCGTCGGTACCCGCAATATGTACCTAGGTAGATACCTAAAAAGATCCGCTAAAACTTCCTAGCCAATCACTATTGCTCCCTCAACCCCTCCAAAAATCCAGCCCCAAATCTCCGATTACACTGTCTGCAAGCACCTAGCCTCGTCGCGTGTACTTCCCTTTCGGTAGCGCGCTTCTCGAGCTCTTATGAATTAAATCCATTAAATCCCAAAGAAAGAAGCACCTCATAAAACTCATACAACTTATAAAAATTTAGTCGACAGGGAATAGGTTCGAATTATCCAATCACCCCCCCTACTTGGCTTCTCAATAAAAAAGACCAAGACACTTTAATTTGTCTTCAATGGATTTAACACACTTAATATGGCTTCGGTGACATCGCTCGGGCTGCACGAGCCTACAGCACTTCAGTATGCCATACAAGAGCAACTCTTGCCGGAAAATCCACCTCCTTCCTCTTACGACTGGAGCATTACTGTTAACCATAACGGCAACGATGAAGGAGAGGATGAGCTTTTAGTTACCAAGGATACCGTCGTATGGTCGAGAGGTTGCATTTTTCGCAAGTGTTTTGGTTTCAAGTTAGAGAATGAGCCTATCATTCAGGCTCTCTTAACATATTTTCCAAATTCAGAACTCACAGAAGACACTCAAGATGAGAAGCCAGGGGAGAAGCGGGTTCGTTTTCAGTCCGACACCAACACCAATAAAAATGAAAGGGCATTGTCCAAAGCTTTGGTCGTCTTCCTTAAGACCCAAGCTCACGTCTATTTCCTCGATGGTACTAGTCACGTAGTACATATGCCTTTTGAAGTCGAATCCGCCTGCGCAGCTCCTCAAGGCGTTATAATCCAACGGAGACAACGGACTGATATTAACCTGGCTGCGAGTCTTAAATTTCCTCGGGTACCACATAATTCCTTTATCTCAAATCAACTCTCCCCGGCGTCTATAAGGTCCTCACAGCTGAGTACCTTCACCACCGAGACTCTTGGCAAGCCCAAGGCACTTCCTCTCAGGTTGAACGCCAATCTTGACAACCTATGGGACATCCCAGAAGCCAGAAACGATTCCCAGTGGCCACGCCTAGTTGCTCTCACGGACCCCATGCTAGAACTTGGGTTAGTTGTCACGCAGACAGATAAATCTGTTAAGCCCAAGAACCGTCCAGGCTCTGAAAAGTCACCCAATTTCCTTGATAGGGCAGAGGAGATAGTTCACATTGAAGAGATATCACATCACCAAACCTATAAGAAAGGCAAAGGGAAACTGGTCCTTGCAGTGACCGTCAATAAAGAAACTTGCATGTACACTGTTTGGAAGCTCACTTATATCTCCAATGAAGATCCCTTCATTAATGGGCGGAAACCCACAAAAGCGAAGGCGGATAGGCGCCGCAGCTCGATGCAGCCAGGCTTACCTAGCGGCGCCACGACGCCGCTGCACCCAACATTTAGAGAGAGTTTTGGTGCCCCCTTACCTGGAAAGCGGTCGCGTAAGAGCGAGAGAATCGAAAAAAATGACAAGAATCTACAGAATCTCGAATCATCGCTAGGTATAGAAAAGGAATCCGGCGTGACCCGTCGCACTTCTCGTCGTGTGAGCTCTATGCTTGCCAGAGCCGATCTCTCTGCTTCGCAGGATAGAACAGCATTTTCCGAGCAGGCCCAGGCCTCTAACCATCCCAATACGAGAAGGGATACTTCGCATGGTAGTCATCGAGGTCGAGCAAGCGGCGTATTTTCTGGCCCGAGTTTCACCGGGACTGCTAACCACGGGGTGAATACCCTCCTGGAAGCACCAGTCGATTGTTTACTAGAGGAGCTACGCGCAGGTGGAGATTTCGAGGGCTTCCATAGCATGGGTATAGATGATCATGAATTTGATGGTCTTACTCAGGAGATCTTGTTTACAAAGATACACAGCATTCCCATCGATAATAGCAATGTCCGGTACTCGCTCTCCAAACAACCGGCCAGAACACAATGTAAAGTCTTCTGTCTTATCGGTCCGGAATCTACAGATGATGGACATGATCGCCAGCAAGTCTTAGTCGGGATTCAAGACCCGATGGAGAAACGTTTACAACTACTTACACTTCACCTACAATCAAGCAGCTCAAATTCGGTGTCCTCCCCCGGACCCGATAAAACGGTCGTAACTTACGGACAACTCAGGAAAGCGCAAAATGTCATAGACTCGTGCAAACTCGTCGACGGCGAACTTTCAATGATCCTCGTATTATCACAATCTACTGAGGGTCAACGTGAGCTTAGTATTCAAGCACCATGGACGCAGATGACATCTGTGAACCTCCCGTCGAAGCTATCACTTGCAAATTTACGCAGTCTTGATTACCACGGCAGTCTTGTCAACCGGGAGATCGGCATTAGTAGAGCTGTAACTCCCGCGATCGGAGAGATTGCTGGTCTACGGCACCCCAAACTGCGTGGTGTTGTAGACATTCTGGATGAAGATACCCAACAGTATCACCAGATACGTATTCAACTCCAACCCACATCTCCGCGAGTTTCGAAAGTCTTGAAAGCCCTACGAACAGCTCTTCCAACCTCTTCCAGTGAACGATTAGTTTCTAACTGGTGGGAGATTATTGCATGGCTTCGGCAACAAGACGCCGAGGTTACCGATGTTGAATGGTCGGCTGTTGTTATTCAAATATTTTCTATATTTCTTGCGCTTGATTTCGACGAGGCTACGTTGCCAGCTGATAATACACCTCGGAGAAGATCCAGAGGCTACTTAAGGTCAAGTAGCGGAGCACAGATCGATCTCGGCGACTGGGACGCGATGAACGGTTACGAAACACCCGGATCGTTGACACATCCGTTCTGGATCGAGAACAAAGCATGGCAGTGGATGATGGAAGAAGACAATTCTTCCCCGCCGATATTTCGGCCTAGCTCTGAGCGAGATAGCACGGATTTTCTCTCCGCGCATATAAAGTACGCTTTGGCGTATTTGTCCTCCAGCAACGGAGACGCTGCTTGCGGTCCAGACGGATATCTTCCAACTTCCGCTAGTCATGACTACTTAAGTAGGACACGGTATGCTCAAGACATATTTCTTGCGTTGCATCTTTTACTGGAGGAACAGAAGCTTGATATTGCGTCTCGCCACTTATTATCACCGGGCTCGATTAACCTACGATCTGTATTACTCCAAGTTGCTCGTTGCTTGAAGTGGTTTGAATGGATAAATGCTTATGAACTCGAAATGCCCCTGGACTGGCCCGAACAACAGCCAGGGTCTATGAATATTTCTGTGTCACTTAAACCCCCAGAGCCAGCCTACTGGAACGTTTTTGACTGGATCCGAACCAATCTATCACCACAACCAAACCCGTCAGCGTTCGTGCCACCGATCAGATCGACCATGGTTTACTCGATAATCCCTCGTACGAAAATATTTGAAGATCTCTTTAAAACCCTCTCTCTTCGAAGGAGATCACCAGCGGATTTCGTCGAAGCTATGCACCAAAGCGGTATCACACCAACGATTTTGGAGTCATTACCAGAACACGTCCTTGTCCCCCTCCAAGATGCAATCGCTCAATGCCAACCGGCTCCTCCGTCAAAGTGGTCTAAGGGAATGCTGGATTTAGTCAACAGAAGCGACGTCGGCTCGGTGCTAACGCAGTCGAATAATCTTCACATCCATTCAACTAGCGTCCTTGTGAGTCTTTCTAATCAGTTGCCACGATTTACCATATTGACGTTATTTAGGCACCAACTCATGTTGCTTCGTGGGATTTTAATTCTCTCTGCCAGAATGTCATGGATTTTAGTGACGCCCCATCAGATGATATCGCAGAGAGCGACAAACAGGCGGTGATTCGTGCCATCTTCAAGGATGACCGACGTCTTGACGAAACTAAATCGATGCTAAATACGACAAAGCCGCGAATCATGCGTCTAGATCCGCTACCCGAATGGACGGAAGCTTACTATCTTGAGCAGCAAAAGGATATGGTAACGAGGCTCGCCAACAATACGTTATCCATACCAGCTGGCCGTGGTCTGATGAATTATGGACTTAGGTTCCCTCTCCTAACTCAAAAGTTCCACATCAATGGCTTTGTTCTGAATTGCACCGTTCAGCCAAATAATGTGACGGTAGGTGTCGATAAGTCGCTCTTTACAGAAGAGAGAATTGCGTGGGCTTTCTTCCATTCTGGTGTTGCTGGCGGGCTATCCATCTCTCGTCAGGCAAAGGGGATAGACACTTCATGGATTCTGTACAACAAGCCTGGCAATGATCTAAGTAACAGGCACGCTGGGTTTCTTTTAGCATTGGGCCTTAATGGGCATCTTAAAGGTGTGGCTAAATGGGTTGCTTTCAAATATCTGACACCGAAGCATACCATGACATCTATAGGCTTACTCTTGGGTTTGGCCGCATCTTACATCGGAACCATGGACTCCCTCATCACCCGTCTGTTGTCCGTCCACGTTACGAGGATGCTCCCACGGGGGGCTGCCGAGTTGAATCTATCTCCTCTAACGCAAACAACGGGCATCATGGGGATCGGTTTGCTTTATTGCAATAGCCAACATCGGCGCATGAGCGAAATCATGATGTCCGAAATTGAACACATCGAATCGGAAGAGGACGAAGAACCGTTGCGTACTGAATGCTACAGGCTAGCTGCAGGTTTCGCCCTCGGTTTCATCAACTTAGGAAAAGGGACGGACTTAAAAGGTCTCCATGACATGCGCATCACCGAAAAATTGCTAACTCTAGCTTCAGCTACGAAGAAGGCTGAGCATGTACATATTTTGGATAGGTCCACCGCCGCTGCCGTCGTAGCCATCGCGCTCATCTATATGAAGTCAGAAGACCATATAGTAGCCAGGAAGATTGACGTCCCTGACGCATCTTTACAGTTCGACTATATCCGCCCCGACATTCTATTACTGCGTACTGTTGCCAAACACCTTATCCTGTGGTCGGAGATCGAGCCGACACAGGACTGGGTCCGTAAGAATATTCCACGGCAATACCATTCCAGATTACAGCCACCCCAATACCCTTCAGATCATCCGTCCCGTGGACCGCTTAACTCGACACACTTACCATTCCTCACAATATTAGCTGGCCTTTGCTTCTCTATAGCGCTTCGGTTTGCTGGATCGGGAAATATAAAAGTCCGCGACCTTCTACTCTCCTATATTCGCAGATACTATAGCCAGTGCCGTCATCCCAACCCGAAAGCCAGCTTCGACGAAAGGACTGTGCACGTAACGGCATGCATGTGCCTCGACATAGTTGGGCTCTCATGTGCAACTGTTATGGCCGGCACATGCGATTTAGAAGTCCTTCGCTACTTACGCTCGCTCCATGGCCGTAACGACCCAGATACAACCTATGGTTCACACATGGCGACACATATGGCTATGGGTGCGCTATCGCTCGGCTGTGGCACACAGACTTTTAACACGTCAAACTTGGCCATCGCCTCACTGCTTGTTGCATTCTATCCCGTCTTTCCGGATTCAGTACAAGATAATAAGAGCCACCTACAAGCGTTCCGGCATCTCTGGGTGTTGGCTACCGATCCTAGGTGCCTCGTCACAAAGGACGTTGCCACGAACGCGCCCGTCGGTGTTCCCATTGCCATCCGTCTAGAGAACTCGACGGAGGAAGAAGTGCGTATGACGCCGTGCTTGTTACCTCCGCTCAGCGATGTGCAGAGAGTCCGGACCATATCACCCGACTTCTGGAACCTCGAGCTGAACTTCGAGGCGCATCCAGAATATGCCGAAGCATTCAAGCGTTCACAAGCGTTATACCTGCGCAGGCGGCCCGTTAGTGACAGTCCGTTTGCAACGACTATGCTCGCGCTGGGCCGCCAAGGAGGGCTTGGCGGCCCTCTATCTACGGACGCGGCATCTCAACCTCTCGAGTGGTTATTCGACACAGTGCCGGGATTACGAAAACTCACGCACGCGGAACGCGATATCGTACTCGACCGTGGCGTGGGTGGCCCCGACGTGAGCAATAGTTCGGCCACCGCAGTTGACGCCCGGCTAGTTCTAGAGGACGTGATCTCTAGCGGGAACAGAGATGACTTACTCGGCTTGAAAGGGCTGTTTGAGTGGTTCGAATGGAGAGCTAGGAAAACACAAGCCGAAGAGAGGGCGAAGGAAGACAGTGCGAAGGATAATAGTAATGAGAAGAAAGAACTTAGTTGGAGCGGAGAGGGATGGTTAAGAGAGAGTATCGCAGAGGGTTTAAAGGGGGGAGTGTGGCTTGCAGGTAGGAGTTGAAGAGATGGGTATGACTTATGAGTGAAGATTACTATAAAAAAGACTCGGACCTACGCCTCATCTTGACGATGTTTATACGTAGGTGAAGAGCAACGCTATAACGATATTGCTGCCTAGCTGATTACCTAGATATTTATATGAAAAATATAAATGAGAACTAATTCTCTTGGGATCAAAAAGGGTTACTAAAGAAGTAGACAATAGTTGATTTAGCGTTGAGGCCATTGGGTTGTATAATTGACCACTTATAAGTCACGGCCAGCACGGCTGGGAATAGCTACAGCCAGTGAAGCTAGCACATGCAACCAACCAACCAACGCTGAACGCCAACTGGCACATGGCCGAGGGGACCCACTCATGTGATTTTGGCGGGTGACATCACCACGCTGCCCACCTAAACATTTTCAGGGTTTTTAGCTTTCTTAGCTTTTTTTAGCTTTTTAAGCTTTCTTAAAGCTTCCAAATCAAAACCTTGTATTTCCCAAGTGTCCAGCTATGGTTGTGGGATTCTCTCTTTAACATCACTCGCCCGGCACTTAATCCGAGTTTATTAGACGCACGTAGCACAGTTTGCTCCTCGTTTCCGTTTCCGATTCCAATTCCAATTCCGATCCCAACTCTCTAAAGTTCCCACCTGTCCTCCGTTCAAGATTAGACCCTCCCCCGTACTCGATGTCCTGGAGTTATGATCGATTATCGAGATAGACAGATTGCGTACATATAGGATGCTTCCTTACATTAATATACGTATGACTACCCAGGTATTGTTTGCTCTTGGAAGACCAATTGCGCTGACTCTGCGTAGCGTTCGAGTGGTTGTCTGGAGTGGTGGGGGCTTCTCCTGATGAGCGTAGGTTATTCCCGACTCCATGTCTGTCTGCTATTCACAGGTTGCTAAGATTGCTGGATATACAGTCAAGCTCATATTCTCCCTCCTCGCTTCTTACCCGCTTGCTGGCCTCTTGAAGCGAGTGCCAGATGCTCGCCCCGAATACAAGAATCTGTTTAACATAGGGTACGAACACTTCCCCGATCGTGCGCTATCTCGTAACAGAGTCGTCAAGAGATCAGTTGCTTATTAATGAATAGCGGAGGGCTGTTTTATCTTCTAGGCCTATTCTCGCTATGGGCCGGCGTTCGAACACTCTTCATCTCGTCCGCCGTCACATATGGCCTCACCTACTACTTACGAACCTCCGCCTACATGCCATGGATAGCCTTCGTGTTCCTTATGAGCCACATGGCTGTGAACCAGCTCAGTCGACAATTTAGCGGTAACCCTTCTGCAGTTGACATTACCGGTGCACAAATGGTACTTGTTATGAAGTTATCTGCTTTCGCTTGGAACGTGGCAGACGGTACCCTACCCGAGGACCAACTCAGCGACTTTCAGAAGAGCAGAAGAATAATCAAGCTTCCCAGCCTACTAGACTATGCGGGATATGTATTGTTTTTCCCGGGACTCTTGACCGGTCCGGCCTTCGATTACAACGAGTACCGCGCCTGGATCGACTGTTCTATGTTTGACGTCCCGGCCACTATCGACCCCGCCAAGAAGCCACCCACTAGGAAGAAGCGCAAGATTCCAAGGAGTGGTACGCCCGCCATGTTGAAATTAGCGAGCGGCCTCGGGTGGATTTGGGTCTTCTTGAACTTGAGCAAGTGGTACGGCCCCGAAGCCCTCCTCATCGACCGTTCTCCTGCGGCAGGTTTCCTACGCCGCGTTTTAATTATGCACATGGTAGGCTTCACCGCCCGGTGTAAGTACTACGGCGTGTGGTCCCTAGCAGAGGGTTCGTGTATCCTAGCCGGCTTGGGTTTCAATGGCGTGGATCCCGTAACGGGTAAAGTCTCATGGAACCGACTACAGAATATCAACCCGTGGGGTGTGGAGTTGGCACAAAACAGCCGTGCCTACCTTGAGAACTGGAATATGAACACTAACAAGTGGCTACGTTACTACATCTACCTCCGCGTAACACCGCGAAATAAAAAACCAGGCTTCCGGGCCAGCATGGCTACTTTTGTGACCAGTGCCTTCTGGCACGGCTTCTACCCGGGCTACTACCTCTCATTTGTCTTTGCTAGCTTCGTTCAAACCGCCGCAAAGAGTATGTCACATTTATATTCTTAACTTAAAATCCCTCTCCTATTCTCTCCCTCTAGAAAATTCAACTGATAAGGCCTTTTAGACTATCGCCGTCACGTACGACCTTTCTTCCTTGACCCAGCCACGCAGAAGCCACTCCCCAGCAAAAGATACTACGACATAGCATCGTGGATAGCAACACAAACAACCTTCTCGTTCGCAGTAGCCCCCTTCATCATCCTACGCCTGGACGATTCCCTTCGCGCCTGGAGCCGCGTGTACTACTACGGAATAATCACCACGGGCGCTAGCTTAGCGTTCTTCGTATCTCCAGCTAAATCTCAACTTCGCCGAATGCTAGAAGAACGCGCGCGCGGACGCGGCACTAGTAGCGGCAAAACGTCCCGCTCCGCAAGTGCGGATAGTTCAACAAGTCCGGTGTTGGGCCTTAGCTCCGACCCGGGTAAGGATATTGATGAGGCGTTCCAGGAGTTACGAGATGAGGTAGAGAGGGTGAAGAAGGATGTTGACGGGAAGGCGAGTCAGAACGGGAATGGCGAGGGGAAGAAGGAATTATGATTTATTCTTATGGTCAACTCCCCGAGAAATTTAATGCCGAGACATAAGGGCGTCAAAATAATTGGCGCACCTCTACTAACAATTATCCTGATAGGTGCGCCACCTTTCTTGACGTCCTGCGAGATCGACCAATTCTCATGTTTAGAGTGGGCTCGACGCTAATGGAGATATCAACCATGGTACTGGTGAGAGTCGAATTCAAGTGGCATGATCAAGGTTGGCGGTCTATAATCCTTGTCTACCTAACTACTGAGGAGTCCGGAAGCAGGCCGGGAAATCCAACGATCAGCTAATGTGAAGTGGAGGGGAAGTATGTCGCACAACGGACGAAAGGATGCGATGAGACGATAGAATGAGACAAGAACATCAGTAGTAATGCCTCCCTCTAGCGAAAGCCTAGCGTTGAGCATGAGAAAGAGGAAGATGTAGATAAACATTTACACATAACTAATGCAATAACTACGAATAATTTACCATCACTTCAGTTATATATACAATATAATATATAAAAATTTACAGAAACTTAATCACAATTTCAAATGCAATAGGTAGTCAAAAGAATGTTCTAGTTCTCAAAAATGATTTTTCAATTCGTAAGATCTCGTCATCGCAGGCGTTATTTCGTACGTCTCCGTCTACAACTACCTAGCTTTAAAAAACTAAAACCAGGCGTGAAAGACATTATTACGCAGATATCCGTAACGGCATCGAATCCGAACTTTTTTTTTTCAGCACCTAGTGAGTTTCCTACTCGAAATGCTCGGGTATTTGTAGATACCCGGCGCGAACGTAACATAACGTAACGTAACCCAACTCATCTGCGAATCTTGCTCCTCCTCCATTTTGCAGACCGCTGTAGCTTTTCCTCCACGTCTCATATCATTCCATATATGACAAACGCCTCGCTGAGCAGGAAGTAAAACCCTTCATTCCCTCATCCCTCGTGCCAACTCCCAAACGCAAAACTACCTCGGTAGCTAGCCAAATGGCCAAGCAACCGCGCCGACAAGAAAGCAACAAATAACGCGCGTACCCGGGGAGGCTGTCTCGTTCTCCAGACACTCCACTCCGTACGTCCCGACTCCAAAGCAAAGAATTTGGTTCGAGGGTATCATGTCCCGTTTGCTCCCGTCTAATTTTTCCACAAAAAGTACAAGTTAAAATATAAAAAAGGGGGGTTTTTCGATCGAAGAGAAATATCGTAAAGAGTTCATCGTAAGGTATAAAAAATTCGTAAAGTTTAAAAGCGTGAAGAAGAAAGTGTGAAGACGGACGAATATGTGGCGGCGGAGAATATAAAAAGATGGTGAGAATGATGATATCGGGTGTTGACCCGAAATCGTCTAAGGTGGGTGAGTGTTTATGTGCAGCCGCATGGCTCGTGAGATCGTGATTACATATTACGTAAAAAGGGATCATAGTTCGTCGTTTCCAGGATAAAATAAAGAAAGATAATCGGGGTTGTAGGTTATGAGTTGAGCGCATAGGAGTCGTCGTTATGATCGGCCCCATTTTTCCCGAACGCCCACCACAACGAGAACGATAACTGCGCCGACAATTATAAGTCCCGCGACGGCCATGAAACGATTTATGTTTCTCCACCATCGCGCACTCTGGTACCGGGCATCGTCGTTAAGAACAACTCGTCCTCGGGGGGGTTCCGCCTGGTCCGAAGCAGGAAACTGAGTCGTACTATAAGCACGCTCTTCCATAGCGAGCGTTGGCTTCGGGGGAAGTGGTAAGAACGCTGCAACCATCCAAGCTATTATCATAAGTCAATAAATGCAAAATCCACCCATTTAAAATCTACTCACCAAAGGGAAATAGAAATCCCATTACGAATAGAGATACTTGGAGATTGCGCTTCCCAAACATGCCGCTGTCGGCAGACCAGGTGATGGAGGGCGTATTCCACATGCTAAAATTACTAGCGCGGGTATCTTGACGAAGATGTGGCGACCATAGGCTTGAGGACTTCTTCTTGGGAGTTCGTTGCATATCCCCGGCTTCAATAACCGGTGCGATCTCCATAGAACCTACCGATTGCTGGCTCCGGGGATCTGATACATCTCTCGGTCGACGACGTGGGTTGTAAATAGGCTGGGCGTACTGGTCATGAGATGGCGATCCACCACCTCCCCAGGGACTCCCCGCGGTATCGCTAGCTTCGGAAGGCGATCTGGAATGCGGCGCGAGCCAACGCCTGTCTGGACTGCTATAGTAGAGCCTAGGATAGTTATTAGTAATTGACAGTATTTCTAGTCTTTTACTTCAATATCTTACCTTGCCCAAGATGGGAAAGAGGAGGCTACTAAACTTCCGGCACGCGAGCTCACGCTGGAGCGGAGACTTCTATCCGAAGCTTGTCTGGAGAAGCCGAGGCGATTTCGGGACGATCTGTGCTGGAGATGCTGGAGATCCGCTAATCCGTCGCCGTGCTCATCGTGGTCTCGAATCGTACGAGGCGAAGAAGTGGGTAGTTCTCTTCCCCTCGAATAAACAGCACCTAGGCGATCTAAGGAATCGCTTTGGGAATGCGACCTCGAATGCGACAATCGGGTTTCCAAGTTATCTAAAACTAGCGATGACGAAATACTGCGCATGTGCCTGCTGTCCCTGCTTCCGAGAAGACTGCTGACCCGATCCGCCATGGAGCCGGCAGAAGCCCCACGAGAGCCGGGATCGCTGCCTTCGTATTCGGACATCACAGTCGAGAGCTGTGAGCTCCATTGATGCGTATCCATCTGTGCTCTTTGTTGCGCCACACTCGAAGATTCTGCATGTGTAGGTTGCGGGATAGACGAGGCGGAAGGCGTGTGATGTAAAAGAACGACGTTCGGGGTTGAGCCAGTGAAAAGGGACCCAGTATCGTGGCTAACTATACTCGAAAGAGACGAGAATGAGTTCGCTCGGCCCCGAAGATTTTCTCCCGATCGCTGCCCGTGGTAACCGATGCTTTCAGATGACGATCGCTTGTGCGGTCTAAGCGGAGGCACGAGGAGGCTTTCTTGCGAATACCTCTCGCGTACTTTGCGTTGGGAGCTGTCGTCGGAACGATGGTAACGGTGTCCGCGGAAAGGGGTACTCGACGATGATAATGAGGAGGCGTCGTAAACGATGTAGTTCTTGCTTGCTGGAGTGTCAGCGATTGCAGGGCCAACGGTCGAGGCAAGAGTCCGGGCCGGGGATGATTGCCCGAGAAGTTTGTAGTTCGCACTACTGGATGAAGACGGTATTTCAATGCTTGCTGTGTCTGGTAGCGGCGGAGAACTACGACCTACAACTTTGTAGTTCGTAGTCTCTTCGATCGTCGATGCGGTCTGTTCGGAATTGAATGATTGCTTCGTCACGAGCGGAGATGAAGGTTCTGGCGACGGGGTGGTCGTTACCGGCAATGGTGGTAAGGGGGAATCCGAAAGTTCTCTCTGTTTGCCCTTGCCTTTGGGATCGGGAGTGGTTGGGACTTTTGGAACTTTACGCAAGCCACCAACCATGCGGTAATTCCAGGGCGAAGGTTCGACCGGTTCTTCCGGTAACGCCGTGATCGTGGAGGGGGAGCCTGATGTATTAGGCGAGATGCTGCGCTCGAGCGCAGAGCTCAATGGAGAGCCGTGACGATCTTCGGTAGATGCGTCAAACGAGCTCTCTTCATGCGAGCTGATAGTGGAAACGTTGGTAGAGACGTTAGAAAGCGGAGGCGATTTTACAGTCGATTCCGACCTGTCTGAATGGCGTGGGTTCGGGTTCGTTGACTTGAGTACGATTGAGAAAGTCTTGTCCGAGTGTACGCTGATGTTAATTTCTCGTCTAGATACGGTTCCTCTCCGTGGCCGCGAAGGTCCGGCATCGTGGCGCGATGGTGATGGCTGCGATTGGGGATTAATACGCCTAATATTGCTTCCATATGAAGGCCTATTAATGACAGGGGTTTGTGGGGCAGTGTGTTCAACACCACCTGAGCCAGAAGCGAGTTTCGACCCTGAAACATCATTACCCATGATCCCAGCTAATGGTGAGATAGGTGTCGAAAATGATGGCGAACGTGATGAATCGGCGCCATGGCCTTGCCTCATACGAATCGTGGCTTTTGGCGTTCTTGGTGTTGCGATAGTTGCCGAATCGGTTGTGCTTTGAACATCATCATCATCTTCTTCTTCTTCTCCAACTTGTTCGTCTGCATGAGACAATCTGCTGCTATCTTCTTCATCGAGAGGCCTAGGCGGCGAGTAAGGGACCATGCGAATTTGTAGCTTGTTATTTTCCGAGTCCGACCTCTCGTGCAACGGCGTCCTCGGCAACTGGGTTGACGAAGACGAAGTCGAAGACATCCTCAACTGCGGGCGTGGCCCGGTGATGCGGGAAATAGTCGCGGGAAATCAAAAATTACCTAAGTCCAGCAGCTATAAAAGTGTTTCGACAAAGGCCATAACGATTTACGTAAACGGTGATGTTATATGCAGATCCGGGAACAGGCGACGTATGTTTCGACGTAGAACTTCGTTTCGAGTAGTGTATACTATGTAAGCGAGTGTAATAGCGAGTGTATTTTCCGAGCGGTACGGAGATCGTGGTCAAAGACAGGCGAGTAGTGTAGGACATTAATAAATAAAATATAACGAAAACCGAGGGACTAAAAAGTAGCCAAGGATGTCAAAGAGAGACGTGAAGTTCGTAGAAATATTATATCGCTATGAAGATAGCGTAACAAAGAATCCAGACAAGGACGTTGTGGACAAGCGTCACATAGACAAGCTTTAGTTTGGATCTTTAGAGAAATAATAATAGAAAGGAGTGGGACGGGTCGTCAAAGAGAGGCCCAAAGGATAATTCCTACACTACATACAGACCACACACACACACGCATCCGCGGGGAAGAAACGAGATCGGGATGACAAAAAGCAGCGAAGCTGTCAGAAGACGGGCAAGAAGAGGTATTATTTCTTGACAGGTGCCCCGGAGTGCCGAGTCGATGATCGATTGGCTAGCGGCTGGAGTCATATATCTAAAGGCGGCTGCATAATACCTAGCAAGCTATGCAATGCAGCCGAAAGGGAGCGTCCAGGGTTCCATCGAGCCAGCGCGGGCATAGAAGCCGAAGGGGGAGTGCTGGAGAAGATCAAGACCAGGGAGAAGCTTCACGGAGCCCTAGTACTAAAACCGGCCTAGGGGAAAAAGCTGACATGGACAAGGAGTCGCACATGTACCGCATCGCTTGGCATCTCACCGCGTACACTATGTTGTGTGTACAATACATCTTGAGATTCTGTCCTTACGATGGAAAATGATAACAAGATGCCACCAGAAAGACAATAGCGATGTACGATACCACTAATGCTGCTAAGGTTACCGGTGCTTCTTTGTAGGATCCATCCGCCTGCAGCATTCTTGTACAGTACGTATGCATGTCTGGATGTAAGTTGAAATGAGGTTTAAAAAAGAATTGTGGACAAAAGCGGTCGAGAAAGCCTACCACAGTTGCAGTCTGAAGGCTACTGCGGAGGCCGGGGACTACAACCCCATCGTCTGCAAAACGTCAACCAGCCATTCGTTACTGAAATCTAACCAGGAAGTTAGCATCGTCTCAGAAGACGCCCGCCATAATACTCTCCATCCAGACGGAATTTTTCTTTTCTCTCATCTTCGACATCTTGGTCGCATCGTGGCCATACCGTCTCGACAGAGACACTTGTTACCATACCAACATAGGTACGAAACAAGCTAAGGTGAATAAATTTAAGCAAGGGCAAAAGATCGGTGAAGAGATTGTGTAAATTAGACGTTGGGAATAGCAAGTTGCAATTGGCCGAGATCTGGTTAGTCTGGGGATGGAATCCCAGTAGAACCAAAGATCAAAAGATCAAAGGACCCAACTGAAAATTCCGACGGTTAAGGAGCTTTAGGTCTAATGCTAAAAAGGAAATAGAAAGCATGGGCCAGACTGCCAGAAAGAAAGAAGAACGTGGCTTAGCAACGGAACCTGCAGCCCCCATTATTCCAACTTCCAGTTCAAGTCCTTTCATTTGTCCAGGTAGCCCCATCTTACTGGTACGATTATGTACCTAGGTAGTACCCAAGTACTTTTTGGTTTGTATCCAGCCTATTAAGAAGGCTGGCGCGAAATAGCTGATAAGCGCGTGCATTTCGTGTTTTCCCTTTAATAGTCCATTCGTTGCTGAAAATGGTTATTTTAATATTCGGTTATCTGCCGACCATTCTGGAATTCAAGCAACGAATGAAAAAGATGGCAGCGATGCGACGTTTATTTCGCAAACTGAATGCTTACTGGAGCCACGAATCGTCCTTGCAAGCCACCAGTACGATGTACCTAGGTACCTTTACGTCTTTGTCTCCACAAGAAACCTGCTCCTGAAAGACCGTGCGTGACAGTGCTATACGACGCTATATATACTGTATGAGCCAATTGACGGGGGTAATATGTACACTAAGTGGATTGAGGCTACATAGGTACACTGGTACATACGTACCTAAATTGAAAAGTTTTTTTTTTACCAGCTCCCATTTTTTTCTCAGAGGGTCAAACAAATACATATGCACACGTCGAACATGCAGTAGATTTTCAGAGATTCTCTTCCTCTCATCCATATAAGGATGACCTCCTGCAGCCAACCTTGATACGGCGCCTGTCTTGTCTTCAAACCCGTGAAACCCATGGCTTAACTGGGTTCAAGAGCCGCTCGCGCTTACACTTTCATCTCGTAGGTTGACGAGACGCTTCCTGCAGGTTGAAGCGCCAATAGATGCCGAGGAAGCAGCTCAACCAGCCGTATATTTTTCTCATGACATAAGGTAAACAAGCACTTACCCAATCTCCGTTTCATTTCCTGCAGAAGACCGGATATTACAACGAATTATGTCGTCGTCGTTTTGCATTGACCTTGACCTTTGAGCTGTCGTCAGTTTTTTCTTCAGTCGGCAGTCGGCAGTCGGAGAATTGGACCAGGTCAAGGGGGTAAAGGTAGAGTCAATCTTCTGCGTGCCACACACACCTTCATCCACTCTTTAAGGCATAATCCGATCGAGCATGGTCATCTCCTTCATGCGACCCGACGATTCATTCATCCTTGTGTCTATGGGAATCTCATTTTATGCTTTGGGGGTTTGTCTAAGACATAGTTGAAGCTATCAAAGAGTAAAAGAGCAAGCAAGCGAGAGCAACTAAGTCGAAAAGCTTTGTCAGCTTTGCAACCCTCGGAGTCGTTTTCTTGTCATAATCTTGAGCTTCTTCAGGTTACAGGTTACAAGTTACAGGTTACAGAGAAAACACTGGTACAAACCCAGTATAGGTAGCCAAGATGCCTTCGATACCAGGTTTCATAGCCCGTTACTTCGCTAAAGAACAACGTAAGTATCACCTAATCCATCTTACCGACTACATCTCTCTAACTTAGACGCTCTAGCAAGACCGCCACCAATCAGCATCGGAACCGCGGTCTTCCTACACGTAAGTCCCCATCTATGCATGCGGCTAGACGCAGCTCTCCCACGAGCGTTTAGCATCGGGCAGAAAAAGAAGCGCTTGAGGTATTGACTGGTAACAAGGTAATCTATACGCTCATCTACGTGATACCATTTTATCTTTCACCCACTACCAGGCCATCTCCTACTCTATCGCGGGACGCGCCGTCTGTGATCCGCGCGCGGATAGCCTCGGTCTCGCTGGCCTCCATCGTGTGCTCTATCATTACCTTTGTGATCTTAACGTCGCAGGGTCGGGCTACGACAACCGAAGCGCTGCATACGCTAGGTTACTGGCCCCTCGGCCTCGTGGAGACGGCGAAGTGCTTCTTGCTCACCGCTATCCTTTTCGCTGGGCCATTGTACGAACGTCTCATTGTCGACGAAGGATGGCGAGATTGGTTATCTTTACAGCCGTTATCTGATCTCGGTGAGTTGACGATCTGGCGTAACATCATAGCGGTAAGTTTCATGATTTTCCTGTCTCATATAATCCAAAGGCTACAATGCCAAGCTAGTCAAGCCCAACATCCCCTTACATCATGATGAGAAACATTGGTCCGTGTTTCTGAGCAGACTCAAGACCTGTCAGTGAGGACAATACAATAGCACTCTGTGCAACTCTGATTCTATCCCGTTTATCGCCTGTTTATTGTTAAGAAAGCTCCAAATAAGCAAATTCTAACAATCGCAGGGTCCCTTTACAGAAGAAGCTCTCTTCCGCTCAGCCTCCGTGCCGCTTATGCTCGCAGCGCAGACCTCTGTAACAACCACCATCTTCCTCTCGCCACTAGTCTTCGGGCTCGCGCATCTGCATCACTTCCTTGAATTCCGTATTACGCATCCGCAAGTACCTGTGTCGATCGGGCTTTTGCGTTCCCTAATGCAGCTCGGCTACACATCACTTTTCGGTGCTTACGCCACGTTTCTGTACCTGCGCTCTGGTAGTCTAATAGCCGTTTTCGTAGTCCACGCTTTTTGTAATTGCATGGGTCTGCCTCGCGTCTGGGGCCGGGTCTATCCTGCTGTCGTCATTGATGAGAGGGGGCAGTCGTATCGACCTTCCGTTATGTGGACCGTAGTTTACTACATAGTTCTAGTTGCTGGCGCAGTGGGGTGGTATAGGAACCTGGGCTTGCTGACGGAGAGCAGTAATGCTTTGGTCTCCGTTGATATATGATGATTAGGTAGATATATAGCCTAATAAATATTGACGAGTACGACGCTGCATACCAAACTATTCTAAGTAACAGTGTTTATGCAATAGTAATGTGGCTAAGTAGTTTACAATATCACAATGATATAGCAATGAAACAAATATCCATGCAACATTTGCATTTTTTTTTCTGTGCATACAGTGGTACTTTCCGTGTCACGGAGACGTCGTTAGTATAGGTAATATATGCCAAACAGCATCCGTAAAACTTGGCCCATCTCGAAACCATCACTCTCGATTCTAATGTTAGATTTAAACCACCCGGTTTACATAGCAAGACGTAGTTTTACAGCTCGCTGGACTTGGTAACCAACCGGGGACATATGATACTAGTTATGAGTAACTGCTTAAGTATACTTATAATAATATGCAAAGGGGATTGTTAACAAAGCTATACTCGACATACTATATTGCAGGCTACTAAAGGATTTAAAATCTCCCTAACCTCTAACCCTACAACTCATTTTCATTTTTCGCATATTTGAGTTTCTTTATAAACAAACTTGTGTATTTCCAGGCCAGGCGTCACTATCCCCGGTATTGATGAATAGGTAGCTTTCTCTCGATAGTTTGGGGAGTTGGACGTACAGCTCATGTCACCTTATAAACTACCTACCTATAAATAATCCCCAAATCGTTCAACTTAAATAAATGTACGACTCTTTATCTTACCTTGTTAGTTACATTAGCTTTTTACAGACATAAGCCATAGTTCGATGTGGATGTCCAGTTAAGGTTAAGTAATACTGAATATTGATAATTAGACCAATGGCAAGTATGCGGAAATTAGAAATCGGAAAATTATGTGATGGGGTGTAGTCTCTCGTTAGTTGAGCATGGCCTGTATATCAACGTCTTATGTTTGAAAGCCTTTCAAATCACTTATCCTCTATACCTATATATACTACACGTGTCAATCCAGATCAAATTCATCATATCCTACGTCCGGGTCTTTGTAAGCGTGGTCGAGGATCTAAACTGTGTAGGTGGTCGTTTGTCTGTACATAAGTAGCTGATATTTTATATTGACTAATTCTCTCCGGGAGGATTTAGATAGATGCTAGGGCTAAATATCATATAAAATGCAAGGAAAAATGCAAGGATTTCTAGCTACTCAATAATTCTGGCCGAAGCCTGATAGCATGTAAGTCTTCTAAGTAGTGTGTTACTTATCTTCATATATTTCCCAGACGAGTTCAAGGGCACTGTAAAAGCTTCGCGTCTCTTCAAAATATATTAGTTATATCTAATATACATCGTTATATTGTTGCCTCTCTATTTGGCAACGGCAGATCTAATACAGCACGTATAGCTACCTACTCGGCAGCTTGCGGTATATACATAGTGTTGCTAGCTAGCTAGCTAGCTATTATGGGACCGAGCCCGTATTCTCTACGTTTTGTACATGGATAAATCATACAAGATGCTTCCTGAGGCTCCACTGACTCGGCGAGCGGCCTGCTTACCTCGTCCCTCCTAGTGGTCATGCAGGGAGTATTTGCCCAGCACTTGGTGATAGCCCTGCTAGGAGATAAAGGAGTGAACAACTGTAACCTGGCCGCAATGTCTCGATTGTGGGGTATTGTCGCCTCGTCCTCTTATGAGCTCACGGCCCAGTGTCATTTACGTGGAGCCCTGATGTTTGGTACGATATCTTAACCGTGTCGTCGATTTTAAAACCGTAACAGCAAAATTAGCTAGACTCAAGTTGGTAGATCAAGTGACATCCCCGGTAAACTTCCCGGCATGCTGAATCCACCCGTACTAGAGGCGTCATCCCGGCCCCTAGCCCGTCGGTACCTGAGACTATCAGGTGGGGTCAGCTCACGTCTCTGTCCTGCCGCGGCCTCGGCCTGAACCTCCTTAAAGGCTTCCTCTCTGACGTCCTTGGCAACTTCACGGCCCTTGCCTTTGCCCATGCTGCTTGACGCCGTCGAGATTCCCTCTAGAGGATCGTCACCGCCACGCGTGTTCTTCTTGCGCGGCCAGAGGCTGGGCAGTGCGATCTCCTGGAAGCGGGGCTCGACTGCACGCTCGTCGAACCAGCGGTGTAAACGAGACTCAACGAGCTGGGCAATCTTGGGCACGTCCTGTAGCCGCGACCGGCTACCTACGAGGCTACGCACAGAGAAGTCAAGGCGGTAGTCGTCAAGGAAGCTGAATGCCATCATAGTTGGAGTTGACTGCGAGGGGTTTGACGGGATGAAAGAGATGCTTAGGGTGCCGCTAAACCGCACAACACTGACGGCGAGCGCAACAGGTAATACGGCTGTCAGCCGCTTCGGGTAGTTGAGGAGGATCTTGGTCTCGAGTGCCAGTGTAATCATATCGCTGAGATCGACATCCATCCGGGCCTGCAGTCGTGACCCTTCACGCTTTGCCCGAGAACTGTTGGCATCAAAGCGCTTCTCCCCGTTGGGGCCCGTGTTTAGACTTAAACCATCCTCGTCTACGGGTATGATGCGGCAATTACTAAAGATAGGGAAGTCCTCTCCTAGGGTCAGCTCGGTGACCTTAATCTCATCAAGAAAGCCTGGGCGCGAGGTGCCGTTGAGGGCCTTGGTGAGGGAGGTAAGTATCGCATCGTCTTGCTGGGCATCACTGCGGAACTGAGCGATTGTTTGAGCGATAAGGACGTTAAACCAATCCAGCGACTCGGGCTGGTGGCTGTCGACGTTGTAATACGTCTTATTTAATATGGAACCTATCGTAAGCGTAGGTGGGCTCCGGAGTATACTCGATTTCTTCTTGTTCAGCGTTGGCGGTAGGGATGGCCTCGTCGTAGTTGGTGTCGTCGATCGTAGAGTAAGAATGGATTGTCGGTGGGCGAGGGTACGGGATCGACGCTCAGCAGCTCGCATGGAGGCCGTTATTTCGGCCGATGGAGCTTCTCCAAATATGAAGAATTTTATAAATGCGGCTAGGAGCAGTACGACGGAGATTTGGCCGACGATGAGCCCTTGGGTGAACGACAAGCTATTTCCAGGTGATGAAGTTAGACTATCAGATCATATAACAGGTATGTAATATAAATAACGAGCGGAAATTAGTAGCTTCACCTACGTCGGTTCAGGCTTCATCGGACACACGTCCGTAGCCGCAGCCATCTTGGTTTATGACATTTAGAGCGAAACTTCGAAAAAAAAAACCTTGAACAATTCAAAAGTGAAGCAATTGCGAGATTCAAGCGGGAGGATGGAAGCTTTAAACTTTTCTAATCTAACAACTTTCAGAGCTGTCCTGCATAAGCTCAAGCCTTTATCTTATCGGGGAGGTACTCGCTACTCCAACTTACTAAGCCCATATAAGTGGAATCAAGTACCGGATACGTTAACGTCATTTAGCATTTACATACAACGTACACTAGGTACGCTAGTAGGCCCCTGCTATAATGACGATCTATCCTCTAAGCCGCATGAGCTTAAACCTCCCTTTAATTCGTCCACCAACAACTTATAAGCGACAAGTAGAAACCTTGCGATCTTGCAATCATATTCATTTAATAACGAGCAAACAAACTTGATTCTTATTTGAGATTAATTTTGGTACAATCCTAGATCCAGTAACACTTTCTAGTGCAACATCTTGCGGAGCCGACCAAGATGGATGTTGTTCAAGCCGTCTCCGGCTACATCTCTAAGATGGTGTCTGCCGGGGACAGCGCATCGGGAACTCCATCCGCAAAGATGAAGATACTCTTATTAGATAAGGACACAGTGCCAATCGTATCTACCGCCATTACACAATCGTCTCTACTCAATCATGAAGTCTATCTTACCGATCGACTGGATAACCAGAATCGAGAGAAAATGCGACATCTGAGATGTCTGTGCTTTGTCCGGCCATCCCCAGATTCCATCCAATTTCTAATTGATGAGCTACGAGACCCCAAGTACGGCGAATACTACTTGTATTTTAGCAACGTTGTAAAGAAGTCGTCATTAGAAAGATTAGCCGAAGCCGATGATCATGAGGTCGTCAAGCAGGTTCAAGAGCACTTTGCCGATTACCTCGTTATCAACCCAGACCTCTTTTCACTCAATCTTACCTTACCACAGCAGAGGATATGGAGCGGCAATCCGGATTTATGGAACCCCGACTCGCTGCAGCGGACTACCGACGGGCTGATAGCTATCCTGCTGTCGCTTAAGAAAAAGCCACTCATTCGGTATGAGAGGAATAGCTTGTTGGCTAAGAAATTAGCTACTGAAGTGAGATATCACATCACCCAGGAAGAGCAATTGTTCGATTTCAGAAAAGTAGACACGCCGCCGATACTTCTTATTCTGGACCGGAGAGAGGATCCTGCTACGCCACTACTTAATCAATGGACATACCAGGCCATGGTACACCAGCTACTCGGGATTCACAACGGACGAGTTAACCTTGACGAGGTTCCAGATGTCCGTCCAGAACTTAGAGAGATAGTACTTTCGCAGGACCAAGATCCATTCTTTAAGAAGAATATGTACCTGAATTTTGGTGACCTCGGCGGCAACATCAAGGATTACGTAGAGCAGTACCAGTCCAAGACGAAGAACAACGCCAACATCGAGTCAATCACGGACATGAAGCGATTCATCGAAGAATATCCTGAATTCAGGAAACTCTCCGGAAACGTTAGTAAGCATGTTACTCTGGTTTCGGAACTTAGCCGGAGAGTGGGCGCCGAGAATTTGCTCGAGGTCAGCGAGGTCGAGCAGAGCTTGGCTTGCAACGACAATCATGCTACCGACTTAAGGGTATGGTAACCTAATTTCTTAAAACCCAGGCTCTAAGGGCTAACTTTACATAGAATGTCCAAAAGTTAATACAGTCTCCGTCCGTAACCCCTGAAAACAAGGTCGGACTCGTGGCGCTATATGCCCTACGATATGAGAAGCACCCATCAAATTCGCTAGCTATGCTAGTAGACTTGCTAACAGCAGCTGGTGGTGTACCCGCGCGACAGGCAGACCTAGTCGCGAAGTTACTAATCTACCGCCACTCCTTACAGCAGTCCCAGGCAGCCGGCGGCATCGCGGATATCTTCGAGTCAGGGGGTATCTTCTCGGGCGCACGGGCCATAAAGGGGCTAAAAGGCGTCGAGAACGTGTACACGCAGCACTCGCCGCACTTGGAGACGACGCTGCAGAATCTAATTAAGGGGAGGCTCCGCGAGCAGCAGTACCCGTTCGTCGAGGGCGGCGGTACAACGCGGGACAAGCCCCAGGATATCATAGTGTTTGTGATTGGTGGCGCGACGTACGAGGAGGCGAAGACGGTTGCTAGTATTAACGCCTCGTCGCCTGGCATCAGAGTCGTCTTGGGCGGGACTAATATCCATAACGCAGCTACGTTCCTCGAGGAGGTTGATGATGCAGTGTCCTCGTGGCCAGAGCCGCCGCCAACTACGACCGCGGGGCGGTTGAGAAAGGAGCTTGGGAGGAGGTAGATAGGCTAATAATTAATATGAGAGGATTTCCCGCTGGAGACTTGGAAGTTCTGCGGGCTATCTGAGCAAAATCATAAGCCACGATGGCTTGTATGATAGTAACTTGCAATTTATTACCTTCAATAGGATTGGTGGAATATCTATGTACCAGTCTCACACCCTTTGTGAGTTAGCTTAATATGCCGCGAATAAAATCCAGGACCATTATTTTGAGCAAAGTGCCACTGGCACGCTACACATATGTGGATAAGGCTGTGCGTATGAACCCGCAGAAGTTATATACACGTGACACTTGCCTGAGCAACTCACTACGCAGCGAAGGGTATTAATGCCTTAAATATTAAAAATTGCGCGCGGCTATAGAATTGAGAATATGATAGATTATATTTATCAAGATCATGCGATTCACGTAGGTATATTGAGGCAACACATCCGAAAACCAAACGATTCTTGAATGTGATGGGCGTTTGCAAACGACGGGTTTAAGAGCGTAGCACCAGCGGCTAAAAGAATTGATAGTATGGCATCTTTATGCAGCAGTCGGTTTACAAGCATCAACGCCTCTAAGGTGGTATACTAAACCATATTTCCCCTCCCGATAATTCGTTTAATAAAACCAAATACATTGTCATAGGTATATCCGTTGATACATTCCTTGGAATCCTCGCTAGTGTCAGAATCTTATTTATGAGGAGGTAATCTTATTGTTGCATTTGGTAATGTATTAAAACACCCATGGCAATGAGAAGCTTTTGCATATTAGTAAGACGGCGGAGGGGTAATAGGGGCCAAGGTAACCCTAGATATAACGTGGTAGTGGTAAACAGAATCCGGTTATGTGGGCGAGAACTGATATCTGATTCCCCCTTTCCGTTGTCCTTAGCCTGGATATTGTCCTGTCCTGTTTGATCCCGTCTATACTTTCCTTTCTAGGACTTACACCAATATGAATAACTATTAATACAAGCCTACTTACCTATGTAACTAAATTAACTTTCCCATATCTGGTGTCTCGAAACATCGAACACACCCGCTCTAGGGAACAGTTTTAGGTACTATATATTGCCTATCTGCGGGCTACTGGCCTTCGTTCGAGAAATAGTTATAATAAAGCCTTAACGTATGAAAGGCCTAATATTTGACCGAAATTACCTCAATATACCTAAGCGATAAAGGTAGCATGGTCATGGCACACCAGCTGGCCGTTGAGTCATCTCTCCGAGCCCCGATAGAGAAATCGTGTGTCTCTTTAACGCGGCTCCGTCTACCTTTCAGGGCTTCGGTATACCTTGAAAGTGGAAATCATGACGTCGATGGCTGATTTTATTATCAATCACATGAAATTAGGTCTCGTTGAAACTGAATCCTTTGTACCTTGCATGATTACATGGCGGCCCAAGCAGTTCGCGCACCATTATGCAAACCAGCCTGCCAGCATAGAGCTAGCATTGATGAGTAGACGATAGATAGGCAACTGAGGTAACCCGCCAACACATAGAAGCTGCCTGGCTTCTACACACCATCAAGCTTAACTAGTCCTTAAAGTAGGTACTAAAGCATAAAAAACAAATACGACCTGCTTAGACTTTTAATATCGTCTTTAAAACTCCAGGGTTTACGAAATGACGTCCTGGTATGAAATTCGATAGAGAAGAGCTACTTGGTCATCCCAGCCACTACTTGCGAGTAACTCACTAGAAAGTTGCTACTGTACGGTATTACTATGATTCCTAACTGATATTCAACTTATCTTACAACGAAATAGGTACCTTACATAATCGAGGTTCACTCAACATATACAAAAAACAAACCGCAAACTCGATGGCGAAACTTGTTAAGGATTTCGCAGACATTATAGATCAACTTGCTAGTTGGCCACAAGCGAAGGGACATGATAGCAAAAACTACGGTAACGATAATGGAGTTTTTCAATTTGGCAGTGGCCACAAGAGCGAAAATCGGGGAGACTCCAATAAAGTCGCTCAAGAAGGTTCAAATGAGAACAGCAAGAATATAGGGAATAAAAATGGTACAGCTCAGTTTGGTGCTGAAAATATTGCCAAGATGACGGGGGACGGAAACCGGGCGGGTCAACGTGGTAGGGGGAACGAAAGCACTATCAGCCGCCATAACTATTCGAGTACTTTGCTTGGTGTTGATCACAAGCATGATAGCAAGGATAACCCCGAAAGGCCATCTTTCAGCGAAGGTGGTATCGAGGAATACTCGCGGGACGGCTCATGGGTATTAAAATGGGACTTGGGATGGGCGTGGGATTTGGCTTGGAAGTGGGTAAGTGGTGCTCGCGATTAGATGAAATATATGTATCTAGAAAGATGAAGTAGTGGTTTGGGGGATGGTATATAGTTTTGGACTATTCAAACTATTCTGCGTAAATGATGTTGGAGGCATGAATAACGAATACACCCTCGAGATCCTTTGCTACATTCTGCCGTATAGGTGTGCCGTGGTACGCTCCTTGAGAAGATTCAGTAGCAAGGTAATCAAGGACCCAAATATATACGCCACAAAAAAGACAATAATGGCCGTGATGACGGTTGCAATACTCGAAATCTGCCGAACGTTGTTTCGATTTCCATGATTGAGAGATCGGTTCGTACCCTCTCCTGCTTGGCTTGTTGAATTCTCATGCCCATAGTTTCGAGATGAATTTCCTTCTCGAGATTCGGCCTCACTGTCGTCCCTATATGTGATGAATTCTACGCCGTATGGGGGCGGCGGATCTTTCTTCTCTACGGCCATGATTATTGATTGGGAAATGCTTTAATGATTTGGCGTCTGCGGGGCTGGGTCAGGTCAGTATGACAGTAGGTATTCCAAGTATATATAATTAAGTAGAGAATGGCACTTAACACTAACTTTCCACAACGAAGATATGTTTGGTGTCTGTAACTGGAGGAGTCAAGTATGTCGAGATCATAGGGTTGGATACTTAGCTTTTCAGATCCGGGCGTCTCTAAGTAATATTCGCCCTAGAGAAATATGGCCAGGCAGAAGGGTACAATTAGTAGCCTACCATTACACATTTAATGAGGCTCTGCTCGAAAATCTATCCGGTACATGAAGGCACTAGTGTCGGGGCTGCCTGGTTGCCTTGGGTTCTTGGAGTATAGGGACTCGTACAGAATATTTGCACATGTATGTCTTGCATCGTAGGTACCCGAACGAATGATGTGTAAGAGAAGAACGATAAGGGTATGATATATGATAGTACTCGGTGTGATATATTATCTGATTGGTGTTGATGACATGTAGGGTAGTCTTCATCTGCATCGTCATGCTAAGCTGGCGACAGAATGGTTTGCATAGCTTGAACCTTCTTAACATATATTATATTTCAAGGAGGTCCTCTATTGCTATTAATGTTCCGATTTACGTTCTGAATAAGATGGTTATATTATTCGTAAATAAATAATATTTCCATGTTTTGTTTGATATTTTATTCTTTAAGTTAGAGCTGACGTTGTCATTAATACTTGATGTAAGTGTTAGTATTGGGGAACCAGCGGATACTTTGCAAACTATCTCGTCGCCTGCTTACACGCCTTCGGTCAATATTGTGTGACGCTAATCTCAACATGTAGACCGGCGTTTTAAAGATGCCTGTCATCGCTTACACCGACAGTACCTAGAGCCCGGCATTTTAATACGTTGTGATGACTATGGTGTCTAAATCCCGCAAGGCAGTAGATAGGGGCGCCTTAAGTACCTATTCTAATCTACCGAGGCGGGGCTTGGGATATATTTGCGGCCATACAATAGACTATTCTGACCAGATGCCTTTCCCAGTGTCATCATTATAGTTCATACAATAATGATCAGAACAAACTAGTAAAGTTGAAAACCTCTCTTTTGCGTACTGTCTTCGATTTTGCTAGCTAAGGCTGTAGAGCGTTCCAGCGACGGCATTCAATATGTTACATCCTCCAGGTTTCCGCATTATCACAGATTCGTGCCGGCTACCTACCTTTTCGCTTCGGGGCTCAGCCTCAGAGGTACAAGCCTCGCTGGCGTAACTTCTCCCTCTTATATAATCGCCGCTACTTGTGCATACTACATCATTTGTAGGCTGTGTTGCAGATATCGGTTAAGGTCAACGAATGTCAATCTAATTTTTTTCAGCTGGTAAAATACGCCGATAGCTGACTTACGTTATCGTTGTAGGACGGCTACTTTTGCTTTGTACTCGGATAGGATCTACGGATGTCCTGTGGAATGGTGGTATACATAGATACTTGTATTATATTTGAAGCTACGATATTCTCTAAATATTCAATGTGAGCTGTCATTAAATCGATATTTGTATAAGGCTTATTGTATATTTATGTACGATGCGCAAAATGGAAGGCGCTTAAGTAGGTACTTTAATATGCTACCAATGGCTCGTTGCAAAAAAGGCCCAAGCCACGGAGACGAGATTTTAATACGGCTTGATTGGATGATATACTTGTCGGCGGCAATCGTAAGATAAGCTGAGTTTCAGTGGCCAGTGGCTTAGAGAGGGGTTAGGCCGCATAACTGGCTTTTCTAAAACATGTTGCCAATTGCTGATACTACCTTGCTAATAAAGAGGTAAAACTAGAGAGATAAAAGAGACAGAAAGAACCAACTTTCTTCTAGATATCCAAGCTAGAACGTAACAAGCATACGAACACTTTTAAACTACCTAATAGATTCAGGATCCTCTGACTGACATCCCCTAAAATGAGGTCATGGCGTCGAACGAGGTTTCAAAAGCCAAGCGACACCTCAAGGAACTTTTTAAAGACTCTTGTCGACCCTCCAGGAGCTACTATCGAGTATGTAGAGTTCGGCACTAGAGTTGGGAGTTTGCTAATGGAACGGAATAAGCATTGTTGCTGTCCACGGCCTCAATCCCCTGGATAAGCCATCACATGCAGAAGCTACTTGGACAGCTGGGAATAAGCTATGGCTCAGAGACTTCCTTCCTAAGCGAGTTCCTAGTGCGAGGGTATTGCTCTTTGGATATAATTCGAACGTGGCATTCCAGACAGCAGCTGCAGGAGTCAGGGAACAAGCCGAGAACCTCTTGAACCAGTTAGAGGCGGCCCGAGTTGTGAGTACGACCCGCTACCTCAAGTATTCCAATGGATTATTGACACTGGGTAGATGGATCCTGATCGTCCGTTGATGTTCATATGCCACAGTTTGGGTGGCATCATCGTGAAGCGTGTAAGTTACGTTGATGAGCAGAGGAATTCTGGTTTAAGTAACCTAGATATCTCTGGATTTGTGTCATTTCTAACTATAATTATAACTATAATTAGGCTCTCGTTCATTCAAAGACCGATACGACATATGAAAGGATTGGAAAATCTACATTTGGTATTGCGTTTTTTGGCACCCCCCATAAAGGAGGGAACAATGCAGGACTAGCTGATGTAATAGCCAAAATTGCTCGTTCTTTGCTCGGAAATCCTAGCAATAGCTTCATGAGTGCAATCAGAGCGGGGACACTCTTTCTGGACACGATCGCAGATGATTTTCGTCAACTCCTGGAAGATTTTCAAATTCTGACCTTTTACGAGACTAAACCGCTTGGCTCATTCGGCATCGTGAGTGGTTCCGATTGTCACTTTTTATGTAATTCACCTAATATCATAATCAGGTTGTCAGCCCGTCTTCTGCGATCCTAGGATTATCAGGGACCCGAGAGAAACGAATAGCGATGGACACTGACCATAGGAATCTATGCAAATTTGAGTGCGAAAACGATCCGAGATATGAGCAAGTGGCAGTTAATATAGTCAAGATGGTTAACGACGCTACTTCTCCACGGGAAACCCCAGCCCCCATAGAGGCTGAGGATAAAGGTAACGTGTCCAGGTGTATCGGTGACCAGAACACCATTTTTCAGAGTGGTGATGGAAATCAAAGCGATATTTACGGACACATTAATATGACTCATCAAATGGGAAATAGAAATTACAGCGAACAAGATGGGGACAACAATAAAACTATGCAGATTACCATGGGAGCATTGGCAGTGGAAGGCTATGCTGAGTTGCTCAAATTTTTTAGCTCCTAGAGAGGTATATATAGCCCTGGTTTATGAGATATTCGAAGGGCTTCTTGCCAACGCATTCGGTAGCTTTCGGGCTGTGCAGGACACATAGGTTTCTAGGTATACAACACCATAATCCTTTATCTTACTTAAGTATCACGCCCTCCTTTATATAGCTACCTTAGCACTCTAAATCTTCATATTGGTCCGCGTTATATTGCGGAGGTCTTCACTTTCGCTCCGTATCATGCGGTATTGGTACTAAAATCGCCCCGAAAAGAACGACCTATCCCCTATCCCCTATCCCCATGTCGGAGCGAAGTTTGTTTATTTCGTCGAGGCCTCGGAGAACTCTTTCTTTACCAGCCTACCTTACCCACTACTCGGATGGAGCCGTCAATCCTTCATGGCTAGGCCAGTTACCTCGTAGCAGCCGAATCGCTACAGCGAAATTTCCTGGGTCCACGCTATATGCAGTTAGATTCGTCGCCAAATCTCGCTTCTACCGTAGATCAAAGATATGCTACAGAAATAACCTGCAAACTCGAGCAATTGTTTTACTACTTGCTATCATTAGCTGCCTTAGCTGTCTTCATATACAAAATGAGGAGATCAAAATAGACATCAGGCCTATTCTTATTCATTTACAAACGCTCCTTCTTATTCTTCTATTTCGAGAGAGGGCAACCGAGAGCACATCAATCCTTTCTAACACATATGGGAACAAGAATGTGACCCAACAAGCGGTTGCTGTTAACTCTGTCTTGGTCCAAGCTACTATTCATTTTCCACATCTGCGTCAGGGTATTGTAGATCTCCACAACAAGCTATACGATTAGATTTGCTAAAAATCACATTCTAGGCCGTTACCGTCGTTCCGCCACCAATATATCCACCTCAACAGTAGAAGACGGTAGATGAGTGTACGGGCGGCGGTTTCAATGGGCCCGGGAAATGGAATCGATGGCAAGCACTGGGTATTAATGCGTCGGTCAAAAGAGGTCATGGATTTCTAGCCTTCCAGTCCTACGGGAGGATTTGGAGGTAGTTAAGAACCGCATAATAAGCTGTCGAGACATGATAAACTTTCCTAGGAGGTTCCGGAACGTGAAGGTAGGTAGTCAGAAAACTTCATTTTTCTTCTTGTAATAACCGCCGATTAGGTTAAGACACTCGAGCTAACGAAAGATTAAATAGGAAGAAGTAACATATACGGTAACTATCAAAATAGCCATCGCTGAGGAGGATATGAGTGGAAGTCGAACTTACAATGCCGAACATTCAAAACTGTTTAATATACGCGCACAATCCAACAGCTCGCATACTAGATAAACATTTTATATTTCGTAGCCTCTATATCAGGGGAAATTCGAATTTTCGATAGCACAGCATATGTGCCCGCATTGGACACCGATTTCCTGCAGAAAGCCTTGCTGATTCAAGAAGATTATATACGAAGGCACCCAATCTAGGTGGCCAGAATGATGACCTAGGCGGGGGCCTGGGTGCTTACCATGATATGCAACCTTGACTCTACCTAAAACGAGTAGACTTCTAGATAAATAAGGTGATATATACAATGCCAATAGTTCTAGCCCCAACGCCTTCATTATGCGTCGCTTAGTATAAGTACAGCCCATATACACATACATATCTAAACTCACCCACTCTTACCTGCATCATCTAGGGGTTTACAGCTCCCTCCTGCGCGCCTCCGCATCCAGAGTATCGACTTCGCCCCCCAATGGCGCCATATCCGCCACCGCACCCTCCACCACACCCTCATCCGCAATCACACCGACGCCCACGCCGTTCACACCGCTGTTCGCAAACTCCTTCCTCTTCTGCGCAAAAGCCAGCAGCCGCACACAGCCTGCAGGCGTCATACCCTCAATCCGCCTAGCCTGCCCGACGCTCTCGGGCTTTGCTTCGTTCAGCACCGCTCTCTCGTGGGTACTTAACCCCGCCACAGAGTCGTAGTCTAGATCCGCCGGTAACCGAAGGCCCTCGTCGCGCAGGAACGCCGCACGTTCAGCCGCTTGTATATGAACGTACGGGGCGTAGCGCGCCTCGATCTCCACGCGCGTGCGGACTCGCTCGCTATGTCTTAAGATCTCCGGAACCTGCGCCGCGAGATCCCCGATCGAAACGCCTGGAAGGCATAGGATATCTAGCGCATTCCGCTTTCTGCTATCATTGCGGTTGGCGAAGCCGGCTGCGTTCCATGCCGGCGCGGTAAGTGTGTATTGTTCCAGAGCGCGTGTCAGGTCGTCTATCTGCGCTTTCTCGTCCGTATGCCGGGACCATCGTGTATCCGTTACGACGCCCCACTCGCGGCCCTTGGCTGTGAGTCGAAGATCCGCATTATCGGCGCGCGTGCTCATGCGGTATTCGCTGCGGCTAGTGAACATGCGGTATGGCTCCGATACGCCCTTGGTAATTAGGTCGTCAATCATGATACCGATGTATCCGTCGGCGCGCGTAATTGAGACAGCTTCCAACCCCTGAGCCGTGCGCCCCGCATTAATACCCGCGATAACGCCCTGGCCGGCAGCCTCCTCGTAGCCTGTAGTGCCGTTGATTTGGCCCGCGAGGAAGAGGCCTGAAATAGCCTTGGTTTCGAGGGTCGATCTGAGACCTCGCGGATCCACGTAGTCGTACTCGACACCGTAGCCAGCCTGGGTCATCTGAACGTTTTCAAGTCCGCGGATCGTGCGTAGTAGTTGCTCTTGTGCCTCGGCGGGGATTGTCATGGATAGACCATTTGGGTAGATAGTATCATTGTTGAAGCCCTCGGGCTCTAGCCAGACAATGTGCCTCTCTTTATGGCCAAATTTAATAACCTTAGACTCTAGCGACGGACAATACCGTGGACCCCTTACAGTCTCGCGGATGTGAACCGTCTTGTCCAAGTTAGCGCGTGCGATGTCGTGTGATTTGTCATTCGTATATGTGGCCCAGCAGAGAAGTTGGTCCTGTACCGACACCCTATCGTCGAGGTAGCTGAAAGGTTCTGGCGGATCGTCTCCTCGCTGTTCTTCTAAGATATCGAAGTTGATACTCCCTTTATGTAAACGGGGAGGTGTACCCGTCTTTAATCTACCAAGCTTAAAACCGGCATCTCTTAGAGATTTACTGAGACCAAATGTAGCCTTTTCGCCCATCCGCCCCGATGGGTAGACATCTAGCCCGATATGTATCTCGCCACCCAGGAAAGTCCCGGTAGTAATAACGACGGCATTGGTGGGTAATACCTCGCCGGACTCGAGGCGCACGCCGGTAATTTTGCTCTTGGGCGAACCGCTGGTAGGATCTACGCTTTCGCCTAGAACGATATCCGATACACTTCCAGTTATGATAGATAGGTTCGGATATGACTGGAGCTCTTCACGCATGTGCTTTTTATACAGCGCCCGGTCAATCTGGGCGCGCGGTCCCCACACAGCTGGGCCTTTCTTCCGGTTCAAGACTTTGAACTGGACGCCAGCTTTATCGATGATACGCCCTGAAACTCCATCTAGTGCGTCGATCTCACGTATTATCGTTCCCTTTCCGATTCCGCCAAAACTGGGATTACACGAGCAGACGCCAAGATTGTCAAGTTTAGGTGTAACCAGAGCCGTTCGCGCGCCGCTTCGAGCAGCTGCTGCGCATGCTTCTGTTCCAGCATGACCTCCACCAACTACTACAACATCAAATGGTCTGCACCTCCAAATTAGCTTACACTCATTTACAGATTCAAGAATGGCTTCGTATACAAACCTCGCGTCCTGAGCGACAGTGGCAAAGTTACTCCGATGAAGACCTAATGAGGCCAAAGGTCTTCGGATCGCGCTATTGGGCCGGCTTAAGCCCCGGGGTCTCCAAGCTTTTCTCATACTCGTAATAATACGATATGATAAGCAGCGAACCCAATTCGTGAATTCTGCACTTTCACGTCGTCGTCTTCGAACTCAAAATTTCTCGATAAGAAATGGCGATAAGGAAAATAAACTTAGATTGGCAGGCGGTGTGGGGTATGCGGCTGATTACCTATAGCAGGCGGTGGGGTCCCCTGCCGGATGAATAATCTACCTTAAATCAACGCTTTCAAAGTCACGCCTTGGCCAAAATAAGAGTATTGCTATTTCAGTAGTAATGGTATTTCAGTAGTAGTCACTTTTAAGAGCAACACTGGTAGATAAGCAGTATACGGGGCTATCATATACCACCAAGTACCTTGCCCCTCATACAAATTCGTTACTGTACACTTGTATCGTCTGGCAATACCCTTATCTTTCACCCTCTCGTACAGCCTCTTATTTAATTCAATTAATTAAATTCGATTTAAGTCGGTCGCATGCATCAATTACGAGGTAAAAGGCTAAAAACGAGGTCCCGATGTAAGGTTTAAAGGTATAAGGCTGGCTGGCTGGCCAATCAAGCAGCTATATTATACGAGGCTATTTAATAACTTAATACATATATAAGAATAGCAGGTTTAGCGGGATTATCATAAAAGATACATGCGCGGCCAGGTAAATTGTATGGGAAATACATGTAATACTTATGCGATACCTGCCTATCCCGCTGTTCATGCGATTATGCGGGATATATTAAAAAGGTGGGTCTAAAAGTGACTACTACTGAAATACCATTACTACTGAAATAGCAATACTCCAAAATAAATGAGCCACACCACTAAAGCCCACCTAATTTCAACTAAAACACGATGATTTCATATATGATTTTACGCACAACTTCATAGTAGACAGCATTTAAAACTTATACAGATAGATAGAGCAAAAGGAGACGATTGTTACACTATTTTTTTATTGTCTCAAATTGATTACTCACGTTGTAATTGTAACATGAAGTTACCCCCAATCAACGATACCCTTAAAAAGGCTATTGGAATCTAAGCGATAAACGCACTAATAAGGACTGGGATTCAATGCCAAATAGGTAGGATAATATTATATTGGCTAAAGGAGATAGGATTACATATTAGAACGTTTAAAATGCATTGTTTTTACCTGTAATTGTCTTATAATCAGGTAGTGTATTCAACGATTATACTATGGTGTTGAGTCTGTAAGTGGGATGTGTGGCTCATTTATTTTGGCCAGGGCCTGAAAGTGTAGATTCTTTTAGTCCTGTCACGTGCTCCCCCATAGCTCTTTACTAGCAAGTTAAAATATTAAAAAGGGTGAAATTAGATGGGAAATAATGAAATACTTTATTTTCTTTGCCATGCCATGCCATGCATATACTAACACGCTCCATGCCGATCCAAAATTGCATACCGATACATTTTCTCATCCACCTGATATAACTCGTCATAATGTACACGTTATGAACCACAAGTGGGGTTAGGCTTCTTCTTTAGGTAGCGGAAACTTGCTTGAAGCTTCGATATGATCAAAATACCACATAAACGGTTGTTGTGCTTAATAAGCTACTGACCTTTGGACTTGCCTTTATTCTCAGACAAGATCCTGACCGCATCTTTGCTGAACACATAGCTCAGACCACTCCAAACAGTCGTGGTGGCAACCAAATACCTACGTTTAGTTAGAAATCGGAACAACTATTGGCACCTGTATATCCGACTCTTTGCCAATTATAAACGCAGTAAAGAAAAAGGAAGTTGCTTACTGAAACGCCGTCATGGCCATTCCAACATCTGCGGTTAAAACAGGCGTAACCATCGTAGCTCCCATCAGCCCCAGCTGCAAGAACGTATTATACTTGCTAATAGTAGTGGGGCGAACCTCCGCCGACGGTAGGGAGAAATCCCAGTAGCGCGTGAAGGTCTTCGGCGGCGGGAGAGATATCCACCGGTAGTAAATGGCGGCAATGCCCAGGCCGACGTCACGCCCTAGGATTATTACGGCTAGCCATGCTTTATTGATTGTATGTTAGCACACCAGTTCTCATAGTAATCCCGACATGACATAAGCATGATAGTAATGTTCAAGATCAACTCAACAGCAGTAGAGGTAACCCAGTCATGTGACACTTCGCACGTAAGACATCAGAGAATAAAGTTAAGCACTTACCAGGCAGCGCCCCCTTGTAAGCAAGACACACAGTCAACACTGTCATAAGCATCTTGTCCGCCATGGGATCGACCACACTCCCAACAACGGTCTGCAATTTCCATCTGCGAGCGATCCAGCCGTCCAAGAGGTCCGAGAAGCCCGCGTAAGCAAAAAGGCCTAGGGCCAAAGCATGCGCGTCGTGCACAATGGCGTAGCCGATGAATGGTGCGGCGATAAGACGCGAAAACGTCAGCAGGTTGGGAACCGTATAGATGTTCTCGTGCTGCGTCAGCGCGGGTATTACTTTGGGAATGACCTTCCGGATTCCTCTAGGTTCCTCGATAGTTGGTTTTGAAGATGGTTCAGGGGGAACTCTGTGTCTGATGTTAGCTTACGAGCGCGATGACGAGGCCGACTCGTCAGCTTAGAGAGCTAAGGAAAGGTCATGGAGGATGTGGGGGGATTCAACAAGAAGCGAGCCCGTGACAAAATGAGAAAGACGTACTGGCCCTTCCCCTTAGCTTTGTCTTGCTCCTCGAGAACCATGCTAGTCCGCGAAAAAGACCTCCTACACCCGGACCCATGCCAGAGGTTAACTCTAGCATTGCTAGCCTTAGTCAATGCGAAACTTAGACGCGTGGACTCATCGGGTCTCAACGAAGAGCTACGCATGATATGCGCAGACCTCAACATAGCAGGAGCGGCCCCAAGTCTCCCAGGCATCGCAGCCAGATCTGCGCAAAGTAAGCTCGTCGAACTCAAAATCGGACACTTGCGAGAGGCGCGCGCGCCACCGCATAGAGCCCGTGAAGTCATATCGAGCGTATCATATTACTCGCGACCGCAGCAAACCCGAACCAATCCAAACCGATCCACTAACAGTACGTTGTTTCATCCAACGCGAGCTGCGACAGATGGTGAATCAACAGCGCCGACGACCGAAGACTGCCGACTCAATAGTCCGAGAACGGCCTTAAACAATAACCTTTCTATCAGAAAAAAAGCAGTATCACCAAGGGGGTAGTTGTATTACAGCGTCGACCGCAAGCTCGTGATTTAGCTTAAGAAACAGCAGGTTGGAAAGGGGTCGTTGGAGCCCCCAGTTTTTTTTTAAAAAAAAATGTTGTATTCCAGCACCGTGTATGTACTGTACATAATTGGAGTTAAACCATATCCCCGACGTCATTGGCTGCCCAGCGCCAGGTAAACCCCATGTTCCACAGCAGGTCCCCACCCAGAGAGCCGCGGCTTAGGTAATAAATCCCCTATGTGCGGAATAATTGATAAGAGCAATCAATAGTTCGACGTCAACGTTGTAGATAAATATGCAATGATAAAGCCACTCACTACATGTCCGTAACTATCCTAACCCTAGGTAGGTTAATATAAAAATCCAACCCTCTGTAAAAGAGCTCCTTTAGTCCTTTAACTTGAGCTCATGTGAATGCTATACCTAATTCTAGTTCGAAAGGAGACATCTAAAACGAAGGATACTCCTAATAGTAATACTAACTATCCATACCTATGCATTACGTACCTTAGGAGGTAGTTATAATGTTATGCCTCCATAGCTAAGTTTAGTCTTCAGAGTTCCTCGCAGAACAATGCAGTTTATTCCCCCTTCTCAGTCCTACCTCGTAATAAGAAGAGCATATTCTACCCAAGCCTCGTACCTAGATTAACCTCTCGTTACAAACCAAACAAGTATGAAAGCAACTCTATGACCTTAGAAAAAAATAATTTTTTTTCCGCAACCTAACTCAGTCGGCACAGTAATCATGTCTTCGTCTTCATGGTTTTGTTGGCCTTAGAAGAATAGGTAGAGTTTTGGGAGAAAGCCATGTATATAGACAGCCTCGTTCCTGCTTTCTTGTTCTGCAAAACCTCTTCGATTTCTATTATATTATTGATATCGCAGACAGCGAGTTCAGTAGCCCAGGCCAAGCCAGGTCGGATATACTGGCAAAATAGGTCTACCTAGCCGTATCGTCAAATCGTCCTGCAAGCCCTTATACAACCACCTGCCTATCCACAAGCCAGTGATATTGCCCCAAGTATATATGAAATAAACCTCATTTTCACCTGTCTACTGACAAGACAAAAAGAATCAAAGGCCGAGTCAGATGCCTCTTTAATATAACGATCTATTAGGTACCAGGCCAGGTCTGGCTTCTTTCTGACCCGCCAAACACGTTTATCTATCGCGAGGTGGACTAAGAAGCTAGAAGACAACTTCGCTATTCTGCAAGGACCTCTAAGCTAGCTACGGGAGCCTACGACTATACATACTGTCGGTCTCCTTTTCTAGGTGTCTCATTTAGAGCACCGACGTTATCGCACAGTAGACAGGTAATTAACCATATGCAAACTCCTCACGCCCGACGCCTGAGATAATCCATGCCGAGATAAATGTTTTTATTGCTTCGAAACACTGCTACCATCATCAAATAAAAACTCCCGGTTTACGCTAGTGGAACCAAACCCGACCCATACATCACAGATTTCGCACAACTGGCCTATCAACAAGTTTGGGTTCCAACGAAGAATTAACAATGAAGACAATAGCAAATAAGAGGTTGTATGATGCGGTTGTATGATGCTATTGTGCTATGGTATAGTATAAAGGTAAAAGTGGGCAGTGGAAAGTGACAAGGGGGAGGGAATCAAATAAAAACAGACAAATCAAATAAAGACAGACAAATCAAAGGATCGCCACCTCCATCCTCCATACTAAGACTGGCCGGATTCGTATAATCGGTAGAAAATGGATTTCTACTTGCGAGTCATGCCCGGTGGCAACTGTAGTGGCGATATGCGATCGCGGTGGTAAAAGAACCACAGGTATCAATTATCGAAAAGGCGATATTCCCTGACTGCGCCGGACGCCAACGCTCTAATCTTCCAGATCGCACGCGAGCTCCAAAGTTGTCGCTGGCACTTTGCCTTCAAAACTGAAAACCCCGCTACCTGGAGCCGGAGTACACAATAAGACAATAGTCGAATAACGTAATGCTGGGAGATCGGAATAGAAATGGGTTCGAAAGCAATATAAAAACGTGAGTGCAAAAGCACTGGTAAGAAGTGGTGTGCCGCTATCCTAATATGAATTAGTTGATCAGTTTCCGATCTGCATCTTGGATGTTAATTCGCCGTAGAGCTAGCTGCAAGGCAGGTGATTCTTCCACATTATCGTCATCTTGCCCGTCCCTTTAAGAAGTTAGAAGATTGTTTATGGAATGCTATTACAGATCAGATCTACCCACTGTTCATAACTCTCATTGGGCATAAAGCCAGCAGCCCAGTCGGCATCCGTCATGGAATTTGATGTAGGATCTGCATTCCCAAGTCCGAGCTGCATAGCAGCGGATGTATCATCCTGGCTGGTAGTAACTGAATTGTGCCCGCGGGGTTCCGGTAACGAGGTGCTGAAATCATGCGAGGCGTGATGAGCAGCTCTAGCATCGAAGCCATTCTCTACTTGGCCGTCGATTCCAGAAGATGTGTTCATGGCGACGCCGTTATTATAAAGACCATCATTTTGGTTGCCGCTGTTATTATTATACGTATCTCGGTGGTAACTAGAAGGAGCGCTTGCAACGGCAGCAGCAGCGGCGGCGACAGTAGCTGATGTTTCGAACATGGACCCATTTGCGTACGATGATTGGTTTGGAAGATTCTGGCCTCCGAGACTACCGTCATTGCCGATGAGCTGGCTTGTGCTCATTGGAGTTCTATCAAGGTGCGAGAGTCCGGAATAGTCAATATTTCCGTTCGTGCCGTTCATGGCCGAGTGCCTTCGGGGTACTATAGCTACCTGAGGATACGGCATGGGAGGCCGTGGAGCCATGCCGTACGGGATCGTAGCATTGTGATCATAGTTATACGAAGATGCCGAAGTGTAGGACACCGGAGGTACCGGAGGTGGCAACGTTGGGCCTGCACTGTACGGTGGAGCATATTGACTAGAGCCTGTCCAAGATACCGAGTCAAAAGTATGCATGCTCGGCACCGAAAACGACCTTGATCCTCCGTTCATGCTGAAGCCGTTATAAGATGGGTTCATAACACCCCGGAAATGCGGTTCAGCATACATGACTTCATTATCGTCCACCGGGGCCCTAAAGCTGCTTGAAGATATGAGGGGCGCGCGAGGAGAAACGTCTCGCAGATTGGGGTCTTGGGTCGGAGTGCGAAGTTTGTTATGAATAACGTCGTCGATGTTGTAGTACGAAACAAGATGGTGCTGTATACCATTATATGTAACACTGATCGTCTTTTTTATGAGCCCATGAGGTCGAAATTGATACGAATCAACGAGGGAGCCGACGAGAGCTCGTTCAGCATCATTACGCGCGCTTGCCGTGCTATCAAGGTTTGACATAGAGGCTCCTCCATCGATCATAGCGCTGGCATAGTTGCCTACTGAGCTCGCCCTTGAGTGGCTACTGGATTTCGTGATCATCGAATCGGTCCTCTGTCGTTTCATAGCTCGTTTCTTCTCGCCTGGTTGGAAGGGCTTGTCGAGTTCGCGATACAAGAGGAAGTTTCCCAGTATGCGACTAGGGCTCCAAGGGACTCCATCTGTCCAGCGTCTTATTCCAGACGAGTGCTCCTCATACATGAAAACATTACCGCTGGCGATAAGCTCGGATCGCTCTCTGTCGTGGGGTCGTCTTGGTACGTGGCTAAGCCGACCACTAAGACAGGCTTCGAACAATATGAGGGCGTCCATAGTGCTTGAAATATAGCCATGGAAAGTTGGGAGTAGAGGGGCCCCCCCACCCCCGACGCCGCCAGCTCCTGACATGATGCCTCCAGTAGACATGATTGCCTTTGAAATTAGGCGTAAACTGCAATAGAATTTGAGTCTCGTTAGCTGAAATGCAAGCGGCAGCTTAATAGAGGAAAGCGTTTCGTATAATAGCCAAAAGCAGTGTCAAGAAGTGAAAGTAAACTATATCTCTGTAGAGATATTCCGGCACGTGGGTTGCTTCGTTTACCAAGTGTTCACGCTGCAGGACGCCCTGATAGAAAAACAGAAAGCGGTAGTCTACACCTTGAGACCTAGTCGCCTTGGAGAGTTAAGGTGTAGGCTGTGGAAGTAAGTGTTTATAGGGAAGCAAGGAAGAATCGCAAGCTTGAACGGAAAGTGAAGAGGGGTAAGAGTGTATAGTAAAATTTAATCTTACCTCGACTGAGTATTTATACTTTATTGTGAGACCAGCGTAGAAACCTAGGCCGGCAGAAAGGTTCACCAAATCTTGGCGATTGAGGAACTTGTTCCGATATACGGATTATATATATCGTGTAATCCCTTCGCTCCTGAGCTTGAAACTTGGCAGCTCTTTTCTTAAACCGCAGCGTAGGATATTAACTTATATGCGTGGATTTGTATATATTCTCTGCAATCTGGCGATGGTCGTCTAGACTGGAAGGCCGGTATGGAGAAAAAAAAAAGAATATGACTCTTGGCTTCACTTAGTAGGGGGAACGCAATGAAGGGTTGGTACGCGTTCCTGACTGTAGAATATTGGCGTTTCTAGCCCGAGCGAACCTTAATAAAGGTGGGAACGAAGGTAGGTAGACTAGGACTATGGGCGTCTTGTTGTATACTTGGAGCCCTCGTTTGACGGTAGGTAAATCTCCGGGAGACGTGTCGTGGACTAACAGGAATGGACTCACGACTGAGTTCGTGGCTGCCGCACCAGAGAGGTTATATGTGACCCCTCCCAACCTGTGCGTAGCTAGGTGAGCTCAAGTGGTGGTCCAAGTGGCACCACCGGCGTCTTTAAACTTTCAGTTGCTCAGAGGATTTGGGAACGGACCCCGAATTGCCGCGCTGCGGCACAACTTTTCTGACCTGCGTCGTCAACCGATGACCTCTAGGCGCTATATCGAATGACTCACGTTTTTGTGTTGAGGTGCTTCCAGGATCTAGACTGCGATGTCAAACTTCACGATAGTAAAGAAGGATAGCGGTACTATAGTGAACCGTTAAACCGACAACGGGTTCAACTTGTAGTATTTGAAGGTCGAATGAAAACCCAGGGGTTAAATGTGGCGTCAAAAGACACTGAGTTGAGGCTGTGAACTTTGTCGTCGAAATGGGAACTTTTTGGTGCTAATACTTGGAATCGGGATAATGGAGATATAAGTTGAAGCTTTCTGGGTGCCTATTATGCTGCGATTTCTGTATGCACCTAGAAATGAGAAGGTGGAATCGCAACACGTGAAATTTCACTTGGAACGCGACTGATATATTGGCCGACGTCGATGTTGCAGTGATAAAATAGAGTGACGTGATGTGATGTCCGAAATTGGGTAAATTGAATATCTGAGAAGGAACACTACATGTAGTGCAGGAGAGCAGGAGAGCAGGAGAGCAGGAGAGCAGGAGAGTGGATAGATAGAGACGGGGAAAGAATGGTTTAGGAGAGGATAGGAAAAGACGAGGTAGGTGGGAGTGAGCTACTTTCAATTGGGAAATACACCTATATATAGTTGACGGTTAGGAGGCTGGATAGTTCTTGCTTTGACAATCATAGCGGGAGGGGCTTTTGCTAAATGCGAGATGCTTTTTCTTTAGGACGTGCAGAGGGACGAGCAGAGGGTTCTTACTTTTACTATTGTTAACATGGAACGATATAGTCAAGTAGGTAGGAAGTAACTAGTTGAAGGAAAGAGGTCCCTCCGTTCAGGTAGTCGATGCTTGTAGTATATTATGAGGTAGGTAGGTAAGTATGGTAGGTATGGTAAGAGAACTAAGGAAAGATCACACAGCGCTTGCCGTTTCGTAGCTAGAAACTTTAGTTACCGCTGTGACACTTTTCTACTTTTATACCTTCTCATCCAACAATCTTTCCAATATCCTATCCCCGATTGAAGGGACCACGTCGTAGTCGAGGCTTTTTTTTTTCGCCTTCCGCTATCCTCCCCCAACTGCTCATCATTTCTGTTGTCATTCATCTTAGTGCGGTCCTCCTGTCAACCTACCATCCCTCCCCTGATGCCGTCTCCAAAGATTCAACAACTTTACTATAGACGAACAAGTACTTAAACGCGGACGCTAAATTAGAAATTCTACCCCAATGCACTAACATATCAGAAAGAATGGAATATTGGATCCCACTATCTTATTAGGGGTCAGGGATTTAGGGATTATGTACCCTATCACCTTTAATATGCATTTCTTACTATCGCCACCGCCGTATATGAATATCTTGTTTACGCTAATTCGAGATGCCTCACTTTCCTTAGGTGCTCAGATCGCCTTTCTTGTCTGTAACAATCCTACCGCGTGTGTGCGGGAACTCCTTAGTGTATTGTTTTTGAAGCACGATCTAGTCGATTGTTGTCACGAGGTGGAACCAAACAGCATGGAAACAACTTCGTTGTTCCGCGAGGAACTCTAGCCTATCTGGCGAGCTCATGGCTCGTATATACATACATGTTCTTTGTCCTAGATGTCTCATCTAGAATCCTGACAATCGTCTAACCTAGGTGGCTACTTTGCGCTCATGGATGGTACTCTACGGCCTCGGATTATTCTGTATGATCGAGGGCCGAGCAAGATGCGAACGGGCTGACGGTGTGGAGAGAGTACGTCAAGCTAAAAGTGAAGTAAATGTGATAGGCAGAGTCGGTATCCCTAAGGTAGTCCGAGTTAAGTCTAGAACTTGAGATAATCACATGCTATTACTTTGCTGCAGAGATATCCTAATTTACTAGTATGCCGTATGCCGTCTGCCCTCTATGTATCCATATTATATGTAATAGTCATTATGAAATATGGTGTTTTCTCCATGTGCGAAAATAAGGTACCTGGTATCTTTCTCTATTTGGTATTTATTACAAAAGGGGAGCCATAAGCAACCATCAGGTAGTTTATTAGATTATGAGAAAGATTACTAATTACATGAGGCCCCAGGGTTTGGGGCGGCAACGGTTGAGTTGTGAATGCCCAGGCTGTCAGGTAGATAAGTCGTACCCGCCACCCCTTATCGGCCTTAACGACTATGAAGTTGATGCAATGTGACGAAGGGATGATGGGTTCCTCATCCTAGATCCTCTACGTAGTTAAAATGATTGCTTGTGAATTGATTTCAAATCCCAAAGGGCAGCCAGCCAATTGGCATTGCGATGGCATCTTTGGTCTCGATTAGTTGCGACTGGCCATCTACCGACAAGGATATACAAGATTTAATACCCGCCATTTTCCGAATATGTAATGTTTAGGAAATATATCGAATAAAAACATAAAAGCTTCTATTAAGTGGGAACACATGTTTCGTCCAGTATATTTCCTCTAGCGACTAGTTTTAATCATCTATCGAAGAACTCGAATGAGATGAGCTTGGAAATGTTTGATTTCTTGTATATATAATAATACAGATATTTATGCCATGCATATTTAATCGTACCTGTCTTAGTTAAAGTCAATGTTGTCTATCCGGCCCGCCAAAGTTAAAACATTATTTCATATTATTTCATAGGTAGATAAAAGATATGCTATCCTTATAGGAGGACATTTGCACTTAGACTACTGACAGATAAACCAAGGCTACCCGTCGTGGATTATCCACTACTTAGAAGTCTGGATACCCTCCTTTGAGGCGGCGTATAGCTGCCGCAGGCCCGTCATCGATAGCCCAATATAAATTCTCATAGGTTTATCCCTGTCATTTCCTATGCAATCGTTCGTGAAGCCTAGGCTCGACTGTGACTTGGCCATGCTAGCCCTAACATGTGTCTCAGGCTTTGATCGCTATAGCTTCTACGACTCCGTAACGCCGGGTTAGAATGATTGGGCGAGTTTTGATATAATGGGTCGTATTAGTGCTAGTCTAGGCTAGGTACCCAGAAATAGGAGCTCTTAAGGTTCAAGCTTTACCTTAGGGCTTAGGTATACTACGGGGAGATCGCCTTATGGATGCTGTCTTCCCTTTCTACTAGTAGTTTGTCTAAAAAAGTCGCCGTTGTCGGGGAAGAGCTTACGATTAAAGATTAATGGGGTTACTGGAGAAATCGAAGATCTCGTGGAGTATGGGGTAATATCCAGCCTGGGATAAAAGATCGATGAAAAAGGGGTGCTATTCTATTTAGTGGTCTATGTGATCAATGACCCATACACCGTAGTGACGACGAACGGGGCCCAGACCTGTTCTGGCTCTCTTACTAGGTGGCCCCTATTAACGGAGGCGGCGGAACAAACCTTATTAGCAGACTAAACCTCTAGAGAACCAAGTACCTATGTAGGCGGCACTCCTACTTAGGTAGGAATTAGAATATGTGTGGGTGGCGAGTCACTAGGTATCTCACCTCTGCTTCGGAGTGTCTTGCTCTTAACTATTTCATATTTGCGAAGAGAACACATGTTTATACCGGCATCTAAAAAGCCGAATACTAAACATGCCCCAAGTAATCCTTGATAGTTGTGGTATGATTCCTGTATGATTCCTGCGTCATTTCGTTTATATCCTACATTCGCCACTTGTGCTGTTGAGTAAGTGTAGTTCCGATTCCAATTAGCCTTATCGGCAGATCGGTATCTCTCTTGACAGCTCATTGTTCGTTAATGCCTCTTGAATGCAGGTACAAGACCGAAAAACTGAAAACTTTATTCTTATTCTAAACCAACCGAGAGGTCGGTAGACTAATCAAAGAACGACCGAGGAACAGCCCTCGGCGAAAATGTGTCTGTGTGTCTGTGAAAATTACCCCTAAAGGGAATAGCTGATCACTAACCTGATAGCTAAATAGGTGATGGTTGAGAGCCTCTCGATCTGTATGGAACGGTTGCGGTTCAATGGATCGATCAAGCCGACCTAAGCAGCAGTCAGGACACTGACGAGTAGCATAAACCTTAATGATGCTGGAGCGACATGGTATTACCCTGGGGCCTGCGCTTCATTAGGTACTCTTAAACCCCTCAAATATTCCCATGTGAATGTAAGTATTAGTAAGTCTTGGGGGGCATCCTCGATTATCCCGTATGCAATTATCGTGGACCTACATTTATAACTCGATATCACTAAATTCTCTAAAATAAATAGGACTGTCACGTCATGTGCGTTCAACTAGAGAAGGGCGACAGCACGACGAACAACTGACTAGAAGTTGTGTGTTTGTAAATACCTATGTAGGGCGCGCCTCGAGACAAACAATGTTTTCAGAACTGATAACCTAGTGTTATTAGTAAAGTGATCACCTTTATCACCTGAGCTGAAGGCTGAAGCTACTCAACTAACCAACCTGGCGCGGATCACCCGCGATCCGCACTACGATCGCGGCGTTAGGATAGTATCCGGCCCGTTAGACGCTAAAAAACTGGCCTGCCGATTATACACTATTTACATTTTGGGATAGGTAGTCGACTTCAATCCAGTTTAACTAAAGGATCAATTTTCGAGGAAGAGCCAAGGACGTTTCGACTTGATGTCGCCGTATGCCTCGCCGGGAATGTTCATCGGCACTGGGATAGAGTCATTAAAATCGGACACGCTAGAAGGTCGAGACGAGTCTTCGCCTGGTTGTTGAGGCGAAATAGGAACTATAGAATCGGCAGTCAGCAAACGCCCTTTACACAAGGTCCCAATATTCATAATGCGCCATAAGGCTCCATTGATAACCCATATTTCCCGAGGAGGCTCAAAGGCGGATGAAGTGGGCTATGGGGCACTTTGACATATGCATGAACTTACCGATGACTCCGCACTCCCAGTTGCGACAGGTCAGTTTGGGGTTGCTAGTTCCCCTTTCTTTTGCCAGGCGCCCCCTATACATCAGAATTTCACATTAGTCAACACCTTTAAAATTCCATTACTATTAACTATTAACTTACCAGGCGCTCTCTGATAAATTTGCGCTCCCGACGTAGGCGAACGCAGCTTTTGACTTGTTCGAATCAGAGTGGTGGCGGACCAGCATGAGCTTGCTGTGGATAAGAAGGCCTGATCTGACGCTTTTGCAATCGCGAATCAGTTCACGAGGAAACGTTGCCGAATCCCACCATTTGGATTGGACACAGATGGTGCCCGCAGCCTGGAGGACCATTAGTCAGTATTGCGTCCTAGAAGCTCTTGAGTTCTGGTCAAAAAGCTTATACTCACATTCCTGCCGCCCCGACTTTGCACCACAGTTTCACGAGACGGGAAGTAGATTCGAAACTTATTCTTCAAGTCTGGCTTAGCTTGCATCGGGGCTTTACTTTTCCTGCCTTTGGCGTTTCTCATCCCATATTCTTTCATACCGTCGTCACCTATCTCATCAATAAAAAGACAAAAGGCAAGGGGGGGAAAGGGAGGGGAATATCGAGGGCGTAGCGTTACCTTGGGCAGCATAATATATTGCTGATAGAAAATCCATGTTTAGGGACCCGAGCGACGAGGCTAGAAAGTCAATTTCGACGTCTTCGGTGGTGTTGAGACCAAGCGATGTTACGGCTCGACCAAGCCCACAATATCCTATGAAGAAGTTAGCGTAAAGATATCAAAATGTTTATAGATAGAGCCTACCTGTTCGCTTCCACTTGTCATCCACGTGTGACCCTACGCTGCCCTGAGTTAGTCGTAAAAGTCGTGTATGGCAAGAGAGAGTGGCCTCATTAGATTCTTACATTGTGTGGACAAATCTATAACGATCCGCTTCTGTAAAGTCATAGTTCTTTAGACTGCTCACCAAGCTCTCCTCTAGGCCTTGGGCTCGAAGAAAATAGCAGAGCTCTTCGCCAAACGAGCCAAGCTTACTAGATGACTGTGATCCGGGATCTCTTAGTCGAGGAAGGTCGATGAGAAAGACCATGTTCTCGATAACCCCTGTTTCACCCCACTATGCGTTCGTATTTGTCAATGATACAACATGATACTGGGAGAAATAGTTATCAACTCACGTCATAAGGGACCAAATTACCGCTTGGCACGACCACTCGCAAGTATCCAGGGTACTTTAGCAACTGCAACTTTGAGTGCATGCTTCCCGTTGGCATCATGGGCGGGAAACAGAACTTGATGGCCGTCCCAGGGGGTACGTTGGCTTTTATCTCGTTTTGCTACAACATTACAACAAACCATTAGTTTTAGCTTTCTACAATTGAAAAGGTGAATCAACAAATCCGGAATCATACCTGTGCTTCGTTTGAAGCAAAAGCAATGCAGACGATCTTAGTCTTCCTGCAGTTAATTTTAGATAGCATCCACCGCTCATCCCACTGAAATGAGCTTATTACAGCGAGCTCAAGTTCGTCTTTTTGTAGAACTTCCTCGATTGTTATATCGTCTTTGCGAGGAAAGCCCTTCGCCCACGTCTTCTTCACGACGCCCTTTGGATATGGAAGATGAAGTTCGCTCTTATTAGCAGGGTTAGCTGTAACTGTGGATTTTATATCGAGCTTTGGCCTTTGCCTGCGACTCTGAGACTCGAGCTCTGAATCGGGAACTTTTCGCTTCCCTAATCTCGCTAGTCGTTCTTCTTCCATCTTCTTCCTATCCAATCCTAGAGCTGTAAAGCTACATGGAGTCGTGGAGTTAGATTGCTGAGAGACTGGTGATATTTCGGGCAATGGGGTAGATTGTGATTCGTGATTTACATGTTGCTTCTGAATTTCCTTTGTAACAGAGGGATATTTTGGTCCTCTGTCAAGATCATCATCGTCCCCGTCGGACTCGATTTCAATAGGGTTTTTAGACGAGGGATTATTGGCGTCTTGCAACGATAAAGCGATTGCGTAGCGCAAAGCAGCATCCTCGTCGCCCCCAAAAGCGTCAAGTCCGTCCATTTAAAGAGTCGAGAGTCAAGAAACATTCCAATAATGATAGCAAGACGGATTCATTCTGTGGAATAACGGGGGGTAACAAGGGGATTTTGCTAGGAATCGCGTTAACGTGGAATCAATCGCGCCGGAAACGTTAGGTGAGCGCGAAATCACGTGCACTGAATTATTGGAAAATGACGTCACTTCAAAAGTCAGTTGCCTGAGACGAAGGGGGGGGAATACCTAGGTACTTTATTCTCACAGAGTTAAAACATCAGGTATAGAAAACATATAATTCTTGTCCGTTTCTAAAAGTAACATTTGAAAATAAATTATTAGTCAATTCTGATTGAGCATGAGCGTGGCTTTGGTATTAGAAAGCAAACAGACAGACTTTCAAGGCTGCAAGGCTACATTAGGTACATACGATCACGAGTGTGCAACATAAATAGGTATCTGATGATATATTGCGACCAAGAAGGTCTGTTATATTGAATAGCTCCAGGTCTTTACTGTATAGAATAAGCTATAAGACCGGCGGCTACTGGGATATATCATCAGAAAATTTTTATGACTTGTCCATTTTTCCCCTCCCGTGTAATGCTGTGTCGGCGCATCACTACGGATGCCCAAACAACATTCCTCAGTTTAACCTCTAGAAGCCACCGCCGTCTCGAATCGTCGTCTCGTAAGTGATGACGAGATAACAAACCGTCCAAACTTGGGCATCCTTTCGTACCGAGTTTCCATGCCACCTCCGTGCACCGGATCTGATCCCCATCCGTCTAGAATCTGAACCCAAGATCTGACGCCAATTCCGACGAGTAGGGCGGGTCCCAAGACTCCAACCCACCAACGAGGAAAGGTTTCCGAAAGTTCAAGACATAAATCGCCGATGCACCAGCTATTATCTCAGGCTATACCGAGCCTTCCTCGGGCCTCATATGCCGTAATACATTGTTGATTGATGAAAGTAATAGAAAATAAAAATGGACAGGGAAAGAAAAAAAAAAAGACTGATAATGCATTTCCCTAGACCGTCTTCCTGTATGAAGTCTAGATGTCGGAAATACGCGACCATGACCGTCCCTATGTACCATAGCTGGGTTGACACCGCCTTCCTTAACAAGAACAAAAAAGGAAAACAATATGTGATGATGAGTGATTGTAAAACAGATATAAAGGGAAGATAATGTGAAGAATGGCCATAGCCAATTTGATGCTGGAGAAGATCCAGTGTCCGTTTACCAACGCCTATAACACCGGTTTGAGAGTCTCAGCTTACTAGCTTACAGAGGAAAGTAAAGTCGGTTAATGTAACGATAGGGCATGGCTCGAATTAAGTTTGAGTATCCGACGTAATTCATCTTCCATCGAAGTAACTTCATCGGGGCGGTAGGACGTGAGTTGCGCATCTACAGGCGGAGCTGTGGTTTGCCCGTTTTGCGCGCTAGCCGTCAGAACCGACATGGGAAACATGCCGCGAGGTAAATGACGTGGTGGGGATTGTGGAGATTGACCCTGAGAAGGCCGTATTTGTTTAGATGGCTTGTGGTGTTGCGGAGAATGATTCTGATCAATTTGACTTGGTGGGCCGGAAAGTTGTCGTGAGGATTCCTCGTTACCATCTAGCCGACCCGTAAAGAGATAACGCTTGAGATCATCGTAATGATTAACGTCCTGGCTCTGAAGTACTTTGTTGGTAGACCGTGCGGAGGATTGGCTTGATCGAGCAGCTCGCATGCGCTCCTGGTAGGGGGTGGAAAAGGCTGGCCCGACTGGTTCACCAGGATTTCCGTCCAGCTCATCCGCGGAAATGCCCAAGACGGTAGCACGCTTTTGATAATGAGGGCGGCGCGTCTGGTTGGGTGTCGCTCCTAAGGGGGGGTATGTATAAAATCCTTTTGGAGATTGGTGAGATGGTGAGGGCGAACCCATATTGATCGCAGCAGCGTGAAAAGAACTAGCGCGGCGTCCTCCGGCCTTCTCTCTCTCGGCTCGGTCAGCACGGAAGAAGAGCTCCAAGGGCGACTCGGTGGCCCGCGTGATCGGACTAGGAGAGCTGGCCTCGTCCGAGTCGGATGTCGTGCAAGAAAGCTCTTGTTCTGGGCTCGAAGCAGCTTTTATCCCCGGGGAATCGGGCTCCGATTTATTGAGGAAGCTCGGAATTGGCAGTGCTGACGGCGCAGGCGAGGCATGAAATGTGGAGCCTGCGAATATAGGAGCCGGGGGACTCGAAGGGTCTGGGTTGTTTCGGCCCGGCGAAACAGCTCCATCGTTCGCGTTGGGCTGTTTGTTGTTGTTGTTGTTGTTCTTCTTCTTCTTTTTGCTGCGCTGTTTTTGACTTGTCGAACTGGCACGCAACACCTCGACTGCTTCTGAGACGGGTGTGGTAGGGTTGCCATCATGGCCGGATTTGTATCTGGGAACATCGTTCTCAGAAGCATAGGTCGTCTGTTTGGGGGTGTTGCGACTCCGACCGCCCTGACGGCGACGGTTAGGTGTCTGCTTTTGCTGTAGTCCCTCTTGCATGCTTCGGAGGCATGTATTTGGAAAAAGGAGTAGTGATGATGGTAGTATAAAGTTCCGAGAGACTCCAAAGGTGAGTTGGTGACTTCGCGGGTTCCAGGAGATTAGAGTCAGTGCGACGACGTAATGCGGGGTGGAGACAACGAAGATGGGAAGCAAAGGGGAAGTGAAGTAATCTGTCTAGCTACTTCTTTCGCAATCTATTTGGATTAAACAGGAGGTCGGCGTATTGTTGACGAGAAAATTGTTCTTCTTGATGGAAAGTGTGACATCCGTAGGCTGTGGCTTGTGAGATTTTCAACGTTTCTGTACATATTTGTGTTTGATTGTTGATTGAGAGAGAGATTGGAATTGGATCGTCTTTTCCCAGGGAAAACACTTGAGTGACTAGGTCAGTGGAGTCGTCGGCAGCGATAGCCATCCAGTCACAGAACAGGAATCAATATTGGGTACGAAGGTCCGGGCCAAAAGTCTTGCACATGTGGAGGTTCCTAGCACCGTATTTGAACGTCATCCCTTTCTATTAATACTGTATCAGCCACCTGCTAAAATAAAATTCAGATAGTGGCTCGTACGCTAAGTTTAGATGGTTTACCACTATATTTATAGCGGCATTAGCCACTACAGCTTAAGTAATACCGTGCGGTCCTTTTTAACTCACACGTGGTTTGCCAACATTAAATGTGCAAGACTTTTAGCCCGGACCTTCGTACAACATAACGTGACACATGTGTGGCTGTACACAGTGTACGTATGTGTCTTGCTGATGTAAGGAGCATGGCTCTATTTTATTGGTAAAAGCCTAGCGTAATATCAATCGACCTTGTCGCTACTCCAAGTCTTTAGAGAATTTACTCAAATTATAAGTAACTCTAAAGTATCTATGTATTCCGTTGGCCATCATGGTAGGTAGGTACCTAAGTACATAACTGGAGGGGCATTTGCACAGCTCAACTTCCCTGACGCGCATCCAGCTATCCCGCTATCCCGCAACCTTGAAGGCTCCAAGGACTTTCTACCTTCACATTGCCTTACAATCGCGCATTGAAGTAACCTAGGAGCAACAAGAAAAAAAGAACAAAGCCTTAGTCGTATTTACTGTTTTGTCTGCTTTACTTACTACAAAAAGCATTAGTAGATCCGTAAGGCAACCTCAACTTTAGCATTTCTCCATACTCCCACGAACCCGCAATCTAGCACGATCTAATCCAATCAACGGTACTACGTCCGGCTCTATCACGATAACACACCTTCATATCACAACGACTTCGGACCAATATAGACGTTATGGCTGATGTCGATATGACCGATGCACCCAGCACCTCGGCTGTCGTCAAAAAGGACCGCAAGGGCGGTGACGCTGACGGAAAGAATGATGGGAAGAAGCGTTTTGAGGTAAAGAAGGTAAGGAATAATCTAACTAAACTATTTTAGCGATGTGCTTGGGCTAATATCTGATACCTAGTGGAATGCCGTGGCGCTTTGGGCCTGGGATATCGTTGTCGACAACTGCGCTATCTGCCGAAATCATATCATGGATTTGTGTATCGAGTGTCAAGCCAACCAGGCTTCCGCTGCGAGTGAGGAGTGCACTGTAGCCTGGGGCATCTGTAACGTAAGTTGAAGTAACGATTAACTACCCTTCTCAGACTGTTAACTAATACTGTGTAGCATGCCTTCCACTTCCACTGCATCTCAAGATGGCTCAAGGCACGACAAGTCTGTCCACTGGACAACCGAGACTGGGAATTCCAAAAGTACGGCCGCTAAGTGGAGGAGGATATTTTATTGAAGTCGATATCGCACGGGCAACCCCGACCATCGCCGTCCACCTAAAGTTGTGATATCACCGCCTAGAAATCACAATCACAAGAATACATTCATATCACATGTGAAAGATTCGGAATGGTACTGCGGAATAGATTGTATTACTCGGACTACAACATCTATGTCCAGTACGTTTCTGCTAAACGGCAGAAGTCCATAGCTAGTACGCCTTCGAGGCGCAAATAAAACAACAGTTTATTTCGTAAAGAGTTTCTCATCAATAACTATGTTCTGCTGTGTATTCGTAATTGCCGGGTCGCCTCCGACGGGAAGCCATTTGACGGGGTGTCTATTGAAAAAGGGCCAGGGAGGAACAACGAGTAGGAAGGTGAGTGCTGTACCAGCAAGGCCGATCTTGAGGGCTAGAGCTATGTCTTGGAGAAAGAAGCCGACGAGAAACGAAATTCCCTATTTAATAATAATGGTTAGTTAATTGTCGCAAATGGGAATAAGTAAGATAAAAGAGCGGATTTTCTCGTACTCCGACAATCGAGAGGACAACTGTCGCTAATATTTCGGCTAGCTTCTGGCCTTCAAAGTCCTACAGATAATAATTGGTCAATCATAATGTCTTATGCCAAATTGATTAAAGAGTAGGTAGATTAGGTAGATTAGGTAGTTACGAACAATTTGGCCATCCACCGCGTCTCTTACTTGATCCAGTAGTTGTTCCGCCATCTTCTGGTATTGAGGGACTTGCCGTTTAGGAGGTTAACAACAATTTGTATTAGCGGAAGTTGACGTTGTGGTGGATTTCTAAGATGCTTACCTGGCAGGAAGCAACTTGGTGAGGCTGTTTGGGGTGCGTGGTACCTTGTACGTGACCTTATACGTGGTATCCAATCAGAAAGTGGAGATAATGTATTTCTAGCCTCCGTGCCCCACTTTACACGAGCTACCTTATGTAGTAACTAAGCCACATCGAAACATCAATGGATCCAAGTACTTTTGATATCTCTTTGGCTCTTTGACATAATCATACTGGAGTCTTTATTAACCTAGACTTTTCTTTACTTTCCTACTTCGTGACTCTCCTATATTGTGAATTAGGCACCTATATATTAATTTCACTGTAACAACTCATGTAAAATAATCAATTCTTTCGCACGATCTTATCCGCTTACAGGAACAGTATCTTCCAAGCAATATCAAATTTACTGTTTACCTAAGCATCTTGTAGGTTAGAAAGTACTGTTTGCTTAAATCTCCAATAGAATGAATAGGCATTGCAGTACGTAAGGTGGATATAAAATATAAAGAGCAAGTCATGCCAACCTTACCTGCCCCTGCCCTACCTGCCCTACCTGCCTTACCCGTACGATAGTATGTACATAGTGTAGTACATGTGGGTCAGTAGATCTCAAAAAGTCGAGATTTCCTGCAGGAATTTTCGCCTTTCAACTTTGAACGTTAATCCCCCTCTTGCATGACTGGCCCCGGCAATAATTTTTTTTAGGGCAGCCAAGGCCAAAGCTCAGCTAATCATCTCATTATTAGATGCTTTAACCTAACCTACCCCTTCTCTTTTGACGTCTTCTTTTAACATCAACAAAAATTCTTTCCTCAGATTCTTCCAGCAAACAATACACTGCAATTCCCATACGTCTTGCAAACTACTGCGTATGCGGTCTACTTTTCTAGTGAATCACACTGTTTCATCAAGATCTTCGCATCGGACGATCTCTTGATTCGGCTTTCAATTCAATCCCAGACTCATAATATTTACGCTTATCCGCGACACCCTTTGTCGATCCTAACATTGGTCACTTTCAAAAAGGACTTCACGTCTTTACCAGCACGAATTCGTCGAGTCGCATAACAACAATCCATCTCCCTACCCTCCACTCAAACAAACACGTGCTAGTTAACGACCTACTCGACGTTATCTAAACCAAACGAGATTCTTGAGGGCTTTACGAGCTGCGCTATTTCTTTCATCACACCAAGCTCTCCTTTGCGGTAAATACCGCCACCCTCTCGGAAACCACCAAATTGGCGGGCCTCAGCTGTGATCAGTTCTCATTTTCCCGACCGCTTCTCGGCCCCGTTTGCTGGGTCTACAGCGGCGTCAACAAGAAGCCACCTTAACTTTACCGACGCGCCTGCTATTTTGACTTTAAACAGTCTATCCGCCCAACACTTTTTTAATACGACTCGGTTATTCCCGGAACCTGGTCCAGTTATTCTCCGGCATTGGCTTGAACGTCACGCCGAAGTCACCTTTGCAGTCGGCGTGCTGCCACGCCTGCTGCAGATTACTGATGCTGCTAGGCTGAGTATGTCTGCCTTCCCTTGATCAGCACGCGGAAGGCTTTCCCTCGACCGGTATTCAATATTTGGCCGAGTCAAGCTTATTGAATCAATATAGAGCAGCGCTCTCATACCAACAGCTTCGGCACCCCGAGTAAACTGTAGAGGAATTGGGATAATTTTGCATCATGTCTGATCATGAGGAAATTGCCTCTGGCTCGGGTTATAACACCCCCGTCCCAGAGCTTGACGACCACCGCCACCAGATTTCATCCGCTCAAAAGCCTGAGCGTCCTCGCCGCGGCACTGTTGATACCCTATATGGGTCCCGCCAGCATCTGCAGCCGGCTGCTCCCTATTCGCCTTCCGATGTTCGAGTACGAGATTTCGAAGAAGCAGTACTCGACGAGGATGATGAAGGCGTATCCCCGTTGACATCTCACAGCCGCAGGCCTACTTTTAATTCTACCAACGAACAGCAGCGTGCCGTGTCTCCCCCGAACTCGGTCAAAGCATTTGCTGAAGCTCGCCGCCGCGAACGTGCCCTCTCCATCACAGATGCTCGCGCGCAAAAATCTGAGGAGGGTGAGACTCTTCAGCGGACTTGCTCCTCTACCAGCCGTAACAGCCGTATAAGCCAACGCTCCGGCCGTAGTAGGCCTGGTACCTTTCTTGCCGATGATGGAGCCAGTTTAGCAACCAACAAAACTGCGGAGGACGATGTGTGCTTTCCCGTGCAAGAAGAGCATCGCCGCGACCAGCTACATATCGATTTTGACTACCTTGAGAACTTCATCGCATCTGAAAACGCTGCACGCAAGGAAAGCTTCGACGCCCAAGAGGCCGTTCGAGTATTCCCAAATCTAAGACAGAATACGGTAACTCCTCCTCCGCCCATGATTACCGTCGATGGCGACTTCATCAATATTCCATCCGGTTCGTCGGATGTCAACCACGAGAAAATGCCACAGGCGCCCGAGATACAAGAAGCAATGCCGAAACCGATCGATAAGGAGCACCTAGACCCTAACCGCTTCAGCTTTTTCTCTTCTGCATGGGAATCTACTATCCATGCCGCCGAATTTGGAGACCTGGTCCTTCCCGGCGAAGACTTGCGCGGTCTCTTTACTCTGCCTCGGGACGAGCCGGATGGCGTATGGTGGTTGAACGTCAACAGGCCTTCCGAAGAGGAGGTTCGGGCTCTATGCAAGGCCTTCGGAGTACATCCCCTAACGATCGAGGATATCACGACTCAGGAGCCCCGCGAGAAGATTGAAATTTTCCCATCGTATTATTTTGCTTCGTTTCGGTCTTTCAACGTCGTCCAAGACGATGACGGTCCCGACTACGAACCGTATAATATTTACGTCGTGGTCTTCCGCGAAGGTACTCTCAGTTTCAGCTTTCTGCCAAACACCCACGCCTCTCTAGTCCGAAAGAGAATCTCAAGCCTGAAGGATTACGTTTCCTTGAGCAGTGATTGGATCTGCTACGCTCTGATGTAAGTACAAGCTGTAACTTAAGATCCGCAGGCATAGAAATACAGAGATGTTGACATCATTCGCAGTGATAACATCGTCGATTCATTCGCTCCCGCGATCGATAGGGTGGAGTCGCTCACCATGTCTATCGAAGATTCGATCTTTGTCGCCCGGCCAACTGACAACAATCTGTTCCTACGCAAACTCGGCAACGTCCGCAAGAATACCCTGGCTCTCATGCGAGGACTCGGTGGCAAAGCGGACATCTTAAAGGGCTTCACTAAACGCTGCAATGAAGACTACAAAGTCACGCCACGGATGGATATAGGCATGTACCTTGGCGACATCCAAGATCACGTCGTCACGATGATGACCAACCTCACTCACTTCGAGAAGATTCTATCTCGCGCTCACAGCAACTACATCGCCCAGTTAACCATGGATAGTATTACGCAAGGAACGGAGACCAATGCAGGACTGAGCAAGATCACGTTTTTGGCTACTATTATTGTCCCGCTCAACGTCGTCACGGGTCTATTCGGCATGAACGTCCACGTTCCTTTCCAGGATGACGAGAACATCACCGCCTTCCTCGTCATCCTAGGATGTCTTATCTTCTTCTGCACAACGTGTCTAATCATCGCGCGCAGGATACGGCTTATCTAGAGGATTTAGTCAAGCTTGCGACGCTAAGGCACGTAAGTAGCCGTAGAAGATAGACTTAAGTTCCCACCCATACTTCAACGTCATTATAAGCCGATAGTACCGTAGGTCTAGGCGGCAGAATACCCAGTCAGCAACGCCATCGAAAAAGAGAAGCACATATTAGAGGACTCGACATGTTGGCCAATAGCCAACCAGTACATCCAGAGTTATCTCAGATTTTTATTACCGCGAGGGTTACACACATACATCAAAATAGAGATTCATAAGATAGAAACAATACTGGCAGCAGCAGAGGCTGGCTTCGGTTGCGATCATCTAGTATCGACAAGTCAAGAGCAAATCGAGAGGAACGGACCATCGTTGGTGTCGCAGCCTAGTGATGCACTAGGCCAATTCATCCGCGAGGCAGAGTCCCTAGGATTTCGTAAATATATGTTATGGCATAGTCGAAGCTCTCGCCTATGCCGTACTATAGCTTAGTTACTATTAATGCGAAGATTTTCTTAAGCCATCTGCTGTGACCCCCTGCAGCCACTCATTTTTCGTGGCTTTCAACAGTAGAAGACTATATCTCGTCATCACGCAATCTACGATAAGTCAATTCATGAGGTGCGAGTAGCTCAACAATAAACCGCCGGGAAGCAGGCACAACCGTTGAGGGGTTTAAGGGATTTATCTCTACGTCTCCAAGAGACAAGTTGGTACGATTAGGCAATAAGATGATGCCAAGTATCGGATAAGAGTTCTTTATTTTAAACATCCGATAGCTGATAAATCACTTATTAGATCGGGGGAAATAGTGTCTATCTTGAGTACCGTGGTCAGGCTGAGCGAGATCGTGGTAGGACGGGAAATCCCTACTCCTGTTATTGTAACTACTTACCCCTTTTAAAGTACCTAGACGCGATTCCGCCCTCCAGCCCCCCTAGTTAGCCCTAATATATAGATGCTATATAATAAGCAAACCGATCTTGCAGACTTAATTGATTCCATTCATATAGGAATGAGTACCTGGCTAGGTCCTGTAAAAATCCAACATATTTCTGTGGATAAAATACTCCTATCACTTACTTGCCCAAACCTCTCTTCGTCCGGCACCTGGACTCATTCCCCCTTCGTATGACTTACGAGTTCGATATGATGTGCAATTTTGATGCCTCGAATGTTGTTGTAAGTAAACTGACCCGCTGAGAGTCTATACCAAGGGTTAGAGCTCCTTGGATAACAACCAAGTTGCTTTCATCCCTTTGGTTCTACTTCGTGACAGCAGGACTCTTGACAGGATTGGGTTCTTAGGCTGAAATGGTACATTTATTGGTTATTTCAAATCCGTACTCTTAGCCACTTCCTCCCATTCATCACAGACCTTCAACATGTCCTCACACTTGGCCCTGATCCTTTCCCAGGCATCCGTCCCTAAAGGAACCCGAAGTGGTACAGTCTTACCAGCCGCTACGCCAGTGCCTTTTACCAAATCAATCATGACCGAAACTGCCTTGGAAGGATCTCCCGGCTCATTGCCGACTATGCCAGCTTCGGCAGCTCGCACAGCAGTATTGAAGCCGGCGTAGTCTTGCTGGCGTGGGTCTACGTTCCTTATGTTCTTGAAGGCGCTCGTGCGAAAGTAACCAGGCTCGACAATCAATAACTTCAATCCCGGAGCGAAAATGGCAAGTTCTTTAGCGAGACATTCGATCGCACCTCCAAGGGCAAATTTAGATGAACAATACCCAGCAGCGCTGGGATCAGCATGCCACGCTGCTTGTGAGCTTATGTATAGAAGCGTGCCTGTTCCTCTGGCTCGCATTTGAGGCAGAAGCGCGCGAGTAATGTTCAGCGGACCGTGAAAATTAGTCTTGAAGACATTCTCCATGTCTTCCTGTCTGCCTTCTGTCAGCGGGTCACAATGTGTAATTAATCGCACTGGTATCTATGATAAGTATACCCACGTCAATTCTTCGATGGCGCCGCTTAGAATATAGCCGGCATTATTAACAACTACATCAATACCGGACGGGTACAAATTCCAAGCATCAGCCATCTTAGCCGCAATAACGTCTGGTGGCGCCGCCACGTCGAGGTCCAAGATAGTCGCCCCAGTATCTTTGAGGTGAGCAAGCCTTTTCTCGGCATCGCGACCAGTGGCAATGACATTGTCTCCCTGCTCGCGAAGTTGGCGCACAAATAGAGCACCGAAACCGCTGGAGCAGCCGGTAATTAGCCAAGTCTTGGGTATTTGAGCCATTGTGTCGTATGATTTTACTGAGTAGCAATATTTTTATACGGCTTTGAAAGGATCAACTACCCAGGTAGTCAAGATAGCCGTAGTTAATGGTAGATGGTAGATATTTATAATCATCTAGCCGAGAAAAGAGCGGCTTATTATACTGTACTAGCTTATAAGATGTATGTAGAAATTAATAATATACCTCCTACCCTATAGGTTGTGACACCACATGACCAAAAGGTATCTTGTAATCACATAAATGTCATTACTTAATACCTTATGCGATAGTATGTACCTATAATTAGACAAAGGCGGCTATCGGACATATCATTTATTCTCACTTACAAAGACTACAAGTCAGCACGATAAATACTTTTTTTAGGTGGGATATGGATAGATCTTAGAAGGCAATTACCTTAGTGCTATTTTCAGGGCCACTCTTAGAGGGGATTTGAATCACTGTGAAATTTAATCCGAGTCGGCTAAGGAACTTCGTTTTTGCTAGTTAATGGCTATCTAGAACAAACATTGAGATTACATGGTCTCGTTTTAATATACTGAGAATAATACATAGGTTTTTTGCTACCAAGCTGCCTCCTAGGTAGACCTCTCGATATATTCCTTTACATCTCTATTATAGGAAACTCAAATAGTATTGTGTGAGTTAGAGGCACAATTCAATAGTAACTGTTACACCCAGAGCTATACGAATGACCCGAGACTTGATCCAGAAAATCGCTTAGGAGAAGGAACGGGAACAGGTGTTGAAGGTCGCGAGAAAAAAGACGAGTTTCAGCTTTACTGCCGACTCGTGAGTGAGGTGCATGGGCCTGTAGTACAGTTTAAGCATAGAAAGGACGCAATTGCACAGGGAAATATGTTCGTCCCAAGCAGCTACTGCTTTACCTGGTGGTGGCTATTTTCTACCCCATTCTAGTGGGATAATTTCCAGCTTGCCTAAGTCCTTTCAATTTCTCATATTCGTTATGTTGTAAGACTTAACCAGACCACTTAAGTAGATGTTTTAGATATATATACACTGAGAAAACAAAAGTCTTCGTGCGCTCCCCGTTTTACACCCAAACTCATACACTTATACAAGGGATATAAAATCCAAATAACATAACAAAATATCATTTTACCTCTAATTAAATCTTTTAAAACCAAATTAATTATCTTATAAGTTATTTAGCCATTAAACCCTTTTATCATATAGTTATATAGCATGTAATTGAAATGAACGTAAATCCCTGCAAATCTCACACTGAACGAGCGCACGAAGCTTTATTGTATATATTTAGAAGCAAAAACGTGAAAACTCATATCATTCTGAAATTTACTTGAAGAACTCGAACATAACTGGTAAATTAATGAACATATGCTTGAAGAAGTATATTAAGAAAAAATAATTTTGGCTCCAAGTTGGTGTACCTCTATTCCTCGTCACATAGTGTATGCATCATTGGTGTCGTAAGTCATACTTAATCAAGACGTAATAGGTGATAAGAACCAATCAAAGTATCTAACCAATAAGTGAATTAAATAAGGAATATGTTCTAAGAACCCGATTTCCAGGCCTGCTTTGAATGCTGAACTCGTAAATATTTATTACAAGTTGCCGACGACTTGATCAAGAAATGATTCGATACCCAGCATCCCCCCTTTTGAGCTTCTCTTCCATCTCACCAAGACCACAACGCTCGCGACGAGTCTTACCATCTCTCCGCTCATTTTCTGTCAACGCAGTAGCAAGGGGCCCCGTCCTAAATATACTCAAACACGACCATCACGAGCTAGGAGCATACTACCCTCATATCGTCGGCGACAAGAGCGCAGACGAGCGGACCAGATACCGGAATCTCTTCGTGTGGGAGTTAGCACGGCACTCCGTAGCCGAAGAGATAGTTATTTATCCGGCGATAGAAAGACACGTGAATAACGGGCGAGACATAGCAAGCAAAGATCGCGATCAGCATCAGAGCGTATGCAAACGTTCCAAGTCACCACTCGTTATCTATCTTCCCAGCAAGGAAAGAAGGGAGAGAGGATTCTTAAGTGTGCAAAACTCGCGTATAATAGTGCTAACGGAAAGTGGTTTTATACCCGTATAGATAAAGGACCAATTATATCGCCTACAGAACCTAAAGGCAGAAGATCCGGACTTCGAGCCGACGATCCGGAGCCTATTCTCCAATCTCCAGCAACACGTCAAAGAGGAGGAGGAACATGACATACCAGAACTCGAAGCCAAGCTCGACGAAGACTCGCTGTTACGACTGAGGAACTCTTTCGAGCGCACCAAGTCCCTAGTCCCTACACGTAGCCATCCGCGGTTGCCTAGGACTCTGCCGCTCGAGGCGGCCGCGGCCCTACTGGTCGCTCCTATTGATAAAGTTGGTGATATTTACCGGAAGTTCCCCAAGACAGACGGACCTATGCTATGATTGATTGGCTGGAGCATCGACTGTATGATGAAAGAAAGACGCCGAAAGCAATGATGATCTATATACTTTTAGTACTACATAGTTAGTAGTATCCCTTGAAAAGTTTATATAATTCGAATCAGCCATATGATAAATATTTGGCGTCGATAGCCACAATCTATAGAAGACTTCTTATCGAGCACTAACTACGGCATTTTAAAAAGGGGTACCTACTATACCTGATAATTATATTCTTCCACTTTAAGTCGGAAGTTGGTTTGGTCGGTCGAAACGGCTAGGGAGAACAATCAGACTCAGGTAGGAAGACGTTCACTCAGATAATTATGTAGCATATTCCTACTGATGATCCATGTATACGGCTTCGTTATAAGAGTGCATCAGTCGGGACGATCTACCCGGCAATGGACGGGGCAGGGGACAACCGGTGTCGTCGCCAGGCTTGGTAACCGGCGACCAGATATTTGAGAATGAATTTCGCGTACGCAATCGAAAACTTCAAGTAATCATTGAATCTAATCTAAGCTAAGACTAGTATTTATCTCATCAAGACGTGGCTATTTAATAGAAATCATACGCATCCCTCACATCACGCAAGATTCCAACAACCCGCTAATCCCACCAATATCCCCCAAACTACCAAACCGCACAAGGCCTATTGCAGGCCGAGACTACGAAGTCTATCCGTAAGTATGCTGAGTTGCATCTGATTCTCGCCGTCTACTCCCTCCGCCTTTTGAAGCTTCTCCGCCGCGGCTACCAAGGGCTCCACAAACCGTTGCCCCACCGCTGCTCCCATACCAGCCGGCACGAGCTCCTTAAAGCCGGTAAATAGAAAGTAGGCGAAGTTGGCAACTTGTAGGAGGAATAGGTTGTTTTGAGCCCAAAACTCAATCAGCGCCTCGGGGCTCGATTCGTTCAAAGACAACATGTCGGGGAATAAGAAATATTGCAGTCGTTCAATGACGTCAGGGGAAGAAAACTGATTGGATCGCTTGCTTTGCCTGGCAGCGATGAGCTCTTCTTTTAGCCACGTGATGGCGCATGCTTTGAGGGACGCGAACATGCAGTTTTCTAATAGATCCTCGAGGATTTCTAACCGATTATGATCGTCGGGCTCGGAGTGGAGAAGAATGCCGGCAAAGGACGTGGCGGCGTTCCTGACTTGAATGTCGGGATGAAATACTGAGATGAGGGTCAAATTATGGTGATAGGCCATTAAATTCGTATAATCTTCAGCTTTTACTAGTTTCCGATGTTCGAGTCCGAGTCCGATAGCTAGTAAAGCATCGGCGATTCCCGGACTGGCAAGAATCTCCGACTGCATTTCCCTGCCGAGAAATCGCCCGAGTATCGAGGCGTGGTCCGGGAATATGTGCATCTCGGGCCAAGGGCTATCTGAGCCGAAGACGTCCCTCGAGAATAACCAGTAGGCGATAAGGCACACGGACCCACCCGGGGAGTAGTGTATATCGTCCGCCGAGGAGAAGTCGTTGAAAGCTGCGAGGGGGTCTCTATGTACTGGACCTTCGGAAATGCTTTTTACGAACTGTTTTGAGCAATTACTTAGACCGAGATCACGTAGTAAGGCCTAAGAGATGTTAGCTCCAATGGAATACTGAGTAGGAGGAGAGATGGTGGGCAAACTTACAACAAGATGGCCTACTACTGCGTCCCGCTTTTGCAGCTCCTCATTTTCCCTGAAAGCCTCAATTGTCGTCTTCTTACCTGGGACGTTCTTTTGCGGGCTGTATACCTCGAGAAGTCGAGGTGACCATAGCATGTCGTATGCATTTACATATCGCTGTAAGATACACGTGACAAAAGCTTGCAGTAGCTTTTGTTGCATGGCTTCCTCTTGCGGATCCTCCTGCTCAGCCTCGGGATCGGGCGCATTCTTAGAATCATCTCCGTCCTGATCGGGATTGGCCACGTTAATGCTAGATTTCCTAGAGGGTAGAGGCGGCCTTTTACGGCCTGAGAGCGAATAGACTAGATTTATTACGGAGGCAGTCATCTCCGGTGTGGGCTGATAGGCCTCGAACACCTTCACTAGCGATGGCCCCAGAAATCGAGAGGGGTACTTTGTCTTGATACGCTGGTGAAGAATCGCGAGCATGCCAAGTAGAGTGATGAATTTCCCCGGTATTTTGGAGTCCGGGATGACTCCGGGCTCCTCCACATCGACGACTACTTCGTCATTCCAGGCGACAGTAAGACCCTCTAATGCCTCCATAACCTTGATGACGACTTCGCGGGGGTTTCCCAAGCGGGCCACCGTCTCGAGACATGTTTCCGAGCCATCGATGTTCAGTAGCATCTGCACCAGATCCCAACCAATTTCTTGCGTGAGATCGGCATCTTGGAGGACTTCATTTAGGGCGGGTAAGATTTCCGGAGAGGTAACATGGTATTGGAGGATAGTGAGATATGTGAAGCGATCTTCCTTGGATGCTTCTTGTATAGCCTTTATGGATTCCGACAGTTCAGACATGTTAATGTAATATTTGGCAACATATATAAATATATAATGCGTGCCGTCTCGTCGAAGTGGATTGGGTAATTGGTAATTATGGTAAGAGATGGACACGGCGGGTTAGAAACGAGGCTTTGTGGCTTGATGTTGAACAAACTGGATGTTTGTGGACTCGGACTGGCTGGAAGCTGTTAGCCTTAGTTGTAGGTAATTCCAATGACGTGGGTGAGGGGACAGTGTAAACAGGTACAAAGAACAGTGTATACAGTCCCACAAAAAAAGTGCGTTTCCCTTGCAGTAGCGCCCGCATCTCGCAACTTCCAGGTATACAGATACAGTGTGAAAAAGATGCAGTTATCCGTTCGTGATCGTCTTCTCTTAACTCCTACAAAGTAATTCGTAGGCAGATCAGGAACCTATCTTAATCATAATCATACCCCTTTTACTATAGTTACTAAATACCGAAACTCCGAATGGTCAACTTCACCCAAGACTTCATATTGAAACAATGTTCACTTCTCGGTTCTCACATCTCACTCAAAATTACAACTCATCCAAGACATTCTTTGCCAGCAATCCAGCGAGGATCGTGTTAATGGTATCGGTGTATCAATGCAAGTATATACAAGGAAGTGTTCAAGGCTAATATGACACAAATTCTGATCAGAAGCCCAAAATAAGAATAGCCCATCTCATACGCCTGACGATTCATGTTCCAGCGACCATTCGCAAATATTGAAATTCCCATCGAGTGAAATCATACGCTACCGGTTGTGAGGTCCTGACCTCATTATCTATAGGGTCGCAGACACTACGGCAGTCAACTTTTCTTTCTTTCTTTTTTTTTTTTTTTCAAAATTTAAACTATCATGATCTTTGAAATCATAAAAGTAGAGGCAGCAGTGCGAAGCCCCAGAGGAGGAGCGTCATCGCTCTCGTCGATGGGGCATCTCCCGTCGGCGTCGGGCCAGGTACTGAGGTCTGGCTTATTACTGGTGTGGTAGTCGGCATCTCCAATGCAATGCTATAAGATTCGTCGCTCGGCGACCCGGCCGCGGTTATCAATGTCGTGAGGGTGGGGAGTCCCGCTGTTTGTAGTATACTTACATCGGAGAGGACTTGGACCGTAACAATAGGCTCCTCGAAGTCTGCGGAGTCTGCAGACGAGGATGTGCGCGCGGGTGGTGTAACAATGCTCCTCGACAGGGAAGTAGTGAAAGTAGGAATGAATTCCTTTGTCGTCGACTCCGGCTCCGGCTTCGACAGATTGATTACTTCCGTAGCGTTGGCCCATGTATCGACCAGGCACTCAGACATCAACTGGTTATCGACTAGACGTCCATCCTTCTTTGATGGTGTCAAGCTTAGAACGTCGGAAGTCTCGATATTGCCGGCGCCCCAACCAACTATGCCGACGAAGACGTCCGAGTTGTCGTTGATAAGTTTGTTTTGCGCACAGAACATTTTAAGACACTGATAACCCTTATTAGAAACATGCAACGGCTGGCCTAGACGACAGAACGAGAAGTCATGTTGTTAAGACTTACGGAAGAATCTTGCGACGCCCCGGTCTGGCTGACGAGGCCTTTCCTCCCCTTTTGCCTTAGGTACTTCGCAAGGTCTGTGAACGCATCGGTGTTATCCGTTGAACATTGCTTGTTCGTCCCTGAGCCATCCTTATCCAAATATGCATGGATATCCAAGAGCAGATTATCTGTTGATCCGTCGGGGTTCGTGATATTTAGCAATTGGTCCGCACCGCCGTCCTCAGTTAGTGTCGCCACGCCATCCGAGTTTGACCCAGGAAGCAGTATCATCTGCTTCGTCGCGCCGGCTTTTCTGATAGCCGTAACAACCTGCTGGCAAGTCTTCGCCCACGTCTCGACGTCGACGTCGTGCGGCTCGTTCATGAGCTCGAAGATAACCTTATCCTTGTCAGAGTATTTCTCCGCCAACTGTTCCCAGAGATTGACGAATTGGTCATTCGTTGGTCCACCCTGTCCGATGATCTTGCCGTTCCATCGGGCGTAGTTGTGGATATCGATCATACAGTATGCGTCGGTGGCGAGACAAGCCTGCATTAACCGGTCGTATTTATCAAAGTTACTGCTATCGAGCTTTCCCCCTAAATTGTCGTTGACGAGAAACTGCCATGATATCGCTGAGTAGGCTCGTTAGTCTTATTCAAGTTAACTAACATATCTTGAATGGTGGTCATACGCATTCTCAGTATGTTGATGGCGTCATCTCCGACAAAGTGCCACATCTGAGTAACTCCATCGTCCGGAAGCTTTGTAGAGTTTAAAGGACATGTCCCCTTTCATTATGTTAACGTGGAACTTCAATTACAACTTCGATTATCCTTACATCGTCCTTGCACCCGAATTCGCCTCCCGCAATAGAAACACCCTTGAGATATCATGTTAGCGTTGAGCGTCTTATAAGTTGTAAGTGGCTACATACTAGAAATTGAACTTTTGCAAGGACAACACGCGCCGCGGCCAACAAGAAAATCGACTTCTTAAAGTACATTTCTTAATGAAAGCTTCTTACGAATTGAACATGAGAAGAGTCGAAAGGCGAAGAACGAGAATGAAATGAATGAAGGTCCCGCCGTCAAATGAATGGAATGTGAGATTGTAGTAAAAAAAAAAATGCAAAAGAAAATAGATGATAGCTGAGAGAGTAAGGCTAAAGGAAACGAATCAAGGAAACAAATGCAGACGGCAATCCCATCTTCTCGGCGAAGGATGTCCTGCATCACTGGGCATCAGTCATATAAAGGGAATAATCAATCCATCAGGTCGCGTAATCGGGTTAGAGTGAGCCCATGATCGGTCACTTTGGCGGGTGGGATTTCAGGAGGTTTATACTTGCGGCGTTTCGCATATAGAGAGGTAGACTTGGCAAACCTCTAAAACGACCTGACCGAATAGGTTAACGGTTAACCTACCAAGGTATGTTGATCTCATACATCTATCTACGGCGTAGCCTCTACGCCTTTTTTTCTTTTTGGTTGCGAGCCGTCGTGTTACCAACGAAAGACATATGACAAGTCTTTAATTGCTTAAGAGTTAACTACAGTTTAAACGGTAACTACCGCAAACTAGCGACGATATTATTTTCCATGATATTCTCCATAGTCCCGACTCTTTACTTAGGTGCTCAAATATGGATAGATTTATAAAAAATTAGACAGGAGCACGTACGTACCTAGGTTTAGGTAGGTAACTTATTACGAGGCGGCTCACTTTGAGACCTTGAAACATTTGTTTGAAATATGCTAAAAATTGCCAGCTTCCCAAGATATCCAACTGCGCCGCCCGGCTGCAGTCAACCCAATCAAGTAATGCCCAAAGAATCCGACGTTTTCCATCATCCCTTTCGTGACCTTTTATCCCAGTTAATGATTACACTAGACCGCTAACTAATACAAACCCTCATAACTACACGCATACATAGTAGTTATTTAAAAAGAAAGAAAAAAAAGAATTAAGAATAAAACATATGCCATGTGTTTTCTATCCGAACGTCTAGTTCTAGTAGTACAACCAGGTCACGTTGGTAAAGAGTCTAGTTATGTAGTAATAACATGCAAACCAATCAAGAAAACCATAACCTAATAATAAACCTATAAAAAAGAAATCCATCAATCCTCCCACTCCTCGTCGTATTGGTCGATCAACCGGTTTTCGTCCTCGCGGTTACTTCGACCTCTTCCGGATGGTGATCCCGATACGTAGCGGTACCCTCTCCGATTCGGGAGGAGCCGAGCGCAAGAGGAGGTGGCCATGACGACGAAATCCTGTGTTTAGCAGCAGTAGTTAGCTTCAAGTTCTGTTTTACGTCTTCCCGTCGTAATCGTAATCGTGATCGTAGAATGGGGCAAGCAAGCACTTACGCATATGAAACTCCAGACGCTGGCCCAGAGCGAGTAGTTAGGCAGTTGTTTCCAGCCTCGGGCGTGTGCTACCGTGCGCTGGTAGAATATGCCGCCGAGTAAGTAGACTAGGACGGCGATGGCGAAAATGATCAGGAACACGGAGCCAGGCCCCACGCTTCCCGGCTTGTGCGGCTCTACGCCCGCGCATGCGTGCTGCGACTTGACCTTGAATACGTATGAGCATTCTTCCGGATCTGTCGCGATGAAGGAGACTTGAGCTGCGCCAGCGCCAGCGTCCCTGTCACAACTGAAAAATATGGTGGTTGACTTCTTCCGCTTCGGCTCGTCCGTCTCTTTAGATGATTTCCGGGTGTTAGTCGCGACAGCTGTCTTCGTAGGCGCCGGTATATCTTCTTCGCGCTCGAAATCGGATCCCTTATGGGCTGCGCCTTCGTGGACAGAAGAAGAACTCCTACTCTCAAGATGCGCTTCCCTCTTCACGCTCTTTCCGCATGGCGATCCTCCCGTGTATTGTAGGACTAGCTCCTTGCCTCTCGATATTAGAGCGCCGGACTGCAGACCCAGACTATATACGTCGCCCTTGGAGGTATAGTACGCGCTGACATTCTTCCACTGACTCGGCTCCACGCCGATCACTTCGTCAACAGGCTCTACCACGGCTGCGCAGATGTTCAAGGTGAAGTTGAAGGGGTAGTCGTAGCCCTTGGCATGGTAGTCCACTAGCGGGGCTCCGTTACTATGCGTGGGCTTGGACCCATCGGGATTCTTCTTGAGGGCTATGTCGGGCCGCAAGTCGAAGAAGGCGCCCGACGTCGACGATGCGGTGCACGCTGTTGAAGTTGTCGTCTTATCGGCATCGGCGGCGGCAAGTGAGGTAGAAGTGAGGGAGAGGAGGGAGAGTAATGTCGGATATATAAACGTCGAGGCTGAAGAGAAGCGCATAGTTGCAAGATAGGCTGGTTTTTCCTTTCGGTCGAGAAAATGCGCTGGATGCGCTACGTATATGTTGAAAAGAACCTGGGCATAAACTATTGTATATCGAGGCTTTCTAATATGATCGAAGTGGTTACGATGGAGCGTAGATTCAATCGTTCGTTTATTCGTAAAGTTCGTGTCTTTTCTCTCACAAAGTTGTCTCGAACAATTCAAAGATTCAATTAAGCCAAGTTGTCGATTTGCCGTTCAAGCCGCTATTACGTATTCTTAGCGTACTCTTAGCGCACTTCGACATTCACGGACCCCTGAAATGGAAGATTCTAACCAGGTACCTAGAGATTGGTGGTACGTACTGCGTTTGTACACGTTTTAGCTGCCGCTAATCCGTACTGGATATACTCTTTCGTCATTGGTGGCTTAGTAGTGGAACTTTAGTATTCTGCTCTCCTTGATTGGCTAAAATGACATTGAAGCGAGAGAACCTTAAAATTACATTGGTCCAAATGTACCTAGGTGCCTGGATTAGTGGCTGACATCTCCACATGAGCTTGGGGAAGTCGGAGGTACATAGTAGGTAACGAAGTCAAAAATCGTGTCACTCGGAAGCCAAGATGTCCGGGAAGCTCTCCTATCTACAAAACTTCTACCATCGTACCATGCGGGACGTCGGGAGCCGGTCACTTTCCATAATTTCGCACCGCCTCGAATAGACGTGCATTGAAGATCGAGACGAGTTGAAGAGGGCAAGGTAGGAAGTTGTTGGATTATAAAAAGAGCTTTCAGGCGCTTCTCCGAGTTCTTCTCAGAGGACAACACAAACACCTCTTCTAAACATTCTGAACAATATTCTAGCCTTTGGATCGCGACACAACTTCAAACATGTCGCCCAAGTCGAAGCAACCCCAGCCAGCGCATGGCTCTCATGGCTCGCATGGCTATGAATTCGGCGGACCGTGAGTGTTTATTCTAGAGGCCCAATTTCAAGTTGGTAGAAGCGTAGGGCTAATAATATATACCGTTTAGATTCGGTACCGCTGCCATCACGTTTGGTCTTCCCGTCCTCTGCTACATCTTCGCCTTTGGATGTAACGATATTTCCGGTTGCCCTGCGCCGTCGCTTTTAAGTCCAAAAACTTTATCTATCGAGCAATTGAAGGCTGAGGTGGGATGGCCCGAGAACGGTATCTTAGGTCTGGCTAGCTGGGAGGCTACCGGCTGGACTCTGGCATACTATTTCTTCAGCGCTCTTCTATACCGTATTCTCCCTGCTACCGAAGTTGAGGGTACGGAGTTGTCGTCGGGTGGAAGACTGAAGTACAGGTTCAACGGTAAGTATTCTCTAGCTTAGAAGGTCTTCATCTTCACGGGATAGAGCTAGCTAACACACTCCATCAAAGCCTTTTCCTCGCACATGTTCACCCTCTCTCTCTGCCTTGCCGGTACTGTTGCACAGGGGGCCGAGTTTCCCGTATGGACCTTTATTACCGACAACTACATACAGATTCTGACCGCCAACATCCTCATTGCTTACGCACTTGCAGCGTTCGTCTACGTCCGTAGCTTTTCTGTGAAGCCGGGTAACCCTCAGTTTCGACAGCTCGCCGAGGGTGGCTGCTCTGGTAACCTGATCTACGATTTCTATATGGGACGGGAGCTCAACCCTCGTGTTACCCTTCCAATCATCGGTGAGATTGATATCAAGGAGTGGATGGAGCTACGCCCCGGTATGCTTGGCTGGATCCTTTTAAACTGCGCTTTCATCGCTAAGCAGTACCGTACCTTTGGCTACGTGACTGACAGCATTGTCTTCATCGCCATCGTACAGACCGTTTATTGTTTGGATGCGGTGTACATGGAACCCGCTATTCTTACGACCATTGATATTATCAACGATGGTTTCGGCTTCATGCTGTCCTTCGGAGATCTCGTCTGGGTTCCCTTTATTTATAGCCAGCAAACACGGTACCTATCTACACACCCAGTGACTCTCGGTTGGCTAGGTATTGCGGGGGTTTCCATTCTCCTGATTGCGGGTTTCGGTATCTTCCGGTTAAGCAACCTCCAAAAGAACATCTTCCGCACTAATCCTAGCGACCCGCGTGTTGCGCATATCAAGTACATCGAGACCAAGACAGGTTCGCGACTGATGACGTCGGGCTGGTGGGGTGTCGCGAGACACATCAATTATCTCGGTGATTGGCTGCAGTCGTGGCCGTATGCTTTGCCTACTGGTTTTGCCGGATATGTCATCCTACCACCTGGCAGCAATGTTGAAGGTGCTATCAAGACACTCGACGGGAGGGAAATAATACAAGGCCCAGCCAAGTATTGGGGTATGATTTTCACATACTTCTACGTTGTCTACTTTGCTGTCCTTCTAATTCATCGCGATGGCCGAGACGACGAGAAGTGTGCGAAGAAGTACGGAGAGGACTGGGAGAAGTACAAGAGCATTGTAAAGTACAAGATTGTACCAGGTATCTACTAGGTCTATCTAAGTACCTAGGTTAAGAAGAAGATACGACTGTATATACGGGTAGGTAAATAGTTCAGATACAGTGATAGAGTTATAGAACCTTAGTGGGGGGGAGTTGAAAAAGAAAAGGGGGTGGAATAGGGGAAAATACCTATGTAATGTATATTAACTAACTATTCTCAACTTAGGTCCAACTTTAGTTGCCTACCTAACCCAGGTGCATCATGTAGGCCACGTTTATATAAATCTTATTAGGTACCTGAAACCGCATTAAGGTATATAGGTAGGTTAGTAGCTGTATCCTAGCACTGGGTACCTACATGTATGTATGTATGTATCTCCTCCCACGGCCCAAAGTTGTGGATCATGTAGGAAACAACGATGTTGATGCCTTCCATCCCAATCTCTCTTCAAATATATCAAGGAAGTAACGACGACTTCCCACTGCCGTCGTTACGAATTAAACTAGTAGCCAATAGTCAGCAGTAGTGGTGGTGGTGATGACTCAACCTTTCTATTTCAAAACCTAACAACAAACAACATTCTTCTTCACGTCACAGAATTAATCTTGAACCCATCGAGCAAATTGTCGACAAGTCAAACCACCAGTCAAGCCATCATGGCGAACGCAAATCATAAGCGCGCTCATCCTTTCACGGCCGACCCCTACGACGAGCCACCCAAAAGACCAAGACCAAGGCCAAGACCTTCGTCCTCTTTCTATACATATGAAGACCCTCCTCTCGACGATCCCTTTACTAGACCTACCTTCAACAGAGATGCACCTTATCACGGCTTCCATCCTGATCACGGCTTCTATCCTGATCACTTTAGCTCACAGTCGTCCAGGCCCCGGGACCCAACTAACGCAACTTTCGCGCAGCCTTTCGACCATTTTGACTATTTTGACCATCTGCCAGATTATCTGCCCAATCCTCGACGACAATACCCTAGGGAGAGATACGATGATTTCAATCCGCCTCCGGCCTCACATACCGGTTACCGGTTTAGATCAAACACAATGCCTTCAAGACCTAGGGAACCTACGTATAATTTCCAAGACTCTTTTCAAGCCCAGAATCCCCAACGAGGCCCAGGCCCAGACCATCTCCACGCTCGTGTTGCTGAACTCGAAGCGCTTGTCAAATCACTGACTAGATCATATAATGATTTCAGGTTGCCCAGAGCCGCCGTAATTCGCGGCTTGCGTCGAGATATAGATAATCTATCAAGGCTCGAGGGTCAAACCAATGAGCTAGAGGCACGTGTGCACGAAATGTCGCGTACTCTCCATGATCTGCAGGCTTCCACCGAGGCAGACAACGTGAATGACGAATATACCGAATCCGAAATCCACCAAGACGCAGCAACCCAGGCGCGAACACGGATGCCAGAGCTGGATAAAGCTATTAACGACGGCAACGATGATAGTGATGATGACGTTGTCTTTCTAGGAGAACGGCCCCTTCAAGATAGTGATTTTAATATTCATAATAACCATAGCAACCGTGGGAGTTACCAGCTGGAGGCCATTACCCGTGACAATTTCGTGCCTTATCTTAAGAGCCTCGACTTTCGTGCACCTTATGGGATGGAAGCGTTTGTCAACACGCCAGTTACAGCGAGAGACTATCGTCTATGTACGCTAAACGACGGTACGATATACTTCGTACGTCTAGGAACCAGCGAGAAAGGATGGTGGAACATTGAGTATGAGCCTTACGAGCGAGCGCCCTTAATGCTGCCGCGATACAGACGTGGACACCTCGATGGCGACCAACATTTAGATGCGAGGCGATTACCTTCACTACTGCAATATCGCAGCAACGTCTGCGAAGTCGAGTACCCTGCTTCGAATTCCGTCCTCGCTCCTCCGCTCTGCTATGCATTACCTCTAGGAGAGATTCACGTATACCAACCGCGAGTTGGTAAAGCACCACCTGATCTTATTGGCACAAATTTCTTCTTGCTTATGGATGTCACCAATTCCAGGAAGTCGTTATGGATCGTATATGCATACGAGTACCCCTCCAATAAAAACAACGACCCTAATCGCTCTGAGGGCTACCAGCACGAAGAGGGTACGATTGAAACAGCGAAGTATGAATTGAGCCGAAATTCGCCTCTCTGTGCAGATTTTGGCCTCTTCGATGTGGCATGTATAGCAAATAGCCTGGATGACTTTGCCAACGTAACCAAGGGAGATGTACCAAACCCTCGCGGACACCAGCAGACTATATACCCTCAACTCGATCCAGTTAAGGTCCACCAGATGCTCCGCTCGACTGCGTGCATTGCACAGCCTGTATTTACAGAACCGAATCTAGACAGACTAGCTCAAGCAATCAATCAGGGGTGGAAGAAATAGGAGGTTTTACCCATTGTATTTTCCATTTTCTATTTGGCAGCATCTCCCAGCATACCGGCAGTTTTGCTCAATTTGTTTTACACGATACCGATCCGAGGGTCTTGATCACCTATCTTCATATTAGTAATAGGACCTCGAGGTATCAGGGGTTTGATGAATGACGAAAAAAAAAAAGAAAAAGGAGGCCTAAGGACATGGGACTATATCTACGTTGATGCCATCCTAGACAAATTTACCGCAGGATACGGCCCGGGTGTTGGATGAGCTCTACAGGTTGTTGGGACGGCACCATTATGCGTGTCCTGTAAGTTATACTTCGGCTTAGCTACCTAGTATGTCGCCCTCGGATGGCTGTTCAAGTTAATCTGCTTGCAAGGGCTTATTAGGTAGAACTGCCTCGTTAATTAATAATGCGTTGTTTCTTAAGCACTTTGTGAAATATTACTTGCGTGAACTCCATCGAACACAACTTGCTTTACCTAGGTACCCAGTAACCATAATCTTCCGCAACGTCCGCGCCTATTCGCTAAGTATATCAATACGTATAGCAAGTAATCAATCTAACAACGTAAAGTGGTATTCCTCAACTCAGTCCAGTATCGACATTTACACCTTACAAGCCTACCAAAAAGGACTTCTTTCTTACTATGTACAGCAACACTATTATTACCCAAGCGTGAGGCGAGACAGGTGCTGGGAAATTCCATTTTGGAAACTGAACCTTAGGTAAAATAAACAAGGAAAACTCTGAATTGTCATCCTCATGTCCAAACATATAGGATGAGCGATCTATCTAAGGATTTTTACACCAAGTAGAAGGAACAGATGAGGATTAAACCGGGCCGACGCAACGAATATAGACGCCTAAACCAGATCCCAAACAGACTTAAATATACACGACGTAGGCTTGGCCCTTTTTAGACCATCCGTAATCCCCCTTTGTTCCATTTCGTTCCGCGTTAACACGTATCGTCACCTCGTTTACTGTAGGTACTTTAGAATCTCCTCCCGCTCGCTGAGGGGCATCACGTGCAACATATCCTTCAAACCCTTAAGAGCCGAGGCCTTGTCTGATCTAATCAAATCAGCTAAGCCGTGCGCAACAGTATCCGACTTTATTTGCTCAATCTTGGTCTCAATTGTCTCAGCGTTCTCCTCGTACCATGTCACTACATCCTTGTCGTTATGGTCGAAATTGGCGACCCCAGACCAAGCTGCAAGCAGGCGAAGGTGGTGCTGACGGTTCTCAATGGCAGCAGCGCTGTTCGGGTCAATGACCTTCGAAGATGAGGCAGCAGCCATGCGCTTGAGAATGTGTTCCTCGTTGAGACGTCTACGGACACGCCAGTAGAAGAAGCGGCGAGTATTCTTCCATTCTAACACCTCGCGAATAGTACCCTTGGCCTTCATGCGGCCAGCGCGGTCGTGTAGGTCTGCAAACTGCAGGCCGATCTGCGCATAGATAGGTAGCAGTTGCTTCTCGCGCTCTGTCATCCTTTCTTTAAGCTCGGCATGCTCCTCCTTGGACAAGTTGTTGTCGGCAATCTGCTTCTTAAGCGAGGCGTAGAGAGGGTCCAAGCGAGACATCGTTTCCAGCTGCTTTTCTTTCTTGTACTTAATACCAATGATACCTTCCGGCTCCAGGACACCGGCACGGGATTCGACATCAGCATACATCTCCATGGCGACAGGGTTGATAGTAGGGTCGACCACAACCCAGGAGCCACCACGCAATTCGCCAAAGGGCGGGATATAAACAAAGATAGGCTGTTCAAACTTGACGAGAGCATCGACAATGTACGAACCATATTTCAAGACTTCGTTGTACATGTCTCGCTGACCACCAGAGAAACCTCGCCAGTTGGCAAGGATCATAAGGGGAAGCTGTTCACCGTAGTTGAAGTCGTTGATGGCTTGGGCGGTCTTGAATGCGGAATTGGGGTACCAAACACCACCAGCTTCATTGCTGACCTGTTCAACGGAGTCGGGGTTCGCAGGATCGGCGGGGGTAACATTTTCAACCGTTCGAGTCTCCACAGCAATAACACCCATCGGGATACCGCCAAGGCGGGCACGACCAACAACAACGGTACGGGCCCAACCACCAAGAGTCTCAACGAAGGAGTCCTTATCAAAGAGACCTGGCTGGAATCCGTCATCATCTTGCTTACCGCCAATGAGCCATCTAACATCGTGCGGCTGCTTGTTAGGCGGGGTGTATATCACCTCACGATCCCAGGTGTCGAGGCTAGGCGTAATCGGCACAGGCAAATTACGCCGAGCAGGAACGAAAGAAAGCCACTCGACAATCTTGCACACACCGGCAAAGTCATCATTAGCAGTTAAGTGAGACACACCATTTCGGTACATGATCTGAGTACCACCAAGCTGTAGGTTAGAGGTGTAAACTTCACGGCCAAGCAAGTTGTTAAGGGCCTGAGCACCGGTTAGAATAATGGGCTGACCCTCGATCTGAACGGCACGCTGGCCAAGGCGGACGAGGTATGCGCCAATACCTATAGAAAATTAGCAATTAATCTCAATGAACTGGGCAAACGGTTAAGCTTACCGATAGACCGGCATGTGATGAGGGTAACTGTGAAGATGTCGTTGTATGCACGACTTGTGGCACCAGCAATAAGACCAGAGCCCCTCAAGCACTCAACACCAAGTCCGTCCTCGGCACCCACGATGGCCACAATCTTGTGACGCTTTTCGCCATTTTCAGTGACCTCCTCGGTGATGACGTCGCGCTTAGCACCATCTTCAAACCGCTTCTTAGCATCCGCGTCTAGGTAGAGGTACTTGAAGCCCGACTCTTGCCTCTCCGGATCGTTCCAAGCTACCTTAAAGTGCGGGATAAGCTCCTCTGCAAGGCCAAGTCGCGCACCAGAGTTGGCAGAGAGGTAGATTCGCGGAATGCCGAGGCTGCGAGCCAATTCCGTGCACTTGTTGAAGAAATGGTCTTCTTTGGGGCCAAAAGATCCAATCTTATAAGTGATGTCGTTGGCGACGACAATGAATTTCCGGCCCTCAGGGTACTCGGGGGTACGAGCATTGATGAGCCATCCAACCATACCACACGAATTGGTACCAGGCTCACGAGAAATCTCAATCAACCTATCACGGTCGTCGAGTACGAGCTCGCTGTAATCAATACACTCTCCCTGGGCAGGCTTTTTGTCATTCAATGACGGTAGCGCTTTGGTAGTCCTCGACCAAGTGTTCTCAACAGCTTGGCGGAAAAGCTCAGGGAAGTCATATACATACTGGGTACCCATCAAATGCGCCCTGTAACGCTTAGGCTGGAGCCAGTTCTTGGTAGGGTATGGCGTACAGACAGGCAATAAGTGCATCGATCCAATCCTTGTTGTGCCGCCGATCGAATAGAAGACCATTTCACCCTTCTCCGACTTCCGCTCCGCGTAGAGTTCAATTTGGATAATATATCCAGATGTGTTGGTAATGATAACACGCAGAGGGTAAGGCATTCCTGTAGTCGTATCCGTGCAGATAATACGAATCTCAACCTGAGAGACACGAAGGCGCCAAGCGCGAGGTCCAAACCGGTCCAAGAAACCCTGAAGAGACTGCTCGACCTCCTGAGGCTTGAGCTGGAAAACAGGAGTGAAGTTCAGGAACATGTGGTTCAAGTCGGAGTTGTTGTTGCCGATGATCTCAAGGGCATCAAAAATGTCGTTGATAACTCGGTCGGCTTCAGAAACAAGATACTCGGCTGTGGGGATATCATCCCGAAGACGGCCTGGTCGAATAACAGCGCGCGTAAAGTATCGCTTATCAGTGTCAACTCCCTTGCCTATACCTTCGTACACGTGGATATTCTTGTTCTCTGTGAAGACGGGAGAAAGCTTGAATTTAGATAGTCGCGCAAGCTCCAGCTGGAAGGCTAAAGCGGGCTCGACATGACGGATACTGTCATCTTCACGGAACTCGGGTGCACGGAAAGTGTAGTAACCCGGGTACGAACCATCGTTGTGGCCACAAACAAAGCTGACACGACGAACTCTGTGGTTAACAAGCTCATTCTTTAACGAGTCGATTATAGGGTGAATGCGTTCGAGAATATCCTCGTCTTCGTAGGACTCTACGTCGCGGATTACAACGTTGACAACGTTGGTCAACTCCTCTTCAAGAGGTTTTTGCGCAAAGGATTTGCGCTTGCCCGAGAGGTCGGGGATAAGCCCGGGGCGCTTCCTGGTTGGCAAAACCTCCAAGGCCTTCTGGAGCATCTCATCGGCATCATCAAGATATCGACAAGGGACGACAACTCCCTTGCGGGTAGGCTCTTCCTCGGTACGACGGTTGAGATACGACATGTCACTAACTGAGCTTATTCGGCCGAAGGTACCAGTCTCAGAGGTCGGAGTGCCAGGGATAGAAGGATTAGCCGACTGAAGAGGAACCGAAAACTCAGTCTGTCCGATTTTACGGAAAGAGAAGTCCCAGGACAAGAAGAGAGGAGCCGAATCAGACTCGTCCTCGTGGTACTCCAATTTCAGCAAGTTGTACGCACGGTAGGCTCGGCGGACGTACACCTCGAGAGCAGCAACATTAACCCATGGGTCCTCGTGAGCAAAAAATGACGCCAACACGTCAAAAACGGTGTACTTAGAATCCACAACTTCTTTGATAATATCAAGGTTGGGCTCTCTGTGGTCCCAGCCAGTTTCACCATACTTGTTTTCAACCACCGATGAGCGGAGGATGTGTTCCATCTGTGCAGTTCGTTCTTCGAGGGATGGTAGCGCACACTGGATGAGAATTTCTCGAGCTTTCAAGGATACTTTAGCTGTCTGCCGCGATTCAAGTTCGGTAAGCCTGCGCAGAACTGGTCGTAGGTATTTGCCGACATTGCCGACGTTGGGCTTGTTAGGACGATACTCCTCAAGAAGTGCCAAGACTAAATGATTCTTAGAGCCGACACGGCTGTGAGATAGAACGATGCTGATGACCTTCATATAGTCTTCTCTGTTCTCTTC